GTGAAGCTGCTGCATTGCTGCGCGGGCGTACATCCATCTGAGCCTCCCACCAGGCAAGGCCTCCCTTGACCTTTGCGAATTCAGCAGGGAGCTACCGGACCTCCTTTCAGCCTTCCAGTCGTCCAATCCCACATTTGAGCGTGGAAGCCTGCTGACTAGTGATCGAATTACCTTCAGAGCTGACAGCCAGCAAACCCAAAGTGGAAGCCGGTGCAGTAAGCAGCTCTGCACTGGTTGCCAGCTAGGCTTTGCTCCCTCCAGACTGCTGAAACAAAGCAGCACAAAACTAAAAGAGCAGCCACCCAAACTGGGGCAGGTCTCATGCTGGGAGCGCAGCCGTTCCCTCGGTCTCAGCCTGAACAATTGGGCCTCGAGGCCTCCAAATCCTAAAATCAAACTCGGAGATCGGAGAATTCGGTCGGAGCACGCAAGCCCCCACTTTGCCTCGGCGTCGGTGGCCAGGCACACGGCACACACCCAGCCGCTCTCGGGACCTCAGTTGCGTCGTGACACTCCGTGACATTGCCCATGTTCGCCAATTTCTGCCACAAGGGAAGGAAAACAAAGCAAAAAAGCAAATCAACAACACATTTTCCCGCTGTTTCTCGCAGATGAAAAGCGTGAGGCACGCACGGGCCGGCGCCAGTGCTGCAATCTGATGCGCCGACTCTCGCAGCTCCTGGCCACGCTTTGTCCGAGATGTGCTTCGATGATTCAATGATCTGGCATGATCTGGCCCATCTGGCCCTTGCCCATGCTGGCCCTTTTGTCCAGTCTTTGCCTCTGCTCATGCTAATTGGATCCATCGATTGGGTCCAGCAAATTCCAGCGATCCATAAAGGCTCAGCATGTGTGGGCCGGTGATTCGGATGTTGCCGCTATTGCCTACCGTCCCACTGCATTTTCGTGAGAGGTACGAAATGCAAAACGGGCTGGCTGATGCCAGGAAAGAAACCCGTGCACAGCAGGAAGGCCGCTTGCCATCGTGAATTAAATGCCAGTATTGTAAAGGCATGGGTGGGGCCCACGAAAGGATTACGGGCGCATACAGGCTCTAGGTGGGCGAGGACTTTGCCATACTTGCCGCTTGACTGAACGGCCATCAAAACTTGTGAGCCGCGAAAACCAGGGAAGAGAGAAGGGAACAAGCTACTTGCCAAGCACTCGGATCACTGGGCACTAGGCCATGTCCGCCTCCCTGCGACCGCGGAAGTCCTGAGATGCGCAATGATTCTGCGGTTCTGGTGCCCCTGGCCCCCAATCCCAGGATCCCAAGATCTGAAACGGGGTATTGGGCGAGCCCTGAACCCAAGAGGTTCGTGCCGCGGGTCCATTCTGCAAAGCGGGCACAGGCGCGCAGATGGTCGGCCAGAGAAGGCCCAGTTCACAACACACTCCTGCACGGTGGAGTGAACCAGTCAACCCCTGCCTCTCTCAAACGATCTCTTGACCTTGCGGGACCCTTGCGGGACCCTTGCGGGACCCTACCCTGGACCCTTGCGGGACCCTACCCTGGACCAACATACTATGTATGTAGCAAGACCTGTAACACCTTTAGCGCAGTCAGCGCCTTTGACCTGGCCTCGCAAAAGGCGTGCCCGCAGGGCAGAACTGCCACTTCGTCCCCGGGTTCCAAGTCCTCAGATTCTTTCACGCACTACCGGAGAGGAAAACATTGCCTAGGCCTTCAAGTTCCAGAATCAGGCACCACACTCGCTCGTTTGCAGACCTGAAGGCATTATACTTGAAGAGCCTGCAAGGACAGTGAGCTTGCACGCTGCGACATGTTCAAGTTCTGACGAAGTGTCGGCAAGACAGCACGGGCAGTTGTTCGACACGTCCGCCATGACGCTGTTTCCCGTGTGGCCCAGATCCTCCAGCTTGCTCTTGCTGCTCTTCGAGCCCGTGATCCTCATGCGCGACAAAGCCTGGGCCGACAGATGCTGACAGTCTCAAGTGCCACTTTCGTCGCGTTCGTCTCAGTTCCTTTCCCAATCCCAACTTGGCACGTCGGATCGTCACAAGCCAAGGCTCAAATGGCCCCTGGGCGCCCAAACGGGTCCGGGCCCAGGTGCGATGCACGTGGCGTGCCGCGCATTTCTCTTGGCTCGGCGGCACTCCCCGCATGAGGATCAGAAAGAAGGTGGCCTGAAGCTCCGAAAGCGCGCAAGGCAACTCTTGGCTCCGTGCTTTGAGCAATAACAAACATACAAGGCTTAAAGAAAGCGGGCAGAGCGCAAACAAAACCAGATGCACATGGCAATCAAACCTATCCCCACTCACGCCGTCAAGCTTCCGGCACCATGAGGCAGCCAGCGACCACGTACAGCAAATCCCAGGGATTGGGGATCAAATGGTGGAAGGCGAACAGGGATGAGCTCATCAGAGCCCCCAGGAAAAGCACGACTTTGTCGCAGGAAGTCATGGGCTTGTTCAGTCGATGCCAGAAGCGGCCAGAAGTTTGGCTGTCCTCAAAGGCAGGCAAGAAGACAAGACTCGCCCTGTTTGACAGGGACTATGAATGACTCGGATGAGTTGCCCGTGTAACTTCAAGGTTGCTGACCCCACATTCTCAATAGCAAACTGCCAAGCACTGAGGCATTCACTTGAGCGCCCGCTGGAGTTTGGGTTGCCTCTAAGCCTGAAACACTGGCTGGCTCTCATGCATGCTGCTTGCTGGGCACACAAAGGCTCCAAGACAGTTCACTCGCGGATTGCATGCGCCTAACCTGGGGCCATGCAAAGCGACTCACTTCCATCCGAGGAGCGCGAGCCTTCGCTTTGCGAGGCTCGTCCAGCCTCAGAATGCGCCGATTGATTCCTCATCTAAGTCCGCCACTGCCATATCCCAATTGGCTCAGGGAGTGGCGCGCCGATTGCCTGCTCAGGCGCAAGCCGACAATTTGACTCTACGTCTCTGCGTCTCACATGGAACAACTCCCTGGTGCCAGTTTGAGCCTGCGGGTGGCCTGCCGAGGGCTGACATGCTTTGAGTCGGCCGCCCATAAATTGCCATGGCGGACACCGTAGCTTTGCCACTCAAGCCGTCCCAAATAGCATGTTCCTTGCCAAGGAATTGCCCGACCAGCTTAGTTGGGACCATACCTGCATCCGCTCAACATCAATCATACTGGGCTTCGACATTGATGTACTGACCGGCATACTGTCTTGAGATGCTTGAGCAGCTGATGATCACACCTTGAGCCTGATGCAGCTTTTGCCGTTGCTACTGTTGCTATGTTGGTCCCCTGCCCAAATGACAATGCCGCTGCCACTTAGTCCCGGCAAGGCGTGTTTTCGCTCAGAAGCCGCCTCCAGGTTGCATTGCTCGCCAGCCAGTGTCGTCGGCACGAACCTTGACAGCTTTGAAAGATTGAACTTGAATGAAGTTGACCTTAAAGCGTCGTGCGACTTATTGTGCCATGCTCAGGTGCCAGCGGCCGCAAGTTGCCATCTCGGCAGGCGGGCCTCAGGAGCAAGGCATGGCAAGCAGGGCGGGGCAAGCAGCGCTGGGTGCACAGCGTGTCAATGCCTCAGCTCGAAGTGCTGCTCGCCGCATGAATACATCGCAGTACTGCAGTATGTGCCCTATTATGTGCAATGCTGTGCTATGCTCTGCTATGTGCGTGTCCGACATGCTCAGTTCATGGCAGGCAGCGCGGTCTGCCTGCATGTCCAAGTTCGCATTCCGGAATCTAGTCTCCCTTTCCCCTTCTTAGCCAAAGGCATCCATCCCTGGGTGTAGCACTCGGCCTTAGGCATGGGCAATGTCAAGCAGATTTGACACGTTTAGCACAGTTCAAAGGCTTCAAGCTAAGCACAGCGCAGGTCTGGGCAGCTTTCACCCGGGCAATTCGAGAAGCTTCTTGCAGCACCTGCCGGCATGAATCGGCGTCGGCTCCAAAGTGCCGTGAGTCGCCAGTGTCGCCTCGTCGGGGCACGCAGGGATGGGGCCCCATCTGGCCTCGCAGACCTGGAAAAGAGGGAGGAAAAGAGGGAGGTATCAGTATCGCGAGGTATCACGAGGTACGGCAAGACATGGCAAGACATGGCAAGACATGGCAAGACATGGTAAGACGGAGGAAAATCAGTCGAGGAAAAGAGAAAAAGAGAAACGCAAAAAAACGAAGCCATGCGAAGCGGCGAAATCGCTTCGGATCCGCCTGGCCCAGCACGGGTGCCTCGATGAATCGGATCGAACCCCCGATCACACGAACCGATCCGAGCCTTGCTGCGCCTCCAAGGCCTCGGCATGCGCGAGACATTGGCCGAACTTGGGAGGAAACGCTCTGGAAAAGATTTTTTACAAGTCTAAAAGCCTTGACCCAGCCCTCAAGCCCTCAAGGCGCTCACCTCGACACCTCAAAGCAACCTCTCTTGGCATCTCTTGGCAAACCATCATACTGTGCTCAGGCTTCAGGCTTTGTGAAGGAGCATCTCAGAACATCGTCCGCGGCGCGCTCGCCCTCTTCTAAGGCTCCATGTGCAAAGCTGGCCTTTGTGGGGTGGGTGGCCTCGCCAGCCCACACCAGGCCACCACAAGAGGCCCCCAAGTCGCCCCGCAGTTTGGCAGTGCCCACGGGACAATAGGAATACGCCATCTTGGCGAACGGGTCCGTGTCCCAGCGTCGAACCTCACTGCTAACCACCAGCTCCTGCAATTCACGCAGGGGTCGACTGAATATGACGCCTATCTGCCGCAGAATCTCTAGAACCATATCTTCGTCTTTCAGCTTGAGCAGCTCTCCATTGGCAGTGCGCCCCCCAAAGTATGCGGTCAAAACATTCCTGTTTCGTCCAGGCCACAGCACTTGGGAGGACATGCTGTGAAACAAAAACGCCATCTTCTCTGGCCAGAACCGCTCTCGGAAATGCATGTAGACTGTGGTTGTGATTCCACGGCCCAGCTTGTTGACGGCCAACTGCTTTTTCTCTGGCAAAGGCGGGTGGAATGAAATGTCAGGGATGCAGGCCAGTGGAACCGTGATCACGGCTGATTTCGCGACAAAGGATGCGCCATTGGCCTTGATACGGACCTGTGGTCCGGACCAGTCGATGTGCTCCACAACAGTCGACAAACGCACGTCCAGCGTCTTGGCCATCTTCTCGGCTAGGCCTTGATGTCCCCCCAGAATCCGCCAGTGTCCTTCATCGCCATCCTCATCAAGGATGCTGGGCCGGTCTCTTGCGAGGGCCTGGATCCGTTCACTGCACAAGTCGTCCTCATAGACGCCTACGTCCGTCAAATCGGCCGCATGCCACTCTGCCATCATTCCTTCCATGAGGCGGCGCTCATCGGGCGTGGGTGGCTGATCGAAGATCTTGTGAGCCCAGACTTCGGCCAGCTGCATCATGCTCACGTCCTCACGTCCTTCGCGGATCCATTCCTCGATGCACAGCTCGAACTTCTCAAAGAAGAGGCGGTTCGACTCGCTGTGGACCCGCTCGGGGCCCCGCAGCTCCCCATCCACGTGCACCCAGCACTCGCCCCCGCCGTTGAGCACGGCCCAGCCATTGGCAGACCCATCTGTGCGCATGGCGAAGCGCTCCAAGTACCGCCAGGTGGCCACATGTTGGCCGTGCACCCAATCAGCGCCGCCACGCGAGGCCCGACCGCCCACCAAACCCCGGGCCTCCAACACCGCGCAGCGCAGGCCTGCCTCTTGCAGGCGCAGCGCACAGGCCAGGCCACACAGCCCCGCACCTACCACCAACACGTCCGCCTCTTGCGCCTGTTGCGCCTCTTGCCGCCGCTCGCGCACAAAGTCGAAACAGCTGCAGCTGGAGCCCATGGCGACACTCTTCCCCTCACTCCCCTCGATCCAAACGGTCCAAACGTGTCACCACAATCCTATCCGGCAACCCGCAGCTTCCCTCGAGTCACTAAGGCCAGGGCCCCCAGCAGTGCCTCTCAATCCTCGCTCGGAACGCTCAAGGGCAACACCGCGCCAAGACAAAACGTCGAACAGCTAATTTTAGGCCGCATGGGGGACGAGGGCGACTTGATGGCTGGTTTTGAGGCTCGAACTCCCGCAAGCGGTCCAAACTCATCCTGGGCACGCGGCACAATTGAGGCGCCAGGACACGCTCGGAAGCTCGGCTCGGTAGCTCCGCCCGGTACTGAATCACGGGCTTTTGCGCAAAAGGCGACTTTGCGTACCAAATTCGGAGTAGCTCCGGTGCCATGCGGCCTTGGATCGCCTTGGCTTCGGCTCGCTCGCACCCCGCGAGCTGCGAGAGCCCAATCTGTGCGATTGGCTTGGCTGGTTTCCAGCTAGCCGAGGCGGCGCGAATGTCAATTTGAATATGTCAATTTGAATTTGAATGCTCCTTGCGCAACTTGCACGAGCTGAAGTCTGAAGCCCGAGCCTGAGTCAGTCGGCAACACAAAATGAGAACTTCCCGTCAGGAATGGATCTGCCAGGGGCCTGACTCGTTTAGTCCACGCTTATTACGCGGCCTTTGCGGCGTTCCCTCATCTGCCGCCGCTTCTCCTCCTCTTCCTCTGCCTTCTTCTTTGCAACTTCCTCGCAAGTCAAAACAACCCAGCGCATCAAGTGCTATTGCATTGGTGAATCCAAGTGGCTTCTTTGGAAAGCCCGGAGAACTTCTTCTTGATCTTTGGCCGCTTCTTAGCATCTGCCTTTGCCGCCGCTTTACCCTGACGCTGGGCGTGGATCCCCTTGCAAGCCAAGAATTGTTGTATTGGTGTGGGCCATTTTGGGATGCCACAAGACTTCCAGCGACAGCTACAGCTGAGACAGCTCAGACGGCGAGCCGCCCCATGGCCCGCCTCTGCCTTTCTCTTCTTGCCCTGCCCGCCCGAGTTCAAACATTTCAAACCCCAGTCCCCCAGCCCCCCCAGCCCCCCGCCCTCGACCACTTCGCGGCGCCTTCCCCGAGCTCGAGGACGAGGCCTCCTCCGTGCCCCTCAGCCAAGCCTCAGGGCACGCCCTCCCAACGCCGAGCCCACTCGCGGATTGATCGGATTGTTCGGCAACAACAAAAAAGGAAAAAAAAAGAAAGAAGCAGAAACCCACCACAGAGAAACTTACAGCCCAGCGGCGGGAAGGCTAGTCTCACCGACAAACATGCCTCAGCTCGCCGCACCCTGCAAGAATTGCACAAAGTGGTCCCTGACGATTTGTTTGTTGCGCGTTTCTTATCTCAATACGGTGACCTGTTTGCTGTTGCATTGCTGGAATCGGGAGACATGTCTTTGTTTTGAGTAAGGCTGGCTCTTAGAATAGGTTTTCTATGGAGCTTCTCTGGTGAGTCTGGTTTGTGCTTCGCTTACACGCAGCATATGCCTTACGGTTACTTTATCATCATACAATCAGTACTGCGAACAGGCAAAACCATGCACCTTCGCCAATGCTCCCATTTCGTTCCGCCGGTATCCAGCAACAAATGTGTTTCCTTCAATCAACCATCTCGGTTTATGCTACCTCATTCTAAAGGGGCTGCGGGCAGAGGGAAAGATCCAGCTTCCAGCTGCAGTTGAAGCCTGCGTGTGCTGCTCTTCACCAGAAGGTTGAAGCCAGCCCCTGCACCAACTTGGGTTGGGACGGCAAGTGCGAAGAAAGCGGCTTACACTCAAGAAAACTCAGCATGTGGTTGACTTGTTGCAAGCTTCTTCGAAAGGATCTGTGTAGCCTTCCCAGATCACTCCGCTCACACTCGGCTCACACTCGCACTGTCAAGACGAGGGCCTTCTTGGCGTGGCACCCCGCCCATTTCGAATCAATTGCCTAAAGAACAAGGCAGTGGCGAGCTTCGGCCAGAGCCCAAGTCCAAAGCGGCCCAAAGCCTTGCCCTGTTCATCACGGACAGCGTTTTGGACCGCCCAAACACCCAAACACATGTGGGTCTGTGCCGGCCCCTTCCTCCCTGAGAAGGGCTAAGGCCAACTTGGCCCACTCCCGTCACGCCATTTGGCATTGAGGACAGAAGCCTTTCAATCCAAAGCTTCTTTCGAAGACACACCGGAATCGCTCAGTTAACCAAAACCCACCAAGCAAAACCACCCTCCAGGCCCACATGGAACGGTACATCTTTTCTAGGGTGGCCACTGCTCCATACTGCTCCCGTCAGACACAAAGCATTGAAAACACGAGCCTTGTGATCCAAAGCTTCTTTCAGCAGGCTGGAGGCGCACGCAACCCCCGGAACTAGACGTAACCTGCTGTTGTCCCCGATCTGTTCATTGCATTGCACCTTCCCAGAAGTACTATGAGTTGAGGGTAAAGGGTGGTTCCTAGCAAAAGTCACTATAACCTTGTTCTCTTTTGAATCCAGTTCTTGTTTCTTGATGTCTACCTCGGCTGTCACAGCTTAAAGTGATAATAAGACGCATGCTGCTCTCACATACTATAAGCAGACGTCTTTCTCAACTTTGAGGGGCGGATGAAGCAGTTGTCTATCGAACAATGCGATGGCGAGGCTTACGAAAGAGCTCATACTCAGCAATGCTGACCAATTACAGCCTTGATGAGGGCCGCGAAAGTGTCCAGGAGAAAAGAACGAACAATAACAGTCGAGGACGCAACGCCCTTTCTGTAGAAGAAACCTAGCAAACAAACAACATCAAATAACAAACTATACAGGCACACATTCCTACACAACACCATTTTGCCAATTATGTCATGAGCATACACTATATAAGCATTCAATGCCTAGATTCCGCAAAGGCTCTTAAGCCTCTAAGCGAAAAGTAGCCGCACTGAAACCCAAACTGGAAGAGAACACACCAGGTGGCATCAAAACAGCTGTCCTTACATATACCACTCTACCAGATGTCTACCAAAATCAAATCTACCATATGTGCCTCCTTGCTCTGCTTAGGTGCTACACCCCATATACCTGCACCATATGTCTCTACCATATGTGTCTCTTGTACCAGATGTCCACCATATGTCTACCTGTGCCATATGTGCCATCTGTCTGCCATCTGTGTCTCCGAGGCGCCGTTCGCGGGGCCGGCGCACCACTGCCGCGCCCAGGGCGAGGCCCCGTCCGCCTTGAGCTGCGCGGAGGGCGGCACGTAGCCCCGGGCGCTGCCGCACTGGCCCGGGAGGCACCCGGCCGCCGCCGCCGCGAACAGCTGGTACTCCTCCAGCGTCTCCGGCTTGGGGCAGTTGCACCTCAAGCAGCGGTGCTTTTGCGCTCTTCTTCTTTTCTTTGCCAATTCTTTTCAATTATTTCCCCTTCCCATTCTAACTCGCTGGAGTCGCTAGGAGTGCTTTTCCAATTCTTTCCCGCCTTCCCCTTCCCATCCTTCCCAAAAGCCTGCCCCAAAACCCGCCTGCCGCACACCGGGTTCCGAGCAAAGCACACGGCCTTGCACTTGGGGCAGCTCCAGTCCCCGGGCTGTCCTGACATCCGAATCCGGGCTCACCACTTCTTGGCACAACTTGCGGAAGTGAAACTCCACACATGTTGCAGTGATTTGCAGTGGGGCTCACAACTTCCGCATTGCAGCAAAAGAACCGCACATATGGGTACCAATATATTGCAGTGAACCAGAACATGAGCCGAATATGAGCTGCGTGCCATCTCATGCCCGAATGATTCGAGTCCTGTCGGGGACTGCATCGGGTTCTCCTCCTCTTTTGGCAAGGGGGTGCCATAGGTGCCAGCCACAGGCCGCCGCGCCCCGCAGCCCTGGCACTGGATGTCGCCTCAGCTTGGAAAGCTCCGTGGACACAAGCACAGTACTCACCTGGCCCAAGGCACGCGCAAAATTCACCTTCTTGCAGAACTGGCAAGGCCAGTCTCCAGGATTCTTGGCATTGGGGCCAGCAAGAGCCAGGGTGGTCACAGCCATGGCCATTTGTGCAGCCATCCGGGTGCCAGAAAAGCCCCAAAGGAGGCGAAAAGCTGGAGCCCCCGTTGCACAGTTGGAAACGAGATCTCTGTCCTTCTGCGTGATGTGTTTTTTGTATCGGCGCTTCTTGCTGCTTCCTGTATCGTGAATCCCGCGCAGCTTTGCCTGACTCTGGCATTTGTGGGCGTGCCCTAATTCCCATCTGATCCCCTCCCAAAACTGGAGCTGCATGCTGTGGCCTACCGGGCAAAACCAAAGGCAGCGCGAGCATCCAACAATTTGCACCCGAACGAGCGGTGGCGCGCGCGTCTCAGAGCCGGGCGCTGACAAGGCCAAGCTCTCCGAAGAGAGCTCCGGGCCTCAAAGAATGGAGAACTTTCCCGGCCGCCTCACTATGCCTCACTCCCCTCACTTGCCGCTTTCCTCGTTTCGCTTCTTCGTTTCGGCGGCCCGGGCGGAAGGCAGCCACCAGCTCGCCGCCCCGGTTGCGCCTCGGACCGCCCTCTTCACATCCTCGCGCGTTCCCCACGGGCCGCGGCAGCTCGTAGCGGCCCCAGCCTGGCCAGCCGAACAGCGAGGACCGTTCGCTCCGAACGCGCACCCCGCCGACGCAACTCAGCCGACCCCCGCGTAGATCCACAAGCGCCTTGTGCCCACACGCGGCAAAGAACAAAACACACAAATACCGTGAAGTACTCATGAAGGCCACAGTTGAGCATTTAGCCGCGAGATGCCGTCAGCCAGCAAGCTCACCCACCAAAGATCGCCACATTTCCGGGGTCCGTACTGCCTTGTGCCACTTGGTCGCCTCGCTGGCTGTGGGCCTCAGGGCTGCAGGTTATGCGCCTGCAAGGCCGCGGCATGTGCTGCCAAGGGCGCAGCCGTGCACGCAGCAGCACGATGCGCGGAGGGCCCTCCAAACACGTCTGTCCAGTCTTGAAAGGAAGCGTGACCCCAATCTCATCAGCTCATCATGCCCCGCTCTAGGTAAACTGTGGGGCTACGATGGGCCATGAAGTGCCGTGCTTTTTCGAAATCATGAAAATGCAACAGCTACGCTTCCGTTTCTAGATCGCGCTGGAGCAACTTAGCTCGCCACCCAGCATCCTGGTATTGTCACCTGGGGTGCAACATGAACGCAACGGGCCTTGTTGACTGTTTGACTGAGTCCAGTGCCCTCATCACAATGACGAGGTTCCTTGCCAACACTGCTCCTCTCACCTGACGATGCTCGGGCCACGCCAGGTGACGCGGACGGAACACGACCCCGGGCGCCCAGCCCAGGATGCCAAAAGCCCGCGCTCCACTGCAAACTCCTCATCCTCCCGAGCGGCTCTCCCTCGGGCCCTCGGCAGTCCCGATGCCAACAATGCCAAACACATGTCCTGCAAAGCGCATTGGTTGAGCAGCTCTCCTGAAGGCGCGGCGGCACGGGCGCATGCACAAACACCGACTCTGCGCCTCTCTGCGCGGTCTCCTGCCTGTCCCGTTGCTCGAATCGCCACATATACCAACAGCACTGCCATGACTCAAAGCTGGAGGTCCGGGCTTGTGATTCTTCAGGTCGGTTGGCGACATCGTCCTAAGTGCCCGTCAGCCGACATGTGCACCGTGTATTTCCTGAAGAGGGCCTAGCAATCACCGTTCACGTGGCCAAAGGCAAGAGCCAAAATGGCTTAAGTGACATGGACAAAAGTGACAAAACTTCTATAGCCGTTCGCGCCACCATTAACCACTCGGCGGGGCGTGATGCGGCTGGTGTCGTCGCCCTTTTCCGACTGGCCCTATCCGCGTGGGCTGGCCTTGCAGGCCATGGGCCAGGCGCGCTCGGCGTCGCCCGGGTGCGACACATGCGACACGAAAAGAGCGTTGCTCAAGTGCCGAGCTGAAAAAGTCATTCAGGCGAGAAACCGCGAGAAACAGAGGCCATTGGCATGCATGCAACGCATTTGCCTTCCTGAGGCCATCCTTGCCAAAAGCAAACACTAGCTATGGAAGGCTGAAATGAATGTTGGTGGATGTGTTCTGTGCGTTCAAACAAGCTACACTGAAACTTGGCAGGCTGTTGTGAGCTACTGCCTCCTTCAAAGTGTTGGCCCCTTCGGTGAACAAAAGCACCCTAAGGCACTATGGCGCACGCCGACCCGTCTCACGCTTCCAGCAAGACGGCTTCCTGGTCGTTGAGCTTCTGTTCCTTGAGGCGAGTCTTCCCTCTTTGCTCCGGCAGGGCATGCTTTCAGTTTTATGTGGGGGTTCTCAAAATGAAGTAATGGGAGAACGGGTTTGATTCCCCTCGTGTGGGGATGTGGAGCGTGGAGTGTGCTGTGCGTGCGTGGTGTTGTGTTGGGTGGCGCGTGGTGTGGCGTGGTATGGTATGCGCATGCGCATGCGCATGCGCGCGGGTGTGCGTGTGCGTGTGCGTGTGCGCGTGGGTGTGTGTGTGTGTGTATGCGTGTGGGCGTGGGCCTGTGTTTTGTGTTTGTGTTCGTGTTAATGTTTGTGTTAATGTTTGTGTCTGCATTTGTGTTTGTGTGCGGGTGTGTGCGGGTGTGTGTGTGTGTTGTGTGTTGTGTGTGTGTGTGTGTCGTGTGTGTTGTGTGTGGTGTGTGTGGTGTGTGTGTGTGTGTTGTGTGTCGTGTGTGTTGTGTGTGTTGTGTGTGTGTGTTGTGTGTGTTGTGTGTGTTGTGTGTTGTGTGTGTGTGTTGTGTGTGTGTTGTGTGTTGTGTGTGTTGTGTGTTGTGTTGTGTTGTGTTGTGTTGTATTGTGTTGTGTTGTGTTCTGTTCTGTTCTGTTGTGTTGCGTTGGTGTGTGTGTGTGGTGTGTGTGTGTGTGTGTGTCTGCGTGTTTGTGCCTGTGCCTATGTCAGCCCATGTTTTTGCCTGTGTGCGCGCCAAGTTTGTGTGCATGCAAGCACGTGCACGCAAGCGCGTGTGTGCAAGTGGACGTACCTGCACCCTACTCTCCTAAGCGGGAGTTTAGCACAGTGTGTGTGTGTCTATGTCTGTGACCGTGCCTGCGTCTGTTTGTGCGGGTGTGTTTGGATGTGTGGCTGTGTCTGTGTCTGTGTCTGTGTGTCTGTCTTTGTGTGTCGGCGCATCTGCTTGTCTGCTTGTCTGCTTGTCTGCCTGTCTGCTTGTCTGTGTCTGCGTGTTTGTGTCATTGTGCCTGTGCGTGCTTGTGGGTGTGTGTGTGCGTGTCATGATGTCTGTGTGTCTGTCTGTCAGTGCATCTGTGTGTCTGCGTGTCTGTGTGACCGTCTCATTTCTGTCTTCATGTGTGTGTGTGTGTGTGTGTGTGTGTGATTCCGTGATTGTGCGTTGGTGCTGGTGTTGATGCTGTTGTTGGCGCATTTGCTCGTGCAGGTGAGTGGGCATGTGAGCGAGCGTGCATTTAGGTGTGGGTTGCAGCCCTGAATGGCGCTGACATGCTGCTGGGCCACGAAGTTACTGCCCAGAACCTCGCCCCCGCCGAAGGCAATGGGCGTCTTGCCCTTCACGCCCATGGGGTCCTTGGGCACCTGAACTCCGATAGGTCCGATAGGTCCGATAGGTCCGATAGGTCCGATAGGTCCGGTGCCCGAAAACCTGTCAGGCCGCGCCATTTCGCCAAGGCACAAACTCGTCCTTCTTCTTGAGGATGGATGGGTCAATTTTCTTCAAACCCTTAGCGCATGGCTCTCGAAGGGCAAGAAACTGGCTGCGCAGTCCACTGCCAATTGCTGACTGAGCTGCCTTGGTGGGCTCGCCTGCTGCCTTGCAGGCCACCTTGGCTGCCGATTGTCTGCGTGCGAGGTTCCACGCGCCATGGTCAGTTGCACTGCGTGATCGGCTCAATCAGGCTCAATCAGGCCCAAGTGCAACTTCCGCAGCCAACTTCCCTGCGAGGACGGCGCCCTCCATGCTGCCGAGGAATTTCCTCAAGGTCGAGGCGCGCAAGAGCGCTCACAGAGATGCGGAATGCGGAGGGCAGGCTGGCTCGTCCAATCACCTGCGAGCGTAAAGTTCTTGATCGGGGTCTCCTGACTTTGGCGCTGAATTCACGGATCGCTTCTCTAGCCTCGAGCTCCCCATCCTGCGAGGGTCGGAACTTGTTCCGGCCCGGGATGGCCGCATAGACACTTCTAGGCACCTGAGCCAGCGCAGCACTCAGGGCATGGATGGAATGGCAGCGTGCGCCTTCACCACAGCATGCTTCACGAGCTTTGCTCCGCCTCAGTTCCCAATCCAGAAGCAAGCACAAGGTCAGAGAAAGGGCCCCAAAGTTGGATAACATAGTACCCATACATGCTTCCAGAGTTTTACGCCGGGAGGCCATCCGGCAGCTGCGGGCCAATCTCTGTGGGGAAGAGCCGCTCCATCTCCTGGCGAAATGTCGAAATCTCCCGGATCCGACTCTCCGTTTGCTCCGCGCCTTCATGGTCGCCTGGATAATCTCCTCATCACTCTTGCCCATCCTCAGGTCACAACTAGTAACTGGCAACGCCTAGCGGCCCTTCAGCGGCTAAGAGTCCAGTTGACACTGCCGCCAGCGATGGGGGAGCAAGGCGCAAACACGAGCTCGAGCATGGACTTGTCCTGCCCAAGCCCCGTTGCCAAGTCTGCAAGTGGCCCGAATGCGGACACCTGAAACACTGAGCTTTAGCCTCGCCTGATCCTCGTACTCCTTGCCTGCAATGGCCACCACATGCAAGTGTTCAAGTTCGCAACAAGGCCCAGGGCAAAGCCCACAGCCCATGACCGGTTTACAAGGGCAATGGCTCAGGTGACATCTCAGACTCCATTTCTGCAGAGGCGCAGCAGGTGCTCATGTCAGCATACACGGAGAGCAGAGGACTACGGCTGAAGCAAAGATGGTTCACGTTGAGAAGCCTTGGGGCACTGCATTTCGCCCTTTCCCACGAACCAGCCCCCAGACGGCACCCGGTGACGAGCCAGGAGGCTTCCTGTCGAACCACAGGTGGATGTTGATCACGGGGATGCCCTCCAGCTCATCGATCTGTCTGAAGAAGGGGTCCGTCGACCATGCGCGCGGCAGAATGCGCTTTATGATGTCGCAGGGCACCTGCATGCCATGCAACGAAGCGGGCGCCCAACAAATTCACGCGGTCCCACACCTTGCATTAGTAGGGGTGAGGGACCAAACAAAAACTTTTTAGGCATCAAAAAACAACTCATTCTGAAGATCAAAAAAACTCATTAGGGATCAACAAAACTTATTCTCCTTGATTTACTATTAAAAATGAAAAATCCGAGGATCAACAAAACACTTTTTGGGGATCCAAAAAACAACTTATTCATTTCGTGGCAGGCGAAGAACTTTCGCAAGGTCAGGTACAGATTTCGTGGCAGGCGCAGCACTTTCGCAAGGTAGGCGCAATGCTTTCGCAGGTCAGGTACAGATTTCGCGGCAAGCGCAGCACTTTCGCAAGGTGCGGTACAGATTTCGCGGCAGGTGCAGAACTTTCGCAAGGTCAGGTACATATTTCGTGGCAGGCGCAATACTTTCGAAAGGTCAGGTACAGATTTCGCAGCAGACGCAGCACTTTAGCAAGGTCAGGTACAGATTCGCGGCAGGTGCAGGACTTTCGCAAGGTGCGGTCCAGATTTCGCGGCAGGCGCAACACTTTCGCAAGAGGTACCAATTTCGCGGCAGGCGCAGCACTTTCGCAAGGCACGGTGCAGAGTTTGACGCAGGCGCAGCATTTTCGCAAGCAGTGAAGAAAAAAATTACAGAGATATAAACATGAAGCAAAAGGGAGAAAACAGAGAGAGAGAGAGAGAGCGCGAGAAAGAAAGAAAGAAAGAAAGAAAGAAAGAAAGAAAGAAAGAAAGAAAGAAAGACAGAATAAAAGAGAGAGAGAGATGCTTCGAGGAAGTGATGATTCAGCAAAGGGCGCGTTAAGCTCTGTAAGCATTCTGAAAATCAGCGGGGGGGTTGGGGGGGGCGGCAGCCCCCCCCCCATGATGTTCGAGGAAGTGATGATTCAACAAGGGGTGCGTTAAGCTCTGTAAGCATTCTACAAATCAGCAGGGTTGGGGGGGCGGCAGCCCCCCCCATGACGTTCGAAGAAGCGATGATTCAACAAAGGGTGGTGATGATCGAAGAAGTGATGATTCAGCAAAGGGTGCGGTCATCTTTGTAAACATTCTGAACATCAGCGGGGGGGTTGGGGGGGGCGGCAGCCCCCCCATGATGCTCCAAGAAGTGATGATTCAACAAAGGGTGATGATGATCGAAGAAGTGATGATTCAGCAAAGGGTGCGTTAATCACTGTCAACCTTCTACAAATCAGCGGGGTGAGGAAGGTCAGGTACAGATTTCGCAGCAGACGCAGCACTTTAGCAAGGTCAGGTACAGATTCGCGGCAGGTGCAGGACTTTGCAAGGTGCGGTCCAGATTTCGCGGCAGGCGCAACACTTTCGCAAGAGGTATCAATTTCGCGGCAGGCGCAACACTTTCGCAAGGTACGGTGCAGAGTTTGACGCAGGCGCAGCATTTTTGCAAGCAGTGAAGAACAATTTACAGAGATATAAACATGAAGAAACAGGGAGACAACAGAGAGAGAGAGAGAGAGAGCGAGAAAGAAAGAAGAAGGAAAGAAAGAAAGAAAGAAAGAAAGAAAGAAAGAAAGAAAGAAAGAATAAAAGAGAGAGAGAGAGATGCTTCGAGGAAGTGATGATTCAGCAAAGGGCGCGTTAAGCTTTGTATACATTCTGAAAATCAGCGGGGGGGTTGGGGGGGGGGGGCGGCAGCCCCCCCCATGATGTTCGAGGAAGTGATGATTCAACAAGGGGTGCGTTAAGCTCTGTAAGCATTCTACAAATCAGCAGGGGGTTGGGGGGGGCGGCAGCCCCCCCCCATGATGTTCGAAGAAGTGATGATTCAACAAAGGGTGGTGATGATCGAAGAAGTGATGATTCAGCAAAGGGTGGGGGGCCATTGGCAACAAAGGGTGATGATGATCGAAGAAGTGATGATTCAGCAAAGGGTGCGTTAATCACTGTCAACCTTCTACAAATCAGCGGGGTGGTTGGGGGGGGGTCCTTCCTTCCTTCCTTCCTTCCTTCCTTCCTTCCCCCCATAGGAATGAGCATAATTTGTTTTTGATGCCTAATAAGTTTTTGTTGATGCCTAAAAAGTTGTTGTTTGATGCCTATCCCTTGCACGGCCAAGCAAACAAGCTCAAGGCACAGAGGACACGTACTCGTCAGCCACGATGTGTTCCCCATCTCGAAGCAAAAATGAGCTGACCGAGCCATCCGCGTTCGTCTCAATACCTTTCCGGCAGTCCACATGTCATTTTGATGCGCAGAGATAGGCAGAGGCTCCACACAAACAGCGCGAGCGCTTTCAGAGCGCCATGGCAGGCAATTCAGTCAAAGCTGCTTGCAATGGGCTTGTCACACAGCACCTTGCCCCCACGCGCTTCGATGTACTGCTTCAGAGGCTCGCAGAGGCGCTGGGTCTGATTCCCATCGATGAAGGCCATCTGCAAACCTCGGCATGGGAAGTCCAGAATATAGAAACATATAGAAACATAGGAGCATAGCATGGACTTTGGGCTTTGGCAGTTTTTTGGGGAGGCACTCGAACCGCGCTGCGCTACAATTCATTGTGCTCAGCTCGATGAGACACCCTCTGGAGGGCCCAAGAGGAATCACGGGTTCAAGTGGTCCAATTCGAAGCCAGGTCATGCCAAGTCTGCCAAGGCTCCGTCGGTTTCATTGAGGAACCTGTTCATTGCAGTAAGGACCACCGTCATGGAGAGTTTCTCCGGGTCGATGAAATCCAAGGCCTTTGCCATGGCAATGAACACCTCTGTGTTGATCCTGCGCGCCAGGCCCGGGTTGCATGTCATGTTGCCGGGGGCTCCGGCTTGCACATGAGAGCACGCACAGCAGCATAGAGTACCTCGCCTGTCCGGCATGCCATACTTTTCCATGAAGTTGAAGACCTCAAGTGCGAGTCTGCAACGACCGGAGACCAGATCCCGGCCGAGGAGCCGAAAGCTCATCTTGGAGGTCGATGAACTTCTGACCCTCCACCAGCATTGGCAAGAGCGCCGGCGCCGTCTGCAGCTTCTCCGGCAGGGTCAGCATCTTCCTCGGGATATATTGCAACAGCCAGTTCAGGAGGCATATGCTTCCCACGCTTTGCCACGTTTTTGCCACGCTTCTGGTTCAGAAGGATAGAAAGGCCAAAGTTGAAGGGAGCGGGGATGCCCTCGAGGAAATCGAAGGTGGTGAACTCTCCCGGAAGCTCCTCACTTTGAGAAAGCTTGCGACATCTTGCGACAGCCAAGCGGGTGCAAGCAACGAACCCAGCGCCCGCACCTGCATGGCAAAAATCATCTGGTGTCGCTTCCATTGCAGACGGTCTTCAATGTCAAGCTCCGAAAAGAGGTTCATCCTTGCCAGCGCCATTGGCCCCGGACGAATGCACACTGCTTTGTTTTCTCCTCGCAGCCCCCGACAAACATACACCTCATGCATCTGAGCATCATGTTGGGATAGGCACCGAAAAAGATGTGGAGGCCTGGCCGACAGAGCCACAAACATCCGCAAGCCACAAGCCAAATGCAGCCGGGATTCCAGTTTCGATCCAGTCCCCATCCTTGTCTTTCCAGGCTGACACCTTGCCACCTTGGAGAACATGAGTGGGAATGCACAAAAAGTCATGCTGTGGAAACGGCCAGGTCAGCCAAGCCGCCCAAGCAGTCCCGGGCCTCGAGAACAATTGGCTTGTGCCCAGCATCCACCAAATACTTGGCGCAGGCTAAGCCTCACAAGCGATGGGACCGATGGGACTTGAGAGCTGCTCTTTTGATGTCTGAGGCCGCTGCCGGACAAACCACCCCCAATAATCGCAACCTTGGCACGTAGCGAGCGGTGCAACTGAGGCATCTGAGGCATCTGAGGCCGGTGGCCGTTTTGGACTCGGCCCCCTTCAGACTCAGGAGCTTCCTGGACAAGGCCTCGCCCTCTCGATAGTTGTCCTTAGAGTGCGGAGTCTCGGGCGCTCTCTTGGCCTCTCTTGGGCCGAGCTGCTGTCTGGTCAATGCAGGACGGCTTGGGGAAATCTCGCGGGTCCTCCGCCTCATTGTTCGCTGGATTCACGGTCCTCGCAGTTTGGTGACGTGCCGAACCCGGAGTCTCTCACGTGTCTCACTGTCCTGGTGCGGGACTCCTTTGCACGCCGTGTGCTGCGCTTACTGCGTACACTCCGGCTGTGGCAGGCGGCAAGGCTCGCGGTGGTGAAGCCAACAGCAGTCCTAGGCTGGGCGGCGCTATGAAGAGGCTGCAAGGGGCACGGCGGTCATCGCATGCCAGCGCTCTGCCAATTGCAACCCGAGCATCCCCCAGCCAGGTGCTTCCCGTTGTGACTGGGCCTCAGGAAGCAAAGTGAGCAAAGCGTTTATCAAATCTCGCCCCCCCCCCCCTCCCGCAGCTCAACTCGCTGCCGAGCCGCTGGTCGAGTAGATGAAGCAGCTGGTGCAGCTGGCGCTGCATTGTAGAGGGCAGGTTGCACAAAGGTGACGCTCATGACCTTGCAAAGGGAAAGCATTGCAACAACAAATCGATGACCAACAGGGTCGCAATGCAGGTGGCAAGATCGGCAGCAAACATGTGTCATCCACTCGAAGCAGCATCAAGGCAGGGCATCGTTCTTGGGTGCTTTATGCTTTGCAAAAATGAAGCAGTTCCTTCCCTATGCATAAGCCGACGTGAGCATGTGTCTTCACCTGGTACCCGCTCACACTCTCGAATACGCGTTGGCCAACTGTCTGGAGCTACGTAAGGGCGCCTGTTTGTGTAGCTTGCGGGGGCTTTTCCTCCTTTCTATTGGCAACCCTGCCACAATGCCTTTGGGTGGCAGTGTTTGGTGCCTTTCCTCATGGGCGCTACTGTCTTTAGCAGGCACCGGCCCATGCTTGTGGGAGGACGACGGTTTGGCCCGCTGCCAGTTTACTGCCAGGGCCTGACCTGAAGAGCTGGTCCAAGGATCTCTCCCAAACAAGCCGGCTGGTTTGCGAAGGGGCCCACTTCAGCAGGCAGGGAGCATGTCGGAATAAAGTTCGCTGGGCTCCGGGCCTGCAAGCGGATTGAAACAAATGACGGGGGAGTGCGCTTCTTGAACCAGAGTGTGGCGCAAGTTGCCTGGAATGCTTGAGAGTTGGCGCAATACCAATGCCGCCCCAAACGATGTCGACAGCATGCATGCGCAGATTTTGGCATCTCTTGACGGGCCCGCATTTGCGGAGGCCCTGCGCTGAAACATCATGAGCTCTCAATGGGCACTGCCGGCGCCTGCCCAAGACAATGTCACAAGAAGCCCACCGGACGTGGGCTGATGGGTCTTGGAAAAAGGCACAGCGACGTGCTGCATTGGGCATCCCTTTTTTAGCCAGCTTTGTCGCACTTGGTCGCAAGCTAGTCCGAGGTCGCCCGCTCACTTCTTTTGTGGAGGTCAGTGGCGCATTTATGCCATGCCTTGGCAAGCTTCAAATCACGTACGCCTGCATCGCCTTTTGAATGCAAACAGCCAAGCAGCCCATGCTTCTGCTTCTCTCCTCAGGAGCGACTGACTCGGACAATCGCTGGGGATTTTTGGTACCTTCATCAAACAAAATCTGAAATCAAGAGACAAGACTGTCAGGCATCCAGCGCACCCACCTTGAAACGCTTTAAATAGTCCATGTCCATGTGCCCAACATTGACCAAAGAGACTGTTAATTGAACCGAAACATCGCCCTGCTGGCCACAGCAACAAACGCAACAGCGCAACCAACCCTGTCATCAGGAATTCTGACCCGCAGGCACTCTCGTCCCAGCAAACTATAGCGCCCCTCTCAGAGAGCGCTCTAATTTGTGTCATCCCAAGCTGCCCATCTGCCCCCCCCTTCTTTTGCTTTGCGCTTCGCCATGTCGCGCGCGCTTCCATTCGCATACATCTCAGAGGTCGTCCATGTCGATGGTCGACTCCTGCTGCTGCTTCCGGGCAGCTGCCGCGGCTGCCTTTGCCAATGGCCTGGACACTCCGGCCTTCGGGGGTGGGCCTGGAGGTGGGGGAGGTGGGCCTGGGGGGGGACCAGGGGCTGGGTGGGGCGCTTGGCGCCAGTTGTTCTCCATCATGGGCATGATGGGATTCCGCATGCCCATCATGGCCAAGGGACTGTTCATCACCATGGACACGCCCACCATCTGAGCTCTCATCATCATGACCTCTGGGGTCATGTGCTTTGTGTTGAACAAGTCTCGGTAGCTGATCTTCTTCTCCTTGCGCCTCCTCTTGCTACGACGCCTGGAGCGCTCAGACTCTGAGAAGCTGCTGGACCAATCAGACACGGAGTCCTCTCTCCTGCGTGCCGTCTTCTCCCTATCATAAGGTTGTGATTGCGTGTGGCGCACTTCTGGCTCACCAAGCAGCAGCGACTTCGCCCATGGCGCTTTTTGCCATCTCAGATGCGACTGCATGAAGGTAACCAGCATGTCTTTGGGCGGGCATACCTTGCTGGACAGTCTGCTGGAGATGTTCTTCTTCCAGCAGAACTGCGTCCACGCCTGGCGCCAGTCCTCGTCTCCGGCCCGCAGGCCTCGACGGATCAAGCGGGACATGAAGCGCAGGTCGAGATCTCTGAGCTCGGCCTCGGGCAACGGCGACGCTCCAGGGGACGGCGAAGGCGATGCGCCCAACGCGCCCAACGCACCCAGGCCCGGATGGCCCGGATTTGCCGGATTTGCCTGTGGCTTGCGCGCGGCGGGGGGGGCTGCCCCGGCCTTGGGCTTGGTGCCCACGGCCTTGTAGGCCAAAGCCGCCACGGCTTCCCAGCGCAACCGCACGCTGCCCTTGCCCACTTCAAAGGCATCCAGCCGGGAAAGCAGCTGCCGCAGGATGGCTGGCTGCAGCGAATGTGGCGGGCACTCGCGCAACGGACGACCCAAATCCCCCAGCTGAACTGACTTCGAGATCAGGAACTCCAGCAAGGCGCGTGCCAAGGGGCAGCCAGACATGGGCCACTCCTTCAACTGTAGCTGGAGGGCCTTCTTGCCGTCGCTGGGGGCCGATCTCTTCACGGCAGACACCAGTGCCACTTGAAGATCGTCCTTCATGTTCTCGGCGGCCCGCTGCGCCGCCATGAAGATCGTGGCGTTGTAGCAGGCCAGCCGGCCCTCGTGCCAAGTCTCGAGCACATCCCCAAGACCGGGAAGGACAAACAATCGGCTAGCAATCTTCTTGGCCAGGGGCATGATGGCTGGGTTGGCCAAGTGTGGCTTCACCAGCGGGCTGCCTTGGAGCAAGGCCCTGACTAAACTCGCAACCGCCATGAGGAACTTGGCTTTCACCCGTGCCTTGGGGCACTGTCTGTACCATCTGTGCGGGGGGCTCTCCACCTCCCGCAGCAGGTTCTCCAGGCCGCCCTCGTGGCACTCGCTGAGCCAGTCGTTGCACTCGTTGGTCCACTCCGCCAAGCGCCGCGCCACCTCCGCCCTGAGCGGTCGGAAGGCCCCCACCACCGTCTCCTGGTCCTCGGGTGGGAGCTTCAGCAGCAGCTCCTCCAGGCGAAGGAACAGCTCCGACGTGGCCTCCTCCTCCTCGTCCTCCTCCGGCCACGCCTGCGCCACAGCCAGGAGATCCTGCCAGCCCTCCAGGCCCTCGGTTTCCAGGCGCCTCACCAGCGCCTCCAGCCGCGCCAGCTCGGACTTGGCCATTGCATCAGCCCAAACGAGCTGCCCAAGAAAGCACAGGAAAGCACCGGAGAGCCCAAATCGGGCTTGAGCAACAAACCTGGCGGCGCCGTGGCACGCTAGCCAAGCGTGCATGCCGGAACCTGTTCAGGTGCACCAGACTTTGGGCAGTCTGTGATCATGCAAGTGGCCCAAAGATTGCAAGCTGAAGTGTGGAACCAGGAATTTCCAGAACAAAGCGCTGGAGCAGCGTAATGCACCGAAAGAACCTGCTGGACCTGTCAGACTCAAAAAGGGAGGCCAGCGGAAGTGATATCCCAAAACCACCATGAGAAGGCTTCGCTGTGCTCCAACGCAAATACGGGCCTGAAAGGAACGATTCGGAACGATGGCGAAAATCGACACGCATTTGCCTTGCAGTAATTCTGCGCACTCGATGCCTTCAAGGTCCACCAACCTCCAAGCTGGTAGTTCATGAGCCCAAGCTCGCTCACTGTTTTCCACGCGAAGGGCATCGAGCAGCCCCTGAGACCCCTTTCTGCTCAACTGTTCACACCCCACATGACCCCCATGACAGCGGCTCGTAGGGTACGGCACGTGAACCGGCCATTCGGCAATTTGCTCAAGCCGCTCCGGGGCATCTTAACGCTCGCTATGCCAGACCCTGCCATTGAGCCGGACAAGCATCAAATCATCAAATCCTTGGGCATCACCGTGACGCGCTTCGCACCGTGAGTCAAGGCACTCGTCCATGGCCGTCAACAAAGACTCCGCGGAATCCAGTGCCAAGAATGCTTGACTCTCCATGCGGAGCTGGCGGTGGCTGCCTTTTTGCTTTCTCTCCTCCCGCTCCTATTGCTGCTTTTCGGACACCTGCTTGTAAATGTCCTTCACTGCCCAGTGGAAGCGGTTGGAAATCAGCAGGTCGGTGCTGCGTGGGTAGTGCCGGATCTCAATCATGGCGACCCTTCCCTAAGGCACCTTGCTGTGCCACTTCCTGCCCTGCAATTCGCACCTCCGTTTGGCTCCTCTGCTTCCAGCTTCTGGTACAGTGGCTTTGGAACCATCTTGGACCGCACACCTTTCTTTCAGTCGCCAAACTGGCCCACTGGGCCAAATGCTGCCAGCAACATGCATTGCAATCGCAGCCAACCCCAAGTCCTGATGGGAACAAGGCAGGGCCCATACCCAGAATTTGCTGCTCCCTCTTAGGGTTGCTCAACAAATTCCAGATTGTGCAGCACGTCGACTCCCACTCCTGCCAAGGTGCTGAATAGCGTTTCGGGCCAGAGCTTGACCATACATCAGCCTCGCCGGGTCAAATCAGTCCCTTGCACTCCTTGCACAGCATCTGAATCATGCCGCCTGTGGGTGTCTGGCCGCAAACAACCGGTGTCATGCGACTGCCCTTGTGGCCCTTGTGGAAGCGGTCGCCGTCACCTATCACACTCCTGCCCAGGAAAAGCGGATGTTGTTCAAAAGCAAGCACTGCACTGCTTCTTCAAGGTCTGACCTAATTTGTGGCATGTTCGCTCCTTGCTGATCTGCACCATCTAAATCCAGCTTGGTAAGCTTCGTCCGCTACATCAGCATACCTGTGCCAGTCCATGAAAATCATAGGCTAGGGGACATGCAATTGATGTGCTGAGGCAGCTGGGTTCATGCCCTGTCCGCACCTGTGAAACGCGGTTGGCTTGGTCTGAACTGGTTGTAGCTCAAGCGGCAAAATGACCCTATGCAACACGTGGAGCGAGAGAGAGAGAGAGAGAGAGAGAAAGAGGGAGCAAAAACAGAAGATAGAGTATAAACTTTTTTTTACGACAGTTCTTGCCCGGAACACGGAACTTGGGAATCTATATGTTTGCGGGTTTCCCGCTCAGGCAGCTCAAGCACTGCAAATACGCCATGCATCTGGCAGAGTTGACAGCGCTTTTGACCGACAGCTGTTACAAATGTTGTCAACAGGTTCATGTCTCCGCCCGCCAGCGTGAACCAGCGCGAACCAGCTGCATGGCCCTATTCTGCCAAGACACCGGGCAGGTGGTCGTCAGCCGGCAGCACGCATGATCCCATGGCATGTCTCTCCAATCGGCTAGATAGATCTCTGGACCCAGCCACACGGCCGCAACCGTTGAGAATCAGGCCGATGTATGTGCACACCGCGCGTGCTCAAGCCCCAGGCCTTCAGGCGCAGGTGTTGCACCCAGCAAGTTCACAGCTACCTGGGTCACCCGGTCTGCAAGAAACACAAATAGATATGCTCTCTTGAAGGCAGCCTGCGGCATCATTGAATGGCACGAACCATCTGCGCTGTCTTCCTTTTGCGGGCGCTGTCGCACGCGTGTTGCATGCTGTCAAGGGCCGAATGACCCAAAGCTTCCTGGCCTTGGTATGCGCACGCGCATGCCGCCACCAACATGGCTTTGATTCCAAACTGACACTTCAAGAGGGAGCAACCACAAAACACGTCACAGAAACTCAGATCCGAGGGCCTGAAGGCTTTGCTAGCTACCACTTCGAAACGAAGGAGCTCAGCAAATACAAAGCTCAGGCGCCATGGGGCGCCGACTGCCGCACGGGGGGTGCCAGGCGGCGTGGCGATGCGGCTGGGCTGGCGAACTCTGCTCCTAAACTGCTAGAGAGCATGCACACCACAAGTACGTGCCACACCCACACGAAAACGTGCACAAACACGCAAAAACGTGCGCTACACACTTACCCCAAAAAAACGCACACGTGCTCGAAACCCTCACATACCCCACACGTGCACACACGCACACACTCACAAACGCACGCACGCACAAACGCGCACACACGGCCTTGCAGCTTTGCAGGTTTTGCAGTTGGGCAGACTTGCTTGGGCAGTGGACTTGGAAGCCTTGCAGCTTTGCGGCCGGGCATCTGGCAGAACATCAGTTGCCATCCATCTTTAGAAAAACTATGCTAGAGCTAGTAAGAGGTGTCAAAAAAAGTTGCCACAAGGGTGTATATTGCTCGGGACGAAACTGGGGCACATTGGTTCTGGATGACCGCACTAGAGGCACCCGACGCGACGCGGGACTGTGGGCCAAGGCGCAGAATTGGCTCGTGCGTCAGGCTAGCCAAGCTAGATCGCTAAAATGTTATTTTGCTCAGGAGTTTAGGCAAAAACGCGCTCGAACAACCAACAAGAAAACAGAAAAGACCATGAAAAAAGAAAACAACGCAAAGCTGGCCTTGGCAAAGGAACAACTCCAAGTTTGGGCCCTAGGGTTCATCTCACATCAATGTCCGCAGGCGGACACAGGGGTCATAGTAAACTGCGGGGAGCGCAGCACATCCTGGTATTTCCGAGCAGGAGAAGCAACGGTCAACAATGGACCTTCCGTGGGGAGAGAGAGAGAGAGAGAGAGAGAGAGTGAGAGTGAGAGTGAGAGAGAGAGACAGAGAGAGCCATGGGCACGCCCCTGAGAGCTGTGAGCTCCTCACGGGTGACCCCGCCGGCATCTACTACCACGGGCGGCACAGGCTTGTCGCCATACTCGGGTGAGCTGACCCGGCATCCGCAAGCAATGCAAGGCAAACGTCCGCCAAACGTCCGCACCGTCTATCCCTGAAAACAGTTGTGAAGGTGGCGAGCATGAAGGCGTAGACGGGTTGTTGGGTCCGGCATGCCTTCGTTTCAACATTGTAAGCCAGGAAAAGCCAGGAACAAACAGGCATTGCATCGCTTCTGCAGGTAAAGTCAAGTGATGAATCAGACTATTATCATGGAAGAGCTTCGTTGACACAAGTATCCACGAGGGGCCCTGTGCCCACCTGCGACTGCCTAGGCAGCACCTTTGGTCGTCAGGGCTTGCGCGCACACAACACACGGCACATACGAACCACACGCACACAACAAAAATGATGTCGCCCGAACCGCCCCCTGCTTTTTCGCAGTCATGTCGTTTTCGGTAACGATCGATTTCGCCTCAGCGAAACGGACACTGATGCCTCAACTCGTCAACATGAGTGCGCTCAAACCCTCACGGCGGCGCCTTTTTTTTTTTGGGGGGGGGGGGGGGCTTGTTGTTTCGCTAAGGCGAAATCACCATAGTCAAACTCCTTCCCCGGCAGGCAAAGCTTCGGGCGTCGCGCAGATATTAAAACTGGCTATGTCTTTCTGAACAAGTTGCCAAGGCGATAGAACACGGGGCGCTTCTGATTGGTGCGCCGCCACTCGGAAGCACAGCAGATGGAAGGCATTGCCGCGCTTACCACGCGCGTGACAAAAAGCATTGCTCCGCGCACGCAGTCAAGCGGATGCGCTTACCATGGTCGTGACGAAAAGCATTGCTGCAAGCATGCCGTCGGGCGGATGTGCTTACCAGCATCGACGAGAAGCGTGTGGCGCTGTGAGGGGCCGGCGCCTGACCACGGCCTGAAACCTGTGAACAAGAAGACTCCAGCAAGCTGTTGACCAGAAAAACACTGTAAAGACACAGGGGGCGGTTCTTGCGCCGGCACCCGCAAACAGCGCACACACACACACACAACTCGCACCTATGCACATGTACACACCTAGACAAACTCACCTACATGCTTTTCTTGGCTCAAGAAGGATTTACATGAAAGTTACGTCTCGGACATATTTAGGTAATCTGCGACCCGACCTGATCAGGCCTGTGCATGTTGACTCCGGACTATCCCTGATTCGTGCTCCTCTGCCGTCAGCCGGCTCGACACCTCCTAGCCGGAGCCGCAGGCCAAACACACCAAAAAGGCACAAGCCAAGCCAGAAAGCGGCATTGCTACGGCTCCGTCCTCTGGCTGAGCTCTGCCAGGTCAGTTGAGGCCTTTCCTTTAAGCCCGAGGCCTCTAGCAGGGCTTGCTCCTGGCGCGGCCGCGGATCACCGGTTTCAGCTGGGCAGCTGGGCCGAGGGCTCGCTCACGCGTTCTCCTTGCGAAGCAGCTTGGACCGCATCTCCGCCATCTCACACTGGTGGCTGCGCAACGAATTCTCGGCGTCCTTCCGAACACTGGGCATGGCACCCTCCGGCACCGGGAAGCACCAAGCAAGAGCCAGTCCGGGCCAGTCCTGTCTCCTTTGGAGCTCTTCTTGCCAATTCTGCTGTGCCCGAGCCGCCTCACTTCGCACCGTCGAAAGGGCTGCATTGAGCTGCTTCTCGAGGTTGCCTGGTGCGGTCCCCTGAATTCACTCCACATCCTACACGTTGAACGTGTCTTCCAACTGCCCGTCAATTCCCCTTCTCCTTTCACCTAGTTGTCTCCCTTAAGACCACTTCCTTCTTATTTCCGGGGCATTTTCGGAGCGTGTCCGTTCCATGTCTCCCCTTTTGCGGAGCCTCGCAAGGCGTCCATGGCAGCGTCCATGTCGCGCTTGGCGCCCCGCAGCTGCACCTCCAGCCGCTGCACCGCCTCCTGTTCGCGCGGCTTCGACTTCTCTCTTCTCCCTTCTTATCCTCCTTCTCTCTTCCTCTTCTTACTTCTTCTTGCTTCTTCTTGCTTCTCATCTCCTTTTTCTCTCTTCTTCAAGACGTCCCGGGTTTCGGTTTGGGTTTTGGGTCATGTTCTTCCGTCGGCATCCCGGCAAGGCAAGGCTCAAGGGCCCGTCCTCACGGATGCGCACCTCTGAAGCCAGGCCCTCGGCGGCGGCATCTGCCCGGAGCCGCAAGGCATCGAGCACCTGGCACGACCGCTCTCGGACGGACCGACCGCATATCGCGTGGGCTTCTTGGGCTTGCCATTCCGACGAACCGAAACACGGCGCTTGACTTTGCAAGAAATTCCAGACTTGGAGTCTCTTCTCCTTTCTGCCACGGTAACATAGGGGCGCCGGAGCTGCCCCTTTCACCGGTGAACCCAGGCTTGTTCAAACTAAGTGGCTGCTTCTACATCTTTGGGCCAAGTGAAGTTCCCACTGAACACGATTTAGGAACTCCCTCGGCAATCCGGCATCGAGAAAAGACAAATCAGTTCTCATCTCAAACATTTTGCCAGAACATCCGAAATCGCATCCAACGCAAAGAAGTCACTATGCACTAAACAGGTGACATGCACACGACTCATACGAAAGAAAGTTCCAAGTCACAGTCGCCACAACCCTCCTCCTTATCTGGGCACCTATTGAAAAAATAGGCACTAGCAAAAGACAGTGGCACGACATTTCGGCCCCAAGCACGTGCGCCCTGTACCTGCCTGCTCCTTGGTGGCCCGCGAATCTGCAGCACTGCAGGTACTTTGCACGACCTCAACGGAGTATGATGGCACGTGCTGGCTCTTCCACACTCTTCCCACATCGCAGCCTCCAGCTGGCTGCACAGTCCATCCACCTTCAGCGTGTCAGCTTGCTTGAGCCATGAAACTCATGCCAGTCTCTGGCCTTGACCGAAAGCAGTCTGAAGCGATGCTCCCAGTCCGGGGTGTCATGCCCCTGCGGCTTGCTGAAACCGTGTAGCTTGAGTGATGAAACGGTGGAAACGGTGGCCTCCAGGCTTCTACTGGCATTGCCCACCTGTGAGTACGAGGTCTGACATGGTCTGACATGCTCTCAAGCTGAAACTGAAGGCCTTCACGTCGGTCTGCAGCCGTGCCAGCTGTTGCTTCACAGCCGTCTGCTCGCGGCACAGCATGTCGAGCCCTTGGCAATCCCGCACTTTTCCCGGCTTCAGCAACCACTCGAAGCGATGGAGGGTGTGAAGGCACGCTCTAGGCAGCGGCGTGTGACATGCTCTTCTGCAATTCGCACCTGCCCAAGCAAGGCAACAGCTCAAGTAGCTCCAAAAAGGCCGTACAGCTGCCTCTTCCTTTTCTGGTTTCGCCGCTTGCCATTGCACCTCCGTGGAATGTGTGCTCTCCGCGCTCGGAAGCGAGAGACCCCCCGCGCCTCGCCCAAGGCCTTCCCGGCTTCAGTCTCCAAAGCCCGGCGTCGGCTCTCTGCACAGCGATCCCAGCGGTGCAAGAGGCTCTCCATGGCCTGACGCGCTGGCCCCATCCTCACATTGCACATTGCACATTGCACATGACGCATGCACGATCATGAACGATGGTGAATATCACATATTGATGCATCACCTCTGTATATATATATATATACATGTATATAATATAGGTACATGTATAGATCTGTCTATTGTCCAAAATGATCTATAATGCCCTGTAGCATCAAACACATTTGCACACTTCGCCTTGCACTGCTGGTGCTCCAGGTCTTCCAGCTGCTCATGCGAAGCCTGGCCCACAAGACACAGATGGACACAGACTCACAAGGCTTCCGCCGGATCGGAGCTGCGCCGGAGCCTTGTACCCGAGCTCCTTTCGAACGCTGGCGACCAAGTCGGTGATCGCCTGCTTTTCGTAGCTAATCGCATCTGATAGCATCTGATAACTCGAAACCTGGCACGTCGCCTGGTACTGATCCGAGAGGCCATGCACGTGCTTGCCGACGGCAGCAAGTTCCTGAAGCCGGAGCAGTGGCCGGAGACGCGGAAGCCTTGCCCTGCCTTCTGGAAGCTCTGCTTCAGCTCGTGGACCTCCCGCTGGGAGGCGGTGCCGCTCATCCTCTCCTTTTCACATGTCATATAACGCGCACACATGGCGCGCACATGGCATACGACGCGCGTGGCAGTCGGCACCACTTCTGCCTGGAGGCATTCCAGGCCAAGCCAATGCTCACGGCTGTGCTGGGCGAACTTCTCCTCCAGCTCCTTCACTTTGGAGCCTCGGGGCTCAAAACATCAAGATCAAATGCTTCGGCTCAGCCGTGAGTGGCATCCCATGGCATCCCTTGCAGAAACCAATGTCCCCAGCCCTGCTTTTGAGATGATTTAACATGCAGGGAGCAGCATTGCTCACTCTGTGTAATCCCAGTTCTGGCGCCTGTCGGACGTTTGATATTTGCACAAGCTGACACGTCTTAATGCTTTACCGTTGCTGTCTTACCTGAACCACGCTCCCCTGAGCAGCTTGTACTTTTGCAAGGAGATATTGCGCGCCGCGTGATTTGCCGTTGCAACGGGGCAGCGCCAGGCCACTCATGTCAGGCGTAAAGTCTTCGACGGCGTCCAGGCGTCTGCCACGGGTGCCACGGCGCGTCTGGGGCGCCCGGGCTGGCCGTCTGCGCCTCCAGCAGCGCCGTGGCGAAGCTCGAGGCCCTGGCGGAGGCCGAGGCCTCCACGGCCGCCGAGAGGCTCGCCTCGCCTGCAAGCGCCGGCAAAGGGAGAACACGCGGCAAAGGGAGAACACGCGGTCCAAGAGGAAACAGCGCGTGGGGAAGTGGCGACCTTTGACCTTTGGGAAAATGCCATTGGAACAGGGCTGTGGGGAATGACCACTTCTGTGATGCAACAGAAAGGGCTTTCCAAAGACTATTGTGTTCATAGAAAGGGGGATTCCCTTGTGTCACAGAAGTGGGGAGAAACCCCTTGATCCCACAACCCTGCATTGGAAGAATGCCACAGAGATGGTGACGGATGGTAACGGTGCGTTGGCCTTCATCGGGGAACTCCCGCACCCAATCGCCAAGGCCTTGCAAGGCATGCGCCGGCCATTCACCACGACTTTCAGCCCCGGGCCAGGGGAAGAACTCGGGCCACTTTCCAGGTGAGTCAGCGCCGCCTGCCGACTGAGCGGAAAACCGGAAATCAACTGGCCGGCTACGCCTCCCAGTACCCGGCCATGGAAGCTGCTCCCAGGGCATGGCCCAGGTCTTTGGCCAGGCCATCCTGAAATCCAGGCGTCGCATCGTTTCCCTTTCAAACATCTCTCAACGAAAAGCCTGGTTGGAGAGGTTGGCCCGGTCCAAAGTTGCGAAGTCCTGCGTTGCAAGACTTCCAAGAGCAAGCTTCTTCAGACAGCGCTCTACACAACTTTTTGCGACCGTCGGGCGAAGTTGCGCCGCCTGCCACCCATGAGATTCCTCCTTGGACGTGGCATTTCTGGACTGGAAGGATGGTGGCTCATCCCCACCTGGGCTGTCAACGCTGCCTTCCCAAAAATCATCTGACCCCAGCAGCTCCAACCAAAAGGCTTGCCCAAGACTTCAGGAAGCTCCGTGGCTTCGACAAGTCAAAGCATGCGGAGGCTGCACTGGGGCGCCCACACTTGCGGAGGTGGCGCCACGCCACACAAAGCTTGTCGTGTGGCCGGTGCCTGAAGATGACCTCAATCCAACCCTCGCAGGGCCCGCAGGCCCGGGCCCCGCAGGGCCCCGCAATGTGAAAAGCTTTGACCATTCAGACGGTCTCCTCAAATCTCGAGCATCTCGAGCCTCAATCAAAAGCCGCTGGCTGCGCCTGGCAGGTCTGCGCGCTGTGGTCCGCGTCGCTCACCACGCCGACATCGCCCGCCGCGAAGTCCTGGAAGTGGCGGCCCTCGGCCACGCAGACCTCGAGGCATCGGACGCTCCCTCGCTCCCTCGCTCTCTCTGACTCCCTTGCTGTAAAAACTTCTTTTCCTTTTGAGGCGCTTTTAAGGCGCTTCAGGCAGCGACCCGGTCGCCCGTTGCGAACCCGAACCCACATCCATCCATTGGAGCGAGCCAGCTGAAAGCTGCAGACAGCACAAACCCATACAAACCCGACAGAGCACTTGCTCGCTTCACTCTGAGCTTGCATGCAAGGCAGCGACCACACTGACGACCAAGACCCTCGCGCCATTGTGCAGGAACATTAAGCCGGTGCCAGCTTGGCAAGCCTGCCATCTTCCACACGTCTCGACTTTGCATGTCTTCAGCGCCTCCCGATTCAAAGTCATCTCCACCTGCCGGGTGAAAATACAGAGTCTGCTCCCCAGGGAACTGAGAGCCCACGCTCGCCCACACGTCCACGTACAGGCTGCCTGGTGAGATCGAAGGGCAAAATGTTTGTGACAATGCCATCATGTAGCGCACCATGATGCACCATGGCATGAGGCATGACGCAAGTTCACGCCTGGCCCCACTTGCTGCAGATGCTTGGAGAGCACCTCGTCCTAGTGGGATGGGGCGAGCTGACCGAAGTACCTCTCTCAAGTTCTCAAGTAACCCATCCAGGCCACAGAGTCGAGGACGATGCGTCTGACTCGGCCTGCCAATGTCGGAAAATGTCGACATGTTTCGGACTCAGGTACCTTCAGGCCTTGAGGCTGGTCGCCGCACCGTAGCCGCAGCCACTTGGCGCCCCTCGGGTCTGTGCAGCTTCAGATTGTGTGGATGCACGCCAAGGCAGCTGCTGGCTGCCTTCTGACACCTCACCAGTGCACATTTTGGGCATGAAGCACATTGCCCCCCTTCAGCTCGTGCCCAGCAACACGTGCTCAAGTGAAGCATGCCCTGCGCTCTCTTATCTCAGCTCTCCGTGCGGCTCGCTACGAAGCATCAAGGTTGTCCATAAGAGCGCGCCATTCTCAGGTGGAGCGCAAAAAATCAACATTGAAAACCCCAAATGGGGCAAAACGTTTGACTTCACCCAAGACTCTTGGCAAAAAATACGGAATGCCTCCGCAGAGCCAGTTTCTGCAGCCTGCGTTCAAGTTGACCAAACTCTGACCCTTCCACAAGAGAGTTATTTAATGTGCTGATGGTGTTGATCAGGCTGGCTGCTGATGCTGGCTCTCTCAACGGCATATGAGTCCGATTCATTTCCCACTGAGTTGCCCGAAGGCTACAAAAAAAGTTGCAATGCCTAATGGGCTGCGAGGATTCTATCTTACAGGCTTAAATGGAACAGTACATGTTGGGCTCCAACAAATCCCCTTCCCCCTTTGGGGGCAGCCCATGGCATGTGGCAAGTGACAGGTCGAGGCCTTGAGGTTGCCTAAGGTTCGGCTTGGCAACCTCGCGCCGTCAAGCTATGCTGTGCGGCAAAAACTGAGCTGAACCAAAACTGTGTGCCCATCCCAAACGTGGGGCGGGTTTCTCTGAACCTGTCCCGGTCCCCGGGAGGTTCAAGACGGTGGCTTCATGGACGTGCGCTCGCCTAAGATTGCAAAAGCTGAAGATTGCAAGGCATCAAGGCACATCAAGGCACATCAAGGCACAAAGTAATTACAAAGAAGCGCTGCATGCAAAGGTCCAGCAGTTTGCCGCTGAGCCGCTCATCCGCGGAAAGGTCCCCTTGCTGTCTGACTCCCCTCCGGGAGTGATGCCGGAGGAAGAGGCCTTAGCCAACGCAATCTGAAAAGCAAACTTGCAGCTCGTGCGTGGGGTTTTCCAGCTGCTTAGTCACACACGCTTTGCCTGCTGGTCTGACAATTCTTGAATTGATAGATACGAGCAGCCTGCATGTACTTTGCAAGGGCACGCTTGCTACGGCTGGCATGGTATATGTACCAATGAGCTGCACCTGCACTCGCAATGGAAAAAAAAAACATATGGCATCCGCGCAAATGTAGCAACAAGCAGCTGCACCCTGTTCCATTGCTATGCGGTGTGCCGAAGACTGCATCTTGTGCCAATCGTACCCTGGCACTGTAGCAATCATACCCTGCGCCACACCAAAGAATATCCTTGGATCGTACCGATCACACCCTGTACCCTACATGTACGGTGTCAATCCTACCCTTGCCCCGAACAAGCCACACCCCTGCGCCGCAATTACTTGTAACTTGTGCGGTACCCTTCGTGCACTTTCGACCAGTTTGAAGAATCAACCCACATGCGCAAATGACGTCTATTTACATGGGTACGGGCGGTACGGGTCAAAATTAAACCACCAGGGGACCGCAGGTTGTAGTCCTTGTTTCCCGTTACTGGGGTTCCATTTGGGGCACTCGTTTTTGCCCCACACCCAAATGACCAAATGCATTGTGCCTGTTCTGACGGGTTCCGTGGGCCCGGCTCTTTCATGGACAGGGCGAGTTGAAGCGGCTGCTGCTGGCGGCGCTCCACGACCTCCTTCCACAGCTCGCGCTCGTGCTTCACACGCTCCTGATCGGAACTCCGCTTGGCATCGCTTGGCCATCCGAAGATCTCGCTCCCTGCCCCTTGTTTGCGGAGGCTCGAGTGATTTTCGCCCCCTGCCCTCCCTGTTCCCCGGCTCCAGTTGCGACTCGATGTGCTGCTGTGAGATCTGCAGCAGGCGCAGCACACTGTGGTCAGCCTAAGGCTGCGGGCCAAATGCAAAAGCTTTGCCCAAGCCGCCCTGATCACTCATGCCCACGCCCAACATTTCAGAACAGCCCGGCTGCCTTCTTCGCAATCATGTCCAAGATGTTCCGGAATCGCTGGGAACAGCGTTGTCGCCACGCTTTGTCCACCCGGAAGGCCAGTGTCTCTGCGCTCTCCTGGCAAGTGCAGCTCGTGCGAAACATGGACTTCTCGAAAGCCAGGTTCAAGCAAACAGACCCATCTGGCACCGCACTTGATCTGCCTTGACAGACAAAATTGTCATGTTTGTTTGTTGTGTCTTATCGTGCTTGTTTCTATGCTTGCGAATATAGACCTCATGCGGGGCCGCACATGCAAATGCACGTGAAATGCCAGTTCTGCAAGCTCTGATGCACACGCTCAGCCAACCTCGAGAAACGAAGCTCCTCCCAGCCCAGAAGCTCCACGTCCGCCTCACCGGCATCTGCTCCCTCCGCATCGTCGAACCGCGGGCCCGGGAAGACCCCGACGACTTGCGCGAACTTCACGACGCCTGGCGCTGTGCCAATCGGCGGTGCGGGCCGTTGCGAGCGCTGCCAGTGCCAAGCATTCCCCGCCCACACGCATCGCGAACCTATCCGACGCATGTGGAATAGGTGCGGCGGCCTTTGGTGAGCGAGGAGACGCAGTGCTTCACGTCTTCGAAGGGCTTCTCATTGACCTGGCCACCCGGAGGCACCGCATTGAATTCGCTTCAAACTGAAGGCCAGCATGCACGAATGCCTTGGCTGTCCTGCCTTGGTGTCCAGCACGTCATGGATTCCATCCAGCTGAGCTTTCATGTTCTGCGAATCCAGGTTGCGCTGCTTGTCCAACTTCTTGCAAGCCTCGAGCAAACGCTTTGGCAAGGTGCCACATTGTAAAAAGTGGCGGGCATCCGCATCGCCGCTTTTGGCCTTTGCAGCCCAGACACGTCCCCCACTTTCTGGATGTCAACCTCGTGGCTGGCGCTCTTCACGGTGAGGCCATTCACCTCTCCGAAGCGTCACGCGATATCCCGCGAGGCCGCCGACACCGACACCTCGGTGGGTGGGTCCCGCGACTCAGCGCCTCCTCCCGAAGCTTCAGGATGTCGCGCTTCTGCTCCCCGAGGCCTCCCTGCACCCCGCTCATGCCTCACTTCCGACATCGACATCCGCTCATGCGAACTCACGCACACTGCGATGCGAAGATGCGCGATAGATGGCGAACATTGGCGGATCATTGCGACACGGCGGCACTCGTGACCAGTGACTGGTCTTGGCGCGACTTGGCAGAGCTTAGCACTGGCTCTCACCGAGGGGCGCAGGTCCAGCGCGCCCAGGCGCCGAGACGCCTCTGCGGCCCGCAGCTCGGACTGCTGCTCCTGAAAAGCTCCGGGAGGAACCCGCTGGCTTACCCGAGACACTCGTGTGTGTGTGTGTGTGGCCCTGGCTTCATCTGGCACGCATTCTGCCAAGGCTCCACATCTCCCATCTTCTCCATGGTTTCCTGCTGCTTCTGACGGATGTCGTTCTTGACCCGTGCCTGCAAAAGCCCACTGGGATGCGTCTGGAAATCTCGTCGCATAGATGGTGAAAAGGTCGCTTGGTTGATCCACCGGACTTCCGCATTCTGAGAATTCTGGGATTCAGCGGCAAGTGCTATAAGCCGGCCAGCCTCTGTGTCGGCGAGGCTTCTCTCCAAGTCACTGCGCACCACAGCCACCTGCGCACTCGGCGCTCAGGGGATTTCAGGGGGGGATCTCGCGTTGGCCACGGGGGCCTCGTTGAAGCAGTCGCTGAGCGAGTTCTGTGTGGTGTGGAGGCTCTCCTCAGGTCGAAGCTTGGGGCAGCGCCGGCCTTTCTCCGCCTTTCCGACGCTTCCCGTCCTGGGTCGCAGAAAGGTCCTTGTTGGTGAAGTCGATGCGTCCGTTGAGAGCATTGATGGCCTGAGCTGGTGGGGGGTTGTCTCCAGCTGGCAATCAAAATTGCCGGGTGGAATTCAATCGAGTTCAAACCATCATCATATGAAAGTTAACCATCAGGATTCTGAACTCTACAGAAAAGGCTATGGCCAGGTCCAACGCCCAGACTTCGAAAGAAAGCTAGCTCTGCCTGCAGACATGTAGCGTGATCGGTGTCAGAGGCCAGCTTGGCTTTGGACTCTTCCAGGTTTGTCTCCACAGAGGTGATATCGTGCCGAATGGTGGCCAAGATCTCGTCCACCTGTGCTCCCTCTCCCTCCCTCTCCCTCCCTTTCTCCCAATTGCCAAGGCTTCCCAGATCTTCCCAGCCCCGGAGCACAGCCAGCCAGAGCCAATCGAGCGCGCCTTGCGGCGGCGTGCGTCGACATCCAGGCGCAAGGACGACACCATGTCGCGGACCGTCTTCACCGCCGCGTCGAGGTCGTCGTTCGCCTCGGGCCGAGGCAAGTGCCAGATGCACATCCCCAGCTTGGCCCGCGCCTCCTTCCAAGCGACATTGTCCACCTTCGTGTCCAGCTTGGCGGTGAACTCCTCAGCAACATCAAGTGAAATAAAACGAAGAAGCCAGGAAGCATACACTCATACACACGTGCACGGCACATGATGCACTGGGTCTGTGGCATTCTTGAGGTTGATCAGGTCTTCAGTCGTGTTGTCCTCCTTCTCCTGCATCTGCTGCAGGGTGTTCGAGACATCCTCCATCCAGGAGTCGTGGTTCTTGAGTGCTTCCTGAATGTCGCCAATGTCCAGGCGCATGGTGGAGATCTCCGCCGTCATGGTCGCCTCCACCCGCTGGCGGCTGGTGATGATCGAGTGCGTCGCGTCGACGCGGGCGCGCATCTCGTCCAGGTCCACGTTCACAGCGTCCATGGCGGCGGTGAAGTCTTCCATGTCCCGCTCGCAGGCCAACACGATGCGGCGGATGTGGTTCACCTCGCCCTTGCTGTTGGTCATCATGTCCTTCAGCTCGCCCACATCGAACTTCAGCTGATCCAAATCCTGGTAATGCGGAAAAAAATCGCACATGCCGGCATGGCGCGTGTGGAAGAGAGAAAAGTGAGTGCATGCATGCTTGTTGGCAAACCTGGCTGCATGCATCTGGCCTCTGCCATCGTGTCGAGGCCAGCGTCACCTCCACCTGCGCCGGCGCCATCCATTGGCTTCGCAGTGGAAGTGCCGCGCTGCACGTGGGAGAGCTTCTTATCAAAGTCGGTGGCAACGGACGAGAGCCTGGGATTGATTGGCGAACCACAGGCTCATACCAAATCATGCGAACAGCGATGCGGGGCCCAAAGGAGAGCTTGCGGATCCCTCAACTTTGGGGGGGGGGGGGGGGTGTCGCCAAGCAAAGCGGCTGGCTGGTGAGCTGGGACTCAAAGTCTTGGAGCCTCGTAGCAACCTGTCGTAACGGGCAAATGTGCGCGCATCACATCGAGCCATATGATGTCATATGATGTCGTATGGCCATGGGTCAAAGACCCCTACCCCCAGTGAACATCCCAATCCCCACTAAAATAGGTCCTAAAATGGGTGGTGCACCTGCCCCAAAATGGGATCCCATGGGTTTTGACCCGCAGCCATATGACGTCAAGTCAACGAGATCTCCGAGCCTTCTTCATGATCTGCGCCTCTGCTCCCTTCTTCAAGTCTTCGCCCGGGCCAGCCTCCACCTTCGCCTCTAAAGATGAAACCAGTTGCTGCAGCTCCTCGCAAAGCGGGGAAAAACTAGAACCAATCTCAACGTGACTCAACTGCTTTGGCGGCGAGCTGGTGAGCCGGCACGCACCTTCTTGTTGTTGTCCAGCTTCTTCGCCAGCTCCTGCCGGTTTGTAAAGCTTATCTCCTGCATGCTGGGGGTCTGGGACCTACAGTCACTGGTGCACGAGAAACCTGCCAAGGGGAAGCTTCTCCCAATGTGCAAGTCCTATAGTCCTACTCATGCTCCTTTGGTGAACACAGGGAACGGCTGAACTCGCAGGCTCCTCGCGCTCGCTCTTCGTAGCGCTCTCCATGGCTTCCAGGCGCTTATGCACCTCCTGTGTGCAGTCAGCCAATCGCCTTGAGCGCATGTAGCCGAAATTCACGTGCACCCGACCTACAATCCCATATTTGATCATGGCAATCTTCATGCTCATGGACATCAGAAGGATGTCTTTTTGAAGCTGGCCCACTGGTCCGTTTGGATGGCATTTTGGCTTGGGTGCAAACGTTGGGTTGTCGCCATTCCCATTTGCTCCTCGTGCCCAGGAGCAGCCCCTGCCGGCGTACCACCCGATGCGCCAGCTCCAGCCTGGCAAGCCCGCGCTCGAGGCACCGCAAGCCGCAAGCAAGATCTGACATCCGGATGCGGCAGGCCTCCACTTTCGCCTCCAACGCGGCCATACGCTCCAGCAGCTCCTGGTCGCAATCAAATGTCAAACATCGACGCGGTCTCGGTGACCTGCAGAAAACGAAACATAATCCGCCGACCCTCTGCCTCCCGTCCCAGCCTCCTGCAGAGGGGACCGGCGTGGGATGCAACTGGAAGTGATTGGAATCAATGATAGTCCCTGGGGGCACGCCCGAACACACAAAAAGTGGATTCCCAGGACCGGTCCCGGGACCGGTCCCGGGACCGGTCCTGGGACCAGTCCTGGGTCCTGGGACTCGTCCTGGGACCCTGGTTCTGCTGTTTCAGATTACTTGTAGTCAGCCAAAACCCGGTCCCGGGACCGGTGGTCCCGGGATCGAGTCCTGGTGTGACCGCTGGTACTTCAAATTGCTGTGGTGCGACCTCAAAAAGCTCCAGAAAACTTTCCGGACTGGCACCCAGGACGCTGGACAGGGTCCCGGGTCGTCACTGATTGCGACCAGTTGAGGGGGACCGACAGCCTTGTTTCTAGGACCAGCTGAACGTGACTTCGGCACAAAACGGCCCGTGCGGTTATTGACGGACGAGCTGTCATCTGTCTGACTTTTCCGTTAATCCTTGTGGTAGTAGAGGATCCCTGGATCCATTCTGCAAGAGAGTCCAATACGTCGAGTCAAACCGCGCCAGACTGGGACCAGCCTGGATAGGGTCCCAAGTCCCGGTCCCTGCCGGCGACCGGTCCAGGCCAACTTCGGGAGGGCCAGCTTCAGGGCGACCGCGGGAGAGGCGCCAACTCGAAGTGACTTGGGCGCAAGCCGGCCCAAGCGGGAATTAAACGGACTAGCTGCCCTATTTCTGACTTTTCCGTTAATCCTTGTTTGTGGTCGTAGAGGATCTTCTAAGTGGTCCCTGGGTTTGCGGACGTGTTTCAGGACCGGTCCTTGTGACTTTTCCCTTAGCAGGCGGGAGCCTGGTTAATATACGAAACATGCGGTCCATGTGGCCCGCCTCTTTGATGCTTCTGGCTGAGCTGTCGCACTTGGCCTCGACGGCGGTGAAGCGCTTCTCAAGCTCCTGCCACTCTCCACGCGTGGGCCAACAGTGCAGCCTACCCTTGCTGTGTTGCAAGTGCAAGGAAGGGGCCGCAAGCGGCACACAGCTTTCCCAGTCCGGGATGCCCTCCGCGATGCGCTTGCACAGCTCCTCCAGACATAATATGACATAATATGAGAAAGAACAATGGCCAAAGCAAAGGCAAGATGTGAAGGATAACTTCCGACCGCTCATGTTTGAGCCTTCAGTGTGGCAAAGAGAGGGTTGCAATTGTTGCCTTGGCCAACCTTGGTCACACCTTGCCAGCTTCCACAAAACTCAATCGATTCTCCTTCATCTGCTCCTCCGAAGTCGCCATGATGCCAGCGTGGGGTCAATAGGCAAATAGATTGCCAGCCCCAAAACTCGCGATCCAAATGACTGCGGCATGCTTGCCTCCTTCTCTGCCTCACCTGCTCAAGACACGAATGGCCCCGAGATGGCCCGAGATGGCTCCTGGGATGGCCCGAGATGGCCCGAAACCTATCAAACAGACGTCCTGTCAAAACAGACGTCACAGCGTCTCGTGGTTCATGGGCCGCGGCGCGCAGGTGCTGCGCTGCGGCGCGGGCCAAGTCGAGGGCGGACACCTCCTGCAACATGGCTTTCAGCCCGCGCTCGGCAAAACGCACCCCAAACCCGAAACACAGCCACCCCACGTCGCGTAAAGAAGCAAGATACGGAAGCAGGCACAGATGCAAAGATTTCGGCCCAGCCAAAACTCGGGGACAAAAAGGGTCAAGCAGTATGAGGTGAAGCTGGCAAAGCTGCCACTGGTGAATTGAGGCCAGAAACGCCAAAGAGTTCAGAATACAAATGCCAAGCAACATCTGGACAGCCGAGCCCCAAGCCCAATAACGACAGGCTATGAGCCATGGGCCAACAGCGTGTTTGCTCCGTCTCAGCTTCCCGCCGGCTGGCAAATGAAGTGGTGGTCCCCTTCACTCAAGTGAAGCCGCACCTGGACCGAGCTGCAGAAGTTCTCCCCATAAAATCCCATAAGCCCCTGCCATTGAATCTCCAGGGCCCAGGCTCCGGCCAAAGCTGGCATGTCAGAACTCGCATGAAAGAAACGTAGCTGGCTGGAGCTGTGAGTGAAGCACTTGCCACTGTCAATGTCAAACAAGCCTTCTGCCCAACACAATGTTGACATCCGGCCCTCTGCTCGAGCCACCCCTTCGCCAATGGAGGCTTTCAACCTGCTTTCACCCGGCATCTGTTGTGTGGTAGTTGCTGTCCGACCTTCATCTGTGGAAACAGATTTTGCCAACAAATGCAAAACTCTGGACACCCCCGCAATTGGGCATGATGTTGGCCTCCGAAGCATCTGCCGCCTTTTGACAGCCAAGCAGAGCACCGGAGGTAGCACAGCCGCCCTCCTTGCGCAAAACTCGCGGCCTGAGCATTGATGCGAAACACTGCCAGCTGCCTGCACCAGCATGAACTGAATTGTCAAACATGCTCGAACGGCATGCTGAAGGCACGGTTTTCTGTGAGCGAGTTGTGCATGCCAAGTGATTGACACGCGGAAAGAGCACATGGCGGCACATGGTTTGGGCCGCGAGCCGCAAGAACACTCCCGGTGCAGTCGCTTGCCGAGCTGACACCATCGACTCCACGGGCCCGGCTTACAGCCAAAGCTCGGGACTGGCCTTCTCATCCTCAAAGCCAGGATTGGTCAAGCCATTGGTCTACAAGTCTACACCTCCTCATGCCACAGTTATAAGATGTTATAAGCCCCCAAGCGGTCCTCTGCCCGAATCCCGCGTGCGCGCAAGAGAGCCAACTCCACGTCTTTCCTTGGCTCGGTGCGCCTTGACTTTGAAACACCTGAAGCAACCAGCTGCCAGCCTGCCAGCCTCTATCTGCTTTGCCGCGGCTCTGCGTAAGTTCGCGCTCCTGCTTCTCCAAGTGCCTCTCCAGCTCTGCTATTCCTCGGTGCCACTTTGGCGCCCCAAAGGTGCAAACGATTGCAAACGGAACCGTGGCAAACCGCAGCCCGTGAGTCCGTGAGTCACTCTTGAGCCCAGCATCGGACCTCTCGGGCCAGCAGCTGCCGCCCAAAGTCGACCACCTGCTCGACTCGTTGATGCCGATTCTTTGAGCCTATGTACGCTTGCGCAGCTTGGCCCGCCTGCTGGTCCTGCTCTGCCACGCGCACCTCCAGCTGGGCGATCCGTGCATCCCGGTTCTCCAGGTGGTGCCCAGCCTCGGATCCGAAAAAGCGAAGGCAAAACCGGCCTCGATACACTGCGGTTGCGGTCGTCTTTCGCGGGCCTCGCTGAGGTAGGCGATCTTCGCCTGAAGCGCCACAAATCACGCGAGACAAGGGTTCAGCCGGCCTGCGCAGCTTCCAGGCGCAGAAAAACACATTGGCTCGGCCCAGGGGATTCGTGCGCTCTTAGGGCATCGCGGCGGCCTGGCATTTGACTCGCTGTGAAAGGGAGATTTGAGGAGATTTGACTCGGCTCCAAAACACTCAATTGCACTTGCAAAACTGCACTCAAGCACCATCAACGTGACCAGCATGCTTTTAATGCCAGGAATCACCAGCGGGCTGTTGGTCCAAGCTGCTTGGACTGGGCTTAGGGTGAGTTTCAGATTGGCTTGTGGATTCAGGATTTGTATAGGGTAGGTTTACGGGTGGTTTGTGGCGGGCTTAGGCTTAGCTTAGGGTTGTGCTTCTAAGGATAGATTTAGGCTTGGGCTTGGGGCGTGGAACAAGCAAAAAACATCCTGGCCCAGAACAAAGTGCCCTCCTTAGTAAAATCTAGCAAAATAAAGTTGGCAGCTCACCACCTTTGCAAGACCAATCGATGAAGTTTGCATAGGCCGCCTGCCTGTCCAGCCACATCCTCGACGACACCGTACTGGCAACTCATCAAGTAGACTGCGCAGCGCCTGGAGGGCGACTCGGATGCTCTGACGAGCTACTAGCTCGGTCGATCGAGCGAGACATCGAGCGCTGCCAGGTGCCAGGTGCTGCCAGGTGCCTGGTGAGGGTGCAGGTCCCGGACACAAATCTCCGCCCGGCAGGTGGGGCAGTGCCCTGAACGCTCGGAGCGATCGTCGGGATCCTCAGACACTGCGGGGCCAAACCCGGTCAAGATTCACGTCATCCCGAGCCCTCTCTGCCTCTCTGGAAGGCACTGTGAAATGAGGCTGGCACTGACTCGGCCACGAGGCATTGCTCTACGCAGCAGCGGCAAAAGACGTGCTGGCAGGGCCGGCCGCCGCAAAAGACGGGGTCCGCAAAGACTTCGAAGCACACCTCGTCCCGGCAAAGGTGGGCTGACCGGCAAAAAGACCACAAAGCACGGCCACAAATGTGAAAAGGAGGGGTGCCTTGGCTGATGTGCGCTTCAAGGAGCTTCGGGTGTTTAAAAATAAGCTCAGGCGATATCCCCAACAGCGCCACACCCTCCAGAACCCTCGCGGAACCCTCCTGGAACCCTCCTGGAACCCTCCTTGGAACCGCCCTATGAACCTTGCAGAACCCTCGCGGAACCCGCCCCGCACCATTCCGGAACTTTCCCGGAGCTTTTGCAGAACTCTCGCGGAACCCTCGTGGAAACTTCCTCAGAGCCGCCCCGGAGCCTATCTGGGCAGAGACCCCATCGCTGTCAGTTGTTAGGGAAAAGCAGTTGCCGCATGAACTGGAGACTCTTCCGGCACAGTGAAGGGCCATGGAAACATGTCCTGAAATAGGTGTGCAACAAGCTGCTTTTCATGACGCTTCCGAAGCTATTCCCTGGACACCCCGTTGAAAGAAAGACTGCGGTTAAATGCTTCTGTTCTTGAGGTTCGAGACTAGTAAAAGACTTGACAGTGAAGAGCTTTAGACAAGCCACAAATCCAAGCCACCAATCATGGTGCGCTGCCGCTTTTGCTTGGGACGCCGCCTTAACTGCACAAAGGCGCAGCCGACGGGCCCCGATCGGGGCCTGACGGCGCCATCGAGCCCCGATCGGGGCCATCGGGGCCCGGGGAGCAAACCACCAATCCAAGCCACCAGTCACAGCGCGCCGCCGGTTCTGCTTTAGACGCTGCTTTCCAGCCGTCGGGCCCCGATCGGGGCCCCACAATCGGTGCTCGACCGGCGCCCGGGAAACCACCAATCCAAGCCACCAATCATAGTGCACAGCCGGTTTTGCTTTGGATGCGCTTTAGCTGTTAAGGTACAGCCGGGCCCGATTGCGCCGTCGGGCCCCGAGGCCCGACGGCGCAATCGGGGCCCGACGCTGCAATCAAAGCCCGACCGGGGTACGGGGAGCAAACCACCAATCCAAGCCACCAATCATAGCGCACAGCCGGTCTTGATTAGGATGTCGCTTTAGCTGTTAAGGCACATGCAGCCTGGCCGGACGGGTGCCAGCGGGCCCCGATCGGGGCCCGACGGCCCAATCGCAGTTTGACCAAGGTTTGGGAAGCTCCAGACTACCAACCCCTTGTAAAACCTTACCTCAGGACTGCGCTGTGGAAATCTTGTGGAGCCGTCTTGTGGAACCCTGTGCCCGCAGCCCTTGGAACCCAAAGCCCACCGGGCTGCGTTGTCTGACCTGGTGGCCGCGCAGAACCTCATGGTAGCTGGTGGAACCCTGGTGGAATTTTGGTGGACCCTGGTAAAACTCTGGTGGTGGAACTCTGGTGGAACCCTCGTGGAACCTTACTTCAGGACTGCCCGCCACCCCGCAGCCCTTGCAGAACCTCGTTGTGAAAGTGTGCTCAAACCATTGACTTTCGGTTTTGCTTAGTGTTCCGCCCATGAGCAAACCCTTGCTGGTGGAACCCTAGTTGAACCCTCATGAAACCTTACCTCAATCCCGCCCCGGACCACCCCGCCGCCCTTGCAGAACCTCGTGGAACCCTGGTGGAACCCTGGTACGAGGGTTCCACCAGAGCTCCACATGTTTTTTTACAGGGTTTGGCAGTGGTCCAGGGTCCCACGAGGTTCTGGCAAGGGCTATGGGGTGGTCCGGGGTGGTTTAGGACACCTAAAAAACTAGACCACGGTTGGCCCGAAAGCATAACATCGCAAGCGAGGTTGGCCCAACGCTGCAGGATGCGTCTTTTTCCCTACACGAAGCATTCATGAAGCAAGCGCGAGACAGCACCAGGCAAGGTGCTCTGCGCAAACTGGTCGGTGCAAGTTGGTCTGCGCAAGTTGCTCTACGCAAGTTGCACTGTGCAAGTTGCTCGGCGCAAGTTGCTCCGCGCAAGTTGCTCCGTGCAAGTTGGTCCCTGCAAGTGGCTCCCTGCAAGTTGCTCTGTGCAAATTGCTCCATGCAAGTTGCTCCCTGCAAGTTGCTCTGTGCAAGTTGCTCTGTGCAAGTTGCTCTAGGCAAGGCGCTCTGCGCAAACTGGTCGGTGCAAGTTGGTCTGCGCAAGTTGCTCTGCGCAACTTGCTCTGCGCAAGTTGCTTTATGCAAGTTGCATCTTGCGACGCCCGCCCGCGGACCAGGGAGGAATCGAACCCGGGACCCGCCGGTCCCGGGAGCAGGCGCGCGAACCACGAGACAACTCCCGAGGACCAGTTCGAACAACAAAAGTTGTAAAAAACCTCGCCCACCACGCCGATCCCCGCAGAGGGTCGCGCGAGCAGGCTAAAAATCGCAAAAAACCTCGAGTTTTTGCACCTCAACCACGCCGATCCCCGCAGAGGGTCGCGCGGGAAAAATCGCAAAAACCATGGGTTGTTTTGCACCTCGACCACGCCGATCCCCGCAGAGGGTCGCGCGGGAATGTTAAAACTCGCAAAAAACCATGGGTTTTTGCACCTCGACCACGCCGATCCCCGCAGAGGGTCGCGCGGGAAAAATCGCAGAAAACCATGGGTTTCTGCACCTCGACCACGCCGATCCCCGCAGAGGGTCGCGCGAGCAGGTAAAAGATCGCAAAAAAACCTCGAGTTTTTGCACCTCGGCCACGCCGATCCCCGCAGAGCCCCGCCGCCCTAAGAAGATATTTTAACTCCTCGCAAGTCAATTGCACTTGACTCCTTGCACTTGCAACTTGCACTTCACTCCTTGCACTTGCAACTTGCACTTGACTTCATGCTCTTGCAACTTGCACTTGACTCCTTGCGCTTGCAACTTGCACTTGACTCCATGCGCTTGCAACTTGCACTTGACTCCTTGCACTTGCAACTTGCACTTGACTCCTTGCACTTGCAACTTGCACTTGACTCCATGCACTTGCAACTTGCACTTGACTCCATGCACTTGGCTCCTTGCACTTGGCTCCTTGCACTTGGCTCCTTGCGCTTGCAACTTGCACTTAACTCCGTGCACTTGCAACTTGCACTTGGCTCCGCTGGGCTCCTTGCAACTTGCAATGACTCTCATGACTCCTTGCAATGACTCCTTGCCATGACTCCTTGCAATGACTCCTTGCAATGACTCCTTGCAATGACTCCTTGCAATGACTCCTTGCAATGACTCCTTGCAATGACACCTTGCAATGACTCCTTGACTCCTTGCAATGACTCCTTGCAATGACTCCTTGCAATGACACCTTCCAATGACTCCTTGCGATGACGACTCCGTGCAATGACTCCTTGCAATGACTTCTTGCAATGACTCCTTGCAATGACTCCTTGCCATGACTCCTTGAAATGACTCCTTGCCATGACTCCTTGAAATGACTCCTTGCCATGACTCCTTGCAATGACTCCTTGCAATGACTCCCTTGCAATGACTCCTTGCAATGACTCCTTGCAATGACTCCTTGCAATGACTTTCATGATGATGATTCCTTGCAATGACCTTGCAATGACACCTTGTAATGACTCTCATGAGAACAACTCAAGTGAACCCAGCGGAAGAACCCTTCGCCATGCTTTTGGGAAAAAGTGGTTTTCATTCAAGACACGGCCCAAAACAATAGGTGTCCGAAAGTATGTGATTTGGGGTGGGCAAACCCCAGTTTGGGACACCTAAAAAAAGTAGTTTTCATTCAAGACACGGCCCAAAACAATAGGTGTCCGAAAGTATTTGGTTTGGGGCGGGCAAACCCCCAGTTTGGGACACCTAAAAGAAGTGGTTTTCAAGACACGGCCCAAAACAATAGGTGTCCGAAAGTATTTGGTTTGGGGTGGGCAAACCCCGAGTTTGGGACACGTAAAAAAAGTGGTTTTCAAGACACGGCCCAAAACAATAGGTGTCCGAAAGTATTTGGTTTGGGGTGGCGAAACCCCCAGTTTGGGACACCTAACAAAAGTGTTTCCAAGACACGGCCCAAAACAATAGGTGTCCGAAAGTATGTGGTTTTGGGGTGGGCAAGCCCCCAGTTTGGGACACCTTAAAAAAGTGTTTCCAAGACACGGCCCAAAACAATAGGTGTCCGAAAGTATGTGGTTTTGGGGCGGGCAAGCCCGCAGTTTGGGACACCAACGGCGTCTGCAAACACATACCCGGAAACTGGGGGCTTGCCCACCCCAAAACCACATACTTTCGGACACCTATTGTTTTGGGCCGTGTCTTGGAATAGGTGAACTTGTATTTTACACTAGGTCCGCAGCAGATACGCCGGGCCCGGCCAGCAAATAAACAAAAGGAAGTTAAACTTGTGTTTTGTACTAGGTCCGATGGGGCCCAGAAGGTTTGAATCTATCTTTGGGAAGCTTAGAGAGCTCTTGGAAAGGATCTGCGTCCTTAGGTCTGGACATTGGAGCCCTGACCATGAAGGTTCAAGCACCTTGGGACCTAAAGGTTGGCACTCAATGTTGGAGGGCTTAGGTTGCCGCTCTTAGGGTGGACCCGTGACTTTAGCTGCAACAATGGGAACTTAACGATGAAGGATGAAGCACTGGTAGGTTGGATGTTGAAAGGTTGGTTTTATAGACTTGCTCACGGGGTCAGACGACGCGGCCCGAAAGGATTTGGCTTTGAGTAAATGCTTGGCATGACTCCTGGAGGCCCAATTGATCAATACAAAAGTGCTCAATTGCATTTTCGGAGTTCGAGCGCTTTTTTCTACTCGATTGGAAACGGACAGTTTTGAAGACGGCCTGGCCCAAAATTTGCCCCGCGTTTCGAGCGCGATTCGGAGCAACTTCAGGGCAAATCCGCGCAACCGAGCGAAATTTCAAACTGCCCGAAGTCTGGTCACTACACTAGCGCCAGGTCGTTTGCTCCCACAAACGTTTCGGGCGCTTTTTGCGCCGAAAGGATTCGAGCACAAACTCCAGGCTTAGTACTACTTGGTTCCGCGAAGCTGCAAAGGCTATGGGGTGGTACAGGGCTCTGTAACAAGGGTTCCACGAGGTTTCCACGGTTTCCACCAGTTTCCCACAGAGGTTTCACGCTGAGTTCCACGAAGGAACCACAGGTGGGCACATCGGGCCCCCATCGGGGCCCGACGGTCCGACCAGACCGGGGAGCAACCACCAATCCCAGCCACCAATCATAGCGCACAGCCGGTTTTGCTCTGGATGCTGCTTTAGCTGGTAAGGTACAGCTGTCAGGGTCCGATTGCGCCGTCGGGCCCTGATCGGAGCCCGATCGCGCCATCAGGGCCCGACGCTGCAATCGAAGCCCGACCGGGGCCCGGGGAGCAAACCACCAATCCAAGCCACCAGTCACAGCGCGCCGCCGGTTTTGCTTTAGATGCTGCTTTACAGCCGTCGGGCCCCGATCGGGGCCCCACGCTGCAATCGGGGCCCGGGAGCAAACCACCAATCCAAGACACCAATCATAGCGCACAGCCGGTTTTGCTTAGGATGTCGCTTTAGCTGTGAAGGCACATGCAGCCATCGGCCCCGATCAGGGAATCGGCCCCGATCGTCCCTGATCGGGGCCCCACGGTGCCGGCCCAATCGGGGCCTGACCAAGACCTGGGAATCTCCAAACCGCTCGTGGATGGAACCCTCGTGGAGCCCAGTGTGAAACGCTTGTGGGAACCTTCCCTCAGGACTGCTGTGTGGAAATCTTGTGGAACCCTCGTCTTGTGGAACCCTTTTGGAACCCCTGCCGTGAGCAAGTGTATGCAGTGAAAGTGTGCTGAAAACCATTGATTTTAGGTTTTGCTTAGTGTTCCGCCCATGAATGAGCAAACCGTCGTGGAACCCTGGTGTAGTCGTGGAACCTTGCCTCAATCCCGCCCCGGACCACCCCGCAGCCCCTGGTTGGTGGAACCCTGGTGGAACCCGCCCCGGACCACCCCGCAGCCCTTGCAGAACCTGGTGGAACCCTGGTGGAACCCTGGTGGAACCCTGGTGGAACCCTGGTGGAACCTCCCCGGAGCCTATCTGGGCTGAGACCCCTTAGCTTTCAGCTGTTGGGGAACTAGTGCCCAATGCATGCAACTGCATCAAAGTCCTGGGAATGACTGGTGCCAACTTGTTTGTCCAAGAGATGCCGCAGACAGAAAACGTTGGAACACCGCGGCTGCTGCCAAAGATGCCGGGCATTTCAGCGTGTCAGAAATGGCATCCGGATTCAGCAACTCAGCCTCCATTTCCATGGCCCGCTTCACATGGAGATGCGAAAGAGACAAGTTGGGCGGACCGGCGGACCGGCGGACCGCCGTGTCTTTGCAAAACATCTGACTGAGAAGTGCATACCGTTCTGCCGTTCTGCCGTTCTGGCCATGTGACTTGGGCCGGTGTGTCAAGGCGTGCCGCAGCAAAGCTCCCTGCGTCCAAGGCCACAGCTCAAAGGGACCTACAGCTTAACTGAATCCTCGCAACGGTAAGCCGTAAGCCCTCGTAAGGTTCGTAGTCATGGCCCCCAAGCCTCTGAAGCAACGCCAAAGCTGAATCACTTGTGGCCCGTGCGCCTGGCATTGAATTCCATGCCTGCGAGGCGGAAAGTGAACAAACATGCGTGTTGGTCAACACGCATGTCAACCAAAATATTTCAAGATGTAGGCAATGTAGGGTTTGCAGATGGTTTGCAGGTTTGAAAATGATTCCGACAAAGCAAGTCAAGCAAGCGCCGTTTTGCTCGAACTGCTCATGCTCCTACCAGTGGACACGCTGGGAGCTGAAACGATAACATATCTTAACCACTCTTGCTTCGATCAGTTCGGTACTTCAGAAGAGGAACTTCTTGACGCCCAGGTGAGCACCGCAGCGTCCGCAGTGATGATGCGCATCTTGCAAGCTCTCCACGCAGCACGGTAAGAAGCCGACGCAGCACAACACGCCGCTGCTGAGGCACGTGAAGCCCAAGCAAAAAGCCCACCCTCCTGTGCCCATCTGATAGTTGACCTGCGACATGCTCACTTGCCTGCAGTGTGGGCACGTCGCGGTGGTGGGGACATTTGACATGTGAACCAATGCTGTGTTCACAAAGACTTCTCGCTGTTGTGGGGCATATGGTGGAGGAGCTGTAGCCATAGGCTGTTGTGGGGCATATGGTGGAGGAGCTGTAGCCATAGGCTGTTGTGGAGCATATGGTGGAGGAGCTGTAGCCATAGGCTGCATAGGCTGCGGCTGCATCTCCTGCTGCGGCGCAGCCATCAAGGGCTGGCCGCCTTGCGCGGGTTGCACGGACACAACCACGCCGGGCTCCATCAGCCGCTTCAAAGGCTCACTCGCGGCGTTGCTGTCTTGAGCCAAGGCCGAGGCATCCATCCGTTCCATCCGTTCCATTCCACTTCGGCTCGGCAAGCTTCGGATGAACAGCAAAGACCCGCAACTCAAAAACGCTCGCAAACGCAGGCCGATGGCGCCAGGGCCCCGGACCCAATGCCACGGGGCTGTGAAAGGCCGGGGGCCCCCACGGCACAACGCTGAAGCCAAGCGATGCAACAGTTGAGGCTTGCTCTCCGGATAGGTGCGAGCGCATCATGCTCCAAGCAGTGCTCCACGCCAATTGAGCAAAACTCAACGTGACCAACGTGACACGTGCTCGCTTTTTTCCTGGCTACTGCCGTTTCCGATCCACAATCAGAAACGAGCGGCATGCAATAGAGTCGCAGCTGCACTGTACAAGGCTGCGCACTGCAAAGTCGTCCCAGGCAATCCCTTTTTGGGATGCCAAGCCTGATTGGCTCAGGTTTTGGGACACTTTCGGCCCCACCTCCGCTCATTCGAAGATTGCTGGGCCAAGCTCGTTTCCAGTGGGCTAGGTTGACATGTTGAGTGCGCCTACGAGCGGCTTCCGAAATGTGCCGTTGGACTGTGGGACACCCTCGGCTCATGACTTCACATCACGCCCTGGAGGAAGATCACCTGTGCCAAAACGTGCCAAAGGTCACTTGAAGCAAAGCGAAAATAATTTCGCGAAAGCCTTTTGTGGAATTTCCCATTTGGCCGCGGATTGGCAGTGCATGCCAGTGCATGCCAGGCGCCCATGGCGTAGACACCCGTGAAGTACTCACCAGGAGGCGACCTCCGAGAGGTCGATCACCGACAAAGGACACGGGGATCGGAACCTGGCGCAGCTTCGCGTGCAATGTGTTGGTCCTGGACGTGGGACATGTCTGCAGGTCATCGCACGTCTCAACTTTCTCTGAAGCTTCCTGGACTGGAAGTCGAATGCTGAGCCGGAGGCGTTCTTCTTGGGATCCAGCTTGAAGGCCCGCTGCGCCAGCTGAAAGCTCGGGTTATCCACCTGCAGATCCACAAACCCAAGGAACCAACCCCCAGCTGAGCCAAACAAACTTGGGCAGACTGCCTGAAGCGAAAACTCCACTGGCTCCAGGAAGGGATTCTGAAAGTCCACGTTCGTTGGCTTGCCCTGGTCATGTCGCGTGGCATGCCATGCCCGTTGGCGCACCAGCCCGCCTTCGGCACATCTACTGGCCCCTGAGGCTGCGGTGGCTGCGCATAGCCGACCAACAGTGCCTCAGGAAAGAGACTTCCGGCGCAAGACTTCAGGGCGGCGCCACAGCAATCCACTCGAAGCCATCCAGGCAAGCGTCTTTGTACTCGCCCCCATCCGCAGACGTGAGTACCAGCAACGCCCGAATCTCTCCCAGCTCTGAGGGCTGAAACTTCACCTGCGTGAATGATTTGAGGCCATGGCCATTCGGCAAGTCGGCAAGTGCTAGGCGTATCGTGTGCTTATCGTGTGCTTCCAGGACACATTCACCGAGACCTCCAGGCCATCAGGACCTGCAGCATCCACCTTCACGTCCTTTGAGTCACAAGCTTCGTGGGTCTCCATATGTCTCCAATATGTCTCCATACAACATTCAAGCGCTTGAAGCTCGCTCCTTGGCCTCTGGAACGAAGTCGCTGCAACTCTTCTGGCCTCATGGCAGACACGTGTCAACGTTGAACCACAAAACACAAATGTGGCCTGGAGCAGGTTCCACGGCTGCGCTGAAAGTGGTCGCTTTCTGCGTGTAGTGATAAAACCTGGGAGAGGGGCACCAGGCCAAGGATCCGACCAAGGCGAATTCCGAATCACAGTTCCACATGCCTGCCACATGTTGGCACCTCCAAATGTCTTTTGGAGCTGAGATCGGGCTTGCAACTTGAAGACCCCGTAGCTTACGAGTCAAGGCGCCCTTGTCGGACTGAGGCGGGCGCCGGAAGGTCTGCATGCAGTCCAGTGATCCCAGCGGCGCTTTGAAGACAATGGTCTTCTCCAGGCCTGGCAGTGAGAGGCTTCGGTGGTCGCCTTTTGCTCCGGCTGGCCTGCCGGTTTTGCCACATGTTCCACCGTGTACCTACGAGTTGCGAATGTACAACTTCACTTGGACTCCAAAACTTCCACTGCCCAGGTCACGGGAAGTCACCAAGCTCCGGCGAGCCTGAGCCGCGATACGCACGACCGAAGGACTCTGAGGGACTGCTTCTCAATTCAGTCTTGTCCAATGCCACGGGGCTGAGCGAGACCTTGGCTTCGCCCGAGCCAGCCATCACCGGGCGGAAGAGGACGTCCACCGTCGCTTCGGAGTTTGGCGCCACCTGCCAGAATTGAGCCCTGCACAAATTGCCCAAAGCCAGAAAAGAGGAAATAGGGCAAGCTGCAGGCACTGCGAGAAGCCCCAGTCGAACCCACAATACGACGCAAAACTGCCCAAAGGTGCTCTGGGTGCTGCTCAAGTGGGACACATCACAGCATGCAGCTATGTCACAGAGAACTCCGGCGAGGAGAAGCGGATGTCAGGGTTCGTGGCTTGGCACTTGAACTTCGCTACGGACGTCAAAGGGTTCATGACCTAAGCAACGTCGTACCTAGTCCTGGCATTGCATGCGAAGGTATGTCCAACATGCCTCAGTGCCGGCCTCTCAGGCCCAGGCCGAGATGGACCGTGAAGCCAGTTGCCGGCAGACCGTGTTGAAGTGGAGCGTCTCGATGGATTTTGGGGCGACGAACTTCAGGCTGATCTCATAGGCAACGAACTCTTCCTCAGAGTCTCAGAGTGGCGCACCACATCCCACCCGAGCCGAGAGCTGCTCGTGCTGGTGCGCCAGGGCTCAGTCTTGGGGTTGGTGAAAAGAACTCTGACCGTGGCTGCGCCTTCCCTGTAGGCGTAGACGTTGAACTTGTAGTCCTTGGCTTGTCCTGCTGGCACCTCGGCATGTGCAAGCGAGACCTGGCGAGTGTCAGGGGGCTCCCCCCTCTCGGAATTTTCAAGCCCTGACGCGTTCGTTCATTTGGCGACCGAGCTCGGCACATCGAAGGAGCCGATTCCATTCAGCTTGATCTCCTTCGAAACCACACGCGTCACGAGTCGGGGGGTTTGTTTCAGCCAGCCGGTCCTCCGTCGCTTGCGCTGGCTGCACCAAAGAGATCTCCACCCGGAATCGCTGGGCTTGCTGCAGCCAATTCGTGAGCGGCACACTCCTCACAAGGAACACCAAAACATACCAAAACCCTTCGTTCCGACAAACTCCTTGCAAGAGTCGACCCTCACTTCAGGCAAGTGTCTGCATGTGAGGCGTCTTGCACTGCACCTCTGCGCTCAGCTTCCGATCTTGCCCAGGCTGCGACGTGCCTCTCGAGAAGGATGCGAGGCATGACATGCGAGCTACCGACTGCCGCCTTCAAGCGACCACACAAAGGCATTGCCGTCCGGGGTGGCGATGAAGAGTCTGCCCATGTGCTTCCTGTGGGCAAGAACCAACGTTTGGTGTGTCAGGAGACTGAACGATCAAGTTGCAACAGAGACATCGCACCCAAGGCTTAATGCGAGCTGAGGTTCTCCGGTGTAACCTTCTTTGACTTGGAGGCATCCTCCTCAGCCTGCCCCGCAGCCCCAGCCCACATTAGAGTAACATGCTGCGCAAGACTGTGCGCCAAACGGGCCTCGTCACCCACCCGAGTCATTGTGAGGGGCCGGTAGGTCACTGGAACCGTGGCCTGACCTCCCGCTGGCACCACAATCCTCAGGCGGGAACGATAGTCCCGAAGACAGAAAGCCTAAACAGTGTCACATTGAAAGCTGAACACGTTCTTTGGGTCGAGCTTCTGCGAAGGGCACGAGAAATACTGCTCACTATTCGGAATCTCCGTGCTGATCACGGGATTCACCTGCCATTCCCACAGGCGACATGGAACTGGATGGAAGCGGGCCCCTCCACACCTTCCAAGCTTCTGAGCTCGTATTCTTCCCACTGGGCGGGAATGTGATCCTCAGCACGCGACCATCCAGCCACCAACCTGCAGAGCAAAACACGGCCATGCAAACCGAGCAGCTCTTGGGTTTTCCTCTCGCGCCTCGGGTGTGCCCACGCCCAGACCCCCAAGGAAAAGTCGAAAGGCGATAGGTCGTGGCTAGAGGCCACATGTGGCCAGATGTGGCCAGATGTGGCAAGATAAGGCCAGGCGCACTTCAGATGTGAAGGCCAAAGGAATGGTGGATCCCTCAGGCTGCTCGATCCCATTCCCTTGCACCAGCAGCTCAATGGGCTCCTACGGCACGCGAAGTCACCAAGTCAGTAAGCTACTTGAGATATCTTGAGATCAGATTCTGATTTTGGCGCCTGCTGGTACTGGGGCTCCAAGAGGCAGCGAAGGCGCTTGGGCCGCCCATCGAAGGAATTGGACCTGCGCGCGATGCGCGATGCGCGCGCACGTCAAGCCAAGGCATGGCGCGCGCATGCGTGCGCGTCCAGCCTCTGGGGGTGGAAGCTCACCTGCAGCACCACGTCATCTCGAGGCGCGGCGTAGCCCTGGCCCAGCCCCACATCCCGCCCGCGCAAGGCCCCAGGCCCGGGCGGGCCCCCGGCCCCAGAATCCCCCGAAGTTGTCCGGATCCCCGGGCCTCAGCGGGTTCCACTGAGAAGTGCCCCTGCGACTTCGGCGGGAGGTCGAAGCGGAACTTCACCCCCAAGTCTCCGAAGTTGTGGAGGTGCACGAGCTTCGTGCTCGCCGCGCCGAACACCACATCCCCGAAGAGAATCGAGTGCCTTGACACCGGCCCAAAGGCGCCCAAACCATTGACACGGGCCTCACGTGCGGTCTCACGTGCGGTCTCACGTGCGGCCGCGCTGCTCCGAAAGCCGCACTTCAGCAGCGTGGCAGCTACCACTGGCATGTCCAAGGTGCACGTCAATTCCAAAGTTGCCTTGGGGCAGCGACTATCAGTTGCTGGCAGACTAGCCGGATCGACTAGCTGGACCGACTAGCTGACTGACAGCTGGGACTGGTATGCGCCCAAGGAGCAACTAGCGACCAGTGGCAGCTTGAATGCGGGCATTGGAAATGATGGCACATAGCGTAGCTCAAAGGACGCCTGCTCTTTGGGCCTGAGGGCAAGAGAAGCAGTGAAGCCTGGGGAATTCAATCATGGAAGCTCTGCGCCTCAGCTTCACCGGCGTCTGTGGCGTCCACGACACGCACTTCTCCGCCAGCTGGCCGTCGTCTTGCAAAGAAAACTCCACGGAGCGGACCGATCGGTTCACCACCCGCAGAGTTCGCGAAACGCCTCGGCAACATGATTTCTTGCTCGTCACCTTTCCCAGGCAACTGACACTGCTTGTAGCTGAAGCCCGGCCTTGATTGCCAACAGCCACCCCGAAGTCCACATTCTGCATTGCCAGTGAAGCTGCCTCCAGCTGCAAGGGGCATCCCTGTCCTGCATCGGCTTCAGGACAAAACGCGCCCACTCTCTGCTCTCTTGCCGCCTCGCACATTCACGTAGTACTTGGTGCAGTCATTCACCACAAACTCGATGCCTCGGTCAGAGTTTCATGCTCAGCCGGTGCCACCAACAAAAGCAAAACACTGCTCCCTGGCATGGGAAGAGCTTGCCAGGCTGCGCTCCCTGTACTCCACGTAATCTTTCGGTGTGAACACAATGGGCACCACCACTGACCTCATGACAACATGCGTAGATTGCAACTCAAAATTCGGCAATGTGACATAAGCGCAGCGCTGCCCTGCTTCGATCATGACAGCAGGCAGTTGCACATCCAAGTAATTTGTGCGCTGGAAGGTCGTGGAAAGCCAGCAGTCTGTGACGCCTGGGCATCACCAATGCTTTGCCCGCACCAGCCCGCATTCTCTAGAAAATGAGCCTGCCTCGATTGGTGACTGTCAGATCCAATCGCTCCATGGGCACTCCGGCAGGCTCCCCTGCACTGGCAATTCCTGAGGCTGGCAGTCGGGAGTGGCTACGAACGCCTCACAAATCCAATCACGACCAAATCCAACCAAGTCGCCATGCCATGCCATGACACCCGAGCCGCGCCTTAGAGCCTTGGCGCCTTAGAGCCTTGGCGCCTTGTCGTGCCGAGGTGCGCTTCACGAAGCACGAGCCGAAGTCGTGGCTCAGCGTGGAGAAGTCCAGCGCCGGCCTGAAGGAGCCAGAGCGACAGATAGCGACAGGCACACGGGGAAAGCGCGGCGCAACCAGCGTGGCTTACCATGGACCCGGGCCTATAAGCACGTCCAGCCAAGGCCAAGGTGTAGCCGGACTCGTCTGGGCCTGGCCAAAGTGCCAATGCGGTGGAGCATCTGCGAAGCTATCGCCAGCAGGCCTGAGGGTATGAGCATCCGCAGCGTGGCGCCGTCCAGCTTGTGAGCATCTGTCGGTGTGTACTCGATGGTGATGACCTCGTATTGCCATCGAGATTGAGAGTTCCGAGCGCCATGGACCTCTGCCCTGTTCGGGTCTGAGACGCTGAGTCGCTGAGCCGCTGAGCCCCAGACAGTCTCCGCCTCTTGGGTGGCCACGCCATGCACGGGCGTGATGGTGAGGTGGGGCGGTGCTTCGGCTTGTGGCGCCATGAGGCGGCCCGAGGCGCTGCGCAGCTGCCAAATGAAGTCGTAGCCTCGGCCAGAGGCGGCGAGGCATGCGTGCGTCAAGGCCCAGCCGACATCTCCAGGCCAAAGGACTCACGGAGGCCTGCTCCGTATCCGCTGCGCGGTCCCGCTCAAAAGTGGGGCTGCTCAGCTTCAGCGTGAAGCTCCGCTTCTCTTGCACCTGCCCACAGGTGAGGGAACCCGCGTGTGACCTCGTTTGCGCTCTCGCTCTTCTGCCACCTGCAGGTCGCCAAAGTCCAGCAGCTCCTGGCACATTCTACACGTCTGACCTGCTCAACGGCTCAACGCATCCCAGCGTGCGCCTTGACACCTGGATGGAGCAGTCGCCCTTCACGGTCGGCTTCATCGATCACCAGCTTTGTGTGGATCTTGTAGCCTGGCTGCACTTGATCCATGCAGCACGGCAACGAGCCGCGGAAACCAATAGGCATTCGAAGTGAGCGCCTTCTCCCTTGATGTTCAGCAACAGCGGTTTATCTTTGCGCTTGATGTTGCACATTACCTTGCCGCAACTGACCATGCTTTCCAGAATATTTGCTGACGTCACGCCATGAGAAACCGACTCGAGTACACAAACCGCATGACCGTGGTCAGTGAGACTGGGGGGGCCAAATCATCCCCGGCTGCGTTGTAGTTGAAGAACTTCTCGTCAGTTGGCGCAAACCTGACCTCCACTGGGAATGATGCACCTGCCACTGGCCGATTTTTGGAACTTCAACGATGCCCCGGCCAGCCTGGTCCCACGACGCCACTCTCAGGCGACAGGGAGATGGCTGGCTGGCCATCCGTTTTATAGCTGCGGTCGAAGGAGAAGCTGAAAGGTAAGTGCTCCTAGTCACGCAGGTGCGTCAAAACCGGGCAAACACTCCAATGCTTTTTGCATTCTTGGTTTTCGTTGGCTCTTTTGCTCTAGCTAAGCTAGTTCACACATTCCCCTCTTTATCCAGGCCTTGTTGATGATGCACACTTTCTCCACAGCTTGCGCGCCCAAAAGCAGCCGGTTGAACTTGATGCAGGGCCGGTCCAGGCCTGGGCACACGCAATTGCGTCCCACAGGACCCCTGCCAAAGGACCATTGCGAAAAGCCCGTGTTTTGCCCAAGCCCTGCTTGCCGCCATGCTTCCCAAGCGCGGCTCCTTCACCGTGCCCACCAAAACGAAGGATTGAGATGCCTGCTTGCCAGGGACGGAGAATACCCACCGCGACTCGTGGGTCTCCGTGTCCTTGGCACAAGTACGCAACAAAAGCGACAAGAAGGCTGTCCGGAGCCACAGGCCACGCAAACTCTCAATCGTCCAATCTCTTCAAGGCTCAGCTGGCAAGTACTCGAAGGTCATCTCGTACTTCTTGCCGGGCAGAATGGTACCACGCCTGAGATGACACTAACACACATCTGAGAGAGACGTTGCCCTACTCTGACTTCCTAGCTTCGAAGCATGACTGCAGTATGTTGTTTAGGCTGATTGTCTGCCTTGCCCAGAAAAGCCGGAAAGCTGGCATGAAGGGCTTGTCCTAAGACTGGCTAAGCTTAGCGCTTGGTGAGGCATCGGAAAGGATCCTCGCTCTCCTTCCTTTCGACTTCTTCCTGCATCCAGTTGAACTCGTAGGTGTCAGATGTGGGGTTGAGTACCTTGCATGCTGCGCGTGTTGCGCATGCTGCGCGTGTTGCGCGTGTTGCGCGTGTTGCACACGTTGGGTGTCTCAGCTTCAAAGGTTCAAAGCGTCTGAAGGTCAGCCGAGCGACGTAGAAGCGCTTGGTGTTTCTGACCCGGGTGCCCAGGGACTCAAACTCGATCACCTCAAGGCCAAATGCAAACCCTCACAAGGTCGAGCTCAGGACATGTTGCCATGACCCGATTTCACTCCCCAGGTCATGACAACTGGTAATACAACGGGCAAACAGTCCAAAGCGGGCAAAACCATGCAGCGAAGGCCGAACCCAATCCGAAGAATCCTGGCAACGCCGTCCAACAAAACCCATTCGGCCGGCCTGATACTTGGGATCCAAAGACGTCTCGGCCTGACGCCTCGCACGGTAATCGCTGCTGGGCACCTGCGCGTGACGCGGCCAGGCACAGGGAGCTGTCCCGGGGCAACGCGGCAACGCGGCCTCGAAGTGGCACCAAGGGCGCAGTGCTGAGGCGTTCAACGGGATGCGCAGGGGCTCCTGGCACCGTGTTCTTTGCTCGCGCTGTGCCTTTTGAAAACGCAAATTGAGGCAGTTTGCCTCGCAAGCATCTTTGCAAAGCTCACTTCGTGAGACAATCTGAACTCCTGCAGCGGCATGCGGCTATCCTGAGATGCTTATGACGGCTTGTGGGCTACCGCGCGGTGCTGCCACACGTGTCGCCCAACATATGGGGGCACGGAAGCTGAAGGCTTCTGGCCAGCCACTTGACTTTAAGCTTCAGCATGGGCGGAAAGCAAACAAATACAACACGCAAACCTTGTCCATGAACCTTGCGGGATTAACAAGGCCTTGCAGCCCCACAGGCTCTTCATGCAATCTTGTCTCTACTCTCTCTTTCTCTCTCTCTCTCTCTCTCTACAAGTGTCCGGTGCTCTGCGTCAACGACTTATGTATGAGTATTTTAGCAGCTTTCTGCCTGCACCCCTCACCTTACTTCAATCTGAGATCAGGCTCAGTCAGGTTTCACAATTATTGCCACGCCTGACCCAAAAGGCCTTACACAAAGGATGTGTTCTTTGAACCTCTGTTGATGGCTGCTTCAGGGAGGTGTCGCATATCGTCTGCAGAATTGTGGGGAAGGACCCAGTGGGCCCACAAAGGAAGGAACATCATACTTTGGCCAGCTTCATTTCTGGCTCTCTCTGACTATGTTGAGGGCTTACCCTTTTGTTTTGGGGAGGCTGGCCTCGTCTGGTGGGTTCAGGGCTGAACATGGGAATCATGGGAACACCACTATTGATTGAAAAGCTCCGGCCCCCCCTCAAAGGCAAGCGAGACCTGGTCGCCTCAACGAATTTCGCCGGTTGCTGCCCAGGGACCAGCAGCCCAGCAAAATCTTCCACCTCCTTCGGGGCGAAGAGAAGTTGGAACTCCTCCGTGGCTCCAGCAGCGATGGAGCCTGCAACGAGACCCAAATGACTGAGGGCTCCTGGAAGACGATGTTCCATTGAAATGGACCCTCTGGTGGGTTCCATGTTTCTGGATGGGGAGGGTAGGGACCATCCCCAGCGTTCCGCCGAAGCCTCAGCTTTGCCCTCCGGCCCCTTCCGGGCTGCGCCTTTGGCTGGGCTGATCGAATAAGCCGAAAGTCTGGCCGGCCCACTTGCATCCTCAGCTCCAGCTTAGCCCGTTCCGTGCATAGAATCGGGTGCAAAGAATTGCCAGGTTCAGAATTCCGCATCGAATGCAAGTATGAGGCCGTGCTGCTCGAGCATCTGAAGTCGCCGGCATCACGCGCCAGTTGAAGGGAAGTGCAATGGATGAAGGATTCGTAACCTGAGGCCGCAGTGGCCGCGCAATGCGTGGAATGCAAGGCCTCACGAGGCCACATGGCCAGCAGGCCGCAAACCCGCAGTTATCTGCTAAGATCGGGCAGCTGTGAAGCGGTACAGGCGGGTCTGGAAGAGAACCGTGGGGCTGAAGAAGATGTTCTCAATGCCACACTCGTAGGACATCTGGTCAGCCACAGCGAGAGTCCTGACACTCGGATCGGATAGCTCGGTGCTAGCGTCGGGTCACTTCCTCAGAGGCATCTCTCGCTCGGAGCCCTCCACGAGTGCGTGCGCAGGTTCCGGCTCCTTGCTACGAGTGCCCGGTGCAATGCCAGGCCAGAGATGGATGCTCCACGCCTTCGCTTCCTCACCCTCTTCCGCTGGCATGTGCGCGTTGTCCCAGTCCTCAGGAACTTTCATCAGGACATGCAAGCACCGAGAAGCGGCTGTTGCGTCCTCCGCACCAGCCTCTTGGACGATGGAAGCCTCAGCCGTATGTTGGCCATGAATGCGTTCTAAATGGGATCTAGGCAACAAGATATTGCATCAGGGCAGCCATGTGAACCGGCAGCGACACGTCCGCTTTCATGGTCTCCAAGGGCTTGTAGGTGAAAGTGATCCTGATGCTTACTGTCAGGCAGAAAACTGCTGTGCGCAAAGGCCATACAAATATTAGGACCACAAAATCGCAGAAGCTCTTGCTGCTCCAAGCTTGGCCTGCTGCTTTAGTGCCAATCAAAGAAGGGGTCACACCTTCCGGCGCTGACTGAAGTGCTTCCGGGTCTCTGCTTCTTCATGCCCGGCAGCACATGGCCCACTGAGGGCGAGATCCTCGACTCATGGCTCGATTCGTTGGCCCCAGTGTCCGATTTGTCATTTTGCCCTACTTTTCCCCACAGCACGTGTCTCGACTCAGGTGACTCCGGTGACTCAGGCCGAGTCCGCAGGCACTCGGCCAGAGGCGCCGGAACGGTCTCCGGGAAGTGGAACCGCAGCGTGGAGTTCGCGGAGTTGCTGAGCTGAAAGGTCACCACCTGGGCCCCATGCCGTCGCATGTGCGCCCAGCGAAACGCTGAGCTGAAGGCTGACTCGCTGCCAACACCTCAGGGCCAGCTGCAACACATTGGCAAGGCTGCGCTGTTCTTTGCAAGCGCCTTTTGACCGGTTTTGCTCCCTTCATCTGCGCAGGCAAGGCGCAAGCTTCTCCCAGGTTGAGCACATCTGGATCTGATCGTGCCCCCGGGTTGGCCGGCTCGCTTGGCTCCGGAAGCTCCCAGCACACATCCTCAACATACCCCTGGCCCGCGAATGTCACGCGGGTGTCCTTCAAAGCAATGTGGCAAGATTTGGGCAGATTCAAATTGAAGGGCGTTGCAGGCGCGTCAAACTTGATTCCAGTCCTCGAAGGAGTTGTGCAAAGTGTGCAGTCGCAGCGACGTGCTCAGTGCACCAGGCCTGCCACTCGTCTCCGGAAGGACGTCTGTATGCGCCTGCCTTGCTGCCAAAGCACTCGCTGGGGCGGAACACCACCTGGAACTTTTGCGTCGCCTGCAAAGGCCAAAGCCAAGATAGAAACTTCGCACGTATGCTCCGGGTTGGAAAAAGTATGGCCAGCCTTCGGCTCCAAAGGAATGCTCCTGGGACAGCTCACGGTGAAATGGGAATTTGGCGTCAGTTCCTCAGTGCGCAGGTGCCAACGGCCAAGCTGTCGACGTAAGTCTGGGCAAGTTGTACGCAACCACGACTTAATCCCTCGAACCTCCATCATGGGTCATAACACCCTTCTTGCGGTGGCCATAGTATGCCCAGATTGGATGCAGGTAATACGTTCCAATCAGGCAGGGCACACACCGGGCCGTTGCAGGAATCTGGCCCTGATTGTATAGGCTGAACTCTACGGTCTGCTTCTTGCCAATGCGGAGCTTGCCGAAGTCATACCTTGGAACACTGCATAGGACTGGTTCGAGCTTGCAGCCTTGCGACAAGCAAGAAACAAGGGACCGTCAAGGGCCGTCGTGCGAGCCCAAGTTGCTGCGCTCCGCTGTCCCCAAAGATCGTTGGCCCGTTGATCGAAATACTTGGCACAGTTCCATCGCCACGCATCCTGAGCATTGCTTGAAGCAACTTCAACCGACTCACCCCGAAATGCACGGCAGGAGAGACAAGGCGCTCGAACTTCAGAAGGTTGGTCTTCGAATCCTCGCTGCTTTGGGCAGGGCACTGCGCTTTCTGACGAACAGCCGATTATCAAGCTTGACTGAGCCCTGACAGGAAGTCCTTGCCCTCCGGGACCGCCGCTTCGAACATTGCGGAGTATCGCTGCAAGGCCTGCCAAGAGCTGGCATGAGACTGATGTCTGAGCTTGGCGCGGCACGCGTCTGCGCCTGAGGGGCAAAGCGTACTTTCACGTAGCGGTACTCGTGCGCGGGGATGTGAAGATCCTGCGCCAATTGCAACAAAAAAGAGGCCACAGTCAGCGACGGAATTTCCGCGCCTTCGTGGACAGCTCGAAGGGAAGCACCGGGGCGTCTTTGCCGCTTGGCGCAGTGGTGGGCTTGATGTCAAACCTCGGATCCGCCAAGCCCGGCCAAGCTCCGGCAATGTTTGCGCCCAAGCAGCTTGACATCACACGGGATGGGGTTCCTGGGCATGCAGGTAGAAAGTCCCGATGGGCAACAGGCAAGGCCAACACAAGCACGCGGGCGCCATACTGTGGATGGACAAAACCCTGCACCATTTGGAATTGGAAACCATTGTTCGTTGGTATGTACAGTCCATCCACGGTGTTGGGACATTGGCAATGCATTGGCCAAGTCTCGGATTGGTGATGCGGAACTTGGCTGCATCCTGTGCTTGGTCCGGTGAAGACTGACCTGCCAGGCCATTACCACGTTGAGGAGTGACTGAGCATGGTCGATCCCGAAGCTATTGGTGGGTGATGAGTGGCTGATGGGTCTGCAGGCCTTGAACGGAGACAGGGCCAAAGGAGAAGTACCGAGCTTCCTCATCGAAGGCGCGGATGTCAATCCTGCCCGCTGTAGCCTCAAAGGCCGGCGGCATCTTCAGTGATTTCCAGGATGCATTACTTGTTTCATTGCGGCTGGGTTAGGCTGCCTGTCTCCAGTTCTGGCTGCGAATGCTGGAAATCAACATGCTCATGGCTCGACCCTCTCTGCGCAACACTCGGGTGGCACAAAGTCGGCAAACCCAAGGAGCGACCCAGGGCCCAGGATCTAGAAAAGGCGTGCCCGCTTGCGGCCCAAGAGCAATGGCATCCTCCAGGGTTGGTGCAACAAACTGCTCCTCAAAGATTGACTGCATGTTCTCCGTATCAATGCCTGCCGGTCACTTGCGCTAGCGGCTTGGATTCAACGCATTGAAGCGCACCTGGGGTGCAGCTCTGGGCAGTGAGGAGATACTCCTTGAAGCCAGTGTCTCCTTCCTTGGGTTTGAGGTGGCCGCGTCGCATTGCGTCGCAAAGTGGAAAAGCGCGGTTCTGCAAATCCAGCTTGATCTTACCATGATTCCCCTCGCGGCTTGGAGTCACTTTTGGAGCTTCCCAGAATCCCCAGCAGGTGTGACACATTGAACAGCAGCAAGCGCTGCTCAAGGAGGACTACTTACTGTATCTCACCATCTTATTGCCTTTCAATATTGGCCCGGGCCCTCTTGAGAACATCAACCACCACTGAGCTTTTCAGAAGCACCCCTGAGGCCCCGACGCCCTCTGCGCGGCTGATACCTGTCAAACTTGGTCTTTGAGGCCAACTTGCACAACTCAACAGCATGCCTGAACGAGGCTCATCAGGCAAACCATCCACATGGATGCCAATCTTGCATTCGCCTCGGCCCAGCCGTGCTGTGCGACTAACTCGTTGCATCAAACCGCCCAGGGCGCGGGCAAAACTTGGGCTCCGTGGCTGTGAACGTGCCGGAGATCTTCACGGACTCGTTTGGCGCCAAGCTGCCTTCAGAGCAAACACCCCATCCGCGAACTCATGGATTGGATGGCTGCAGATTGCGCCTTCTGCGGGCGTAATCTTGAAGTCTCCCACCAACAGCTCCTTCTCCTCGCAGTCCGGGCGTGCAAGACTGCGAGATCCCTTCGGGCCGGCTGAGATCGGCTCCGGCTTCTTCATGCTGCCCGCAGTATTGAAGACATACCACTCGAACCTCAAAAACAAAAATCGAAATGGTGTTCGCTCGTGCTTTTGTTGGGGAGGCCCAAGGCTTGGACTTGAAAGGCCCGTCGTTGTAGATCTCGAGCTCGCGGGTGCCGGATTCCCCGATCCTCGCAGCGGGCCCCCGGAAAACCCTCGCCGTACCAACCAGCCAACCCCGACCAAGCCCGACCAACCCGCATGACCCCCATGCGGCCATGCCCAGCGAAGGCGCTTCACAGGCCCGAAGCTGAGCCCGCGCGGCGGGTTCAGGTTGAAGGAGTTGTACACCTGGCGCCAGATGGCACAGCGCATCGAATCTGGACGCGTCAAACCGGAGTTCTGCCATGTGTCAGTCTACGACTTGCCATATGCCACTAAGCCGCTGCTCGAAGCGTCAATGGGATCAGTGGAGTGTCAACTTGCACCCGTTCACCTCACCCAGCCAAGCAAGCTGCATCCACAAAAACAGAGCGCATGCTCGCAAAAGCAGGTGCAAAATTCCAGAGTCCGAGTCGTGCCAAGCGGCCTGTCTTGGCATCGTAAACCAACAGCTCCAACTCCTCCAGCCAAAGCCATTAGATGGACTGCATCTGAACTTTTCAATATGTAAGAATTCGGAGCTTCATTTGGACACTGAATGCCCTAAGTGTGCCATCCCCAGGCTCCGCACACCGTGCTTACAAACCGCTCCTCGTTGCGCCCGGTCCGTGCAAAGCGCTTCGGCTCTGGGCATTGCATGGCCACGGGCGTCACGGCAGTCACCTGAGAGCTGGCCCCGAGTGCCGCAGTGCAAGCCCAGCCCGGCCAAGCCTTGATGGCTTGCTTCTGGCCCGGCTGCAGCTCCGGCAACTTCCCGTCCTGAGCGCCATGCTACGCCGTGCTACGCCGTGCTACGCCATGCTACGCCATCCTACGCCATGCTACGCCATGCTACGCCATGCTTCGCCATGCTACGCCATGCTACGCCATGCTACACCGCTTCCGCTAAACTGTGGGAATGGAGCAGGCCAAGCAGCTTCCAGCACCACACCGTAGTCGATCTGCAAGATCTCTTTGATGACCTTGCGCCGAACCTTGAGGTCAAAGCTGACCGCATATTTCCCGTTGTTGGCCACCTGGAAGGTCTGCTCCACCACAGCTCCCACTCGAACATCCCCGAAGTCCAGCCCTTGAGCATCGCTGGGGAAGGACGGCACCACATCCACCGCGAAGGCCTCGGCGTTGACCGTGATGTCTTCAGTGTTCTCCCACTTCCGGAGGCCCTCGAGGCCCTCGGTGTCGGAAATCTGCAGGCTCATCTTGAACTTGTGCGTGCACGCCGTCTCTGACCGGAAGACCACGGTGATGTGCTTCTCCTCTCCGACCGCCAGCACGCCTTATCGCAATCGCGCTGGCTTGGATAAGCACAGCGGTGACAGCGAGGCTGTGCTACCAAGGGCTGGACCTTCCATGGCATCAATCTCGAAGGGCTCGGGAACACTGCCAGCTGCCTGCCAGGCTGTGATCAGATTCCAACAAAGGCCAAAGCAATCCACTTGACACCCGGCCTCCAAACGCCACTTGACCGGCACCGCTGAAACATTGGAGACCTCAAGAGGCAAAACCGCAAAAGCAATGAACATAAGCTTGGCAATGACTTGGGTGGCGCTTGATTTGTTTAACGCGCCATGCTCCCGCCTTGACACCGTTGGCAGCACGCTGCTTTACCAAAAGTCGATCAAAGTCTAGCTCCGTGCTGTCCAGCGATACCTCTGGGCTGTGCACACCTTTGGCTTCCCACCCTCCAAACCCTCCAACTGGTAGCTCTATGTATCGCAAGCCTACTAGTTGCAGCTGGGGTGAAGAATGGGGGGGAGATCAAGGTCCCATGCTGGCAATCATCTGAGAAAATACTCAGAGTTCAGCTTCCCCCCCTCTCTCATCTTGGCCAAGCACCTTGGGAAGCGACCCAATGGCAGCTATGGCAAACTCCACCGGCTCAGGGTTGTCCGTGATCTTTGCCACGATGGTATCGCTGTAGCTGCCTTCTTTCACCTCAACCCGGTTGAATCCGGCTGGGCTGGGGATTCGGCAAAAAAGTAGCGGCTCATTATACTAGCCGGGGTGCCGGGAAGCAGCACACCTGCAGCTCCTTGGTCTCCCCCACTTCCAACTCAAGCTGAGCTGGCTCCAACAGGAAGGGGAACTCCTGAAGCAGCAAACTGGCACAGCTTGTGAAGGACACCAAGTCCAACCTGCCTCCAGGTTGGAGCTCGGGGCTTCTTTCTTGCCTCCGAACGAGACGAAAAACGCGATCGGCGACGCACGCTGAGCGCGCGCTTGCGAGCGCGCGACGTGGCGCCGCTCCGCCCGCCTGGCTTTCCGGGCTTCGGGTCCTCCTGGGCCTTGGCGGAGGCCAGGGAGAAGGCCGCCTCCGCCTCGCGCATCGCGCCAGCTCGCGCGTCGCGCCAGCTCGAGGCCAGCTCGCGCAAGTGCAGAACAGAACCCAAAGCTTCCAAGCGAAGAGTGGCCAATTCTGACACGGACGGGGAACCTTGAACAGGGAGTTGTTGGTGATGCGGAAGCACTCGATATGCTGCTTGATGTGCGTGTCTGCCCTCAGAAACACGGCAGAATATCCAGGAGCAAAGCAGCCAAGGATTGGGATCGGGTTTTCAGTCAACATCTCATGCAACCACGCTGCCCTTCTTCTTTCCTTGCATCTGGACTGCGGCCCACGAGAAGTGGCCCAAAGTCGAAGATGCCTGCTCAATGCGCAAACCTATTCTCCAAGCGAAGGCAAGGAAACCTCTGTTGCATGCAGACGCAAGCTCTGGCTGCCTGTGGAAGCAATGTACTGCTTGCTCGCATATCCGCTTGCAGGCTTGGTCTTCACGCGGCGCATGAAAACGTTCCGCGGGTCGCTGCTGATGCCTGGCCGGACTGTTCGGAATGCCCGGGCTTTGCCCCGACAGCGGAAGTGCCTGGGAAAGCGGTAGTGCCAGACACCTCGATGGACACGGGCGCGTTGCCATGGATGCCTGGCGAGCTGCGCGAGCTACGCAACGCTCCATCTTCGCCTCTGGGCATGGGCTGGCCTCCAACCACTTCAAAGCCCAGAGATGCTTGATAGGCGCCAATCTCCTCACAAGAAAGAAAAGCAATGTCGCAACATGTCGCAACATGTCGCAACATGTCGCAACATGTCGCAAACTTCTGTTCCTAACTTCAAGCACCGACCCAGGCCGACCCGGGCCTCGGAGAAGAACTTCACGAGCAGGCGCACGCGGCCATGCGGCTCAATAAGCCATCGGGTTGGCTCCATTCTCTCCTGTGCTGTCACTGCTGTGCTCAGCGGGCGCTGTTCAAAGTGTAGCGCACGCGCTGAACACGAGCTGCACGCGTTCAAAGTGTAGCGCACGTGTTCGTGCCTCCGGCGCAGCCGGAGCTTTGTCTTTCTCGGGCACCTTCTTGCTTTCGGTCCTGCGCTCCAAACTTGGCAGCTGACGAGGCGCAGGCGACGTGGGCACCAGAGACGAGCTCCTTGCGGCTTCAGCACCTCACGCAGGGCTGCAAGCAAAGGGCAAGCCTCACGACTCACACGCGGTTCGCCTTCGTCAACTGCCTCTTCTGGCGTGATCAACCGGAAGTTCTCCACAGATGCCCTGGGCAAGCGAAGGTGCGGCTTCTCGACCACCTGAGATGGACGCAGCCCCGGACCCCGAAGCAACTTATGCAACTTGCTTCCCACCTGCGCGAAGGAAGTCGGCGGGATGGGGGGCTCAGTGGGGATCAAGGGCGCCGGCCTCGAGCGCATGCAGCACGCCGAGTGCCACACGAGCTAGCTGAGAAGGCGACACCCATTGGAGCTGTGGACACTCTTCACCCTTGCGGCTCTAACTCACGGAATCTCACGGACAGCCCGGTGCCAAGTGGGTGCCATGCCTCCTCGAAGCTTGCCTCCAAGCTGATCGGAATGAACTGGGCAAAGGGCGGGCGCTCCAGAACCGGGTCAGGTGCGCTCTCCTGAGTTCGCGAGGGCAGGGGCCTACGGGAACATAGAAATGGAATTTGCCAAGTCGCTTCTACTCCTGCAAGCAGGGCTGGAGGCTGGGCATGCACAATCCAATCCCGAAATTCTGAGCAAGGCTTGGCAGGAGCAAGTCGAGTCTCCTTGAGGTTCATCACCCTTTTCTTCGGCGCCCTCTTTCTCCTTCTCCAGTCCTCAGCCAAACCCAGCTCGCCCCCGCCACTTGCGCTTTGCAACTTTGGCACCTCTTGCTTTCTGTGCGGGAGCCCCAAGAAGCATCCTGAAAGCACCTCTTTGGGCTAGAGCCCCCAACAGCCCACCAATCCCGCAATCCCATGGCCTTCTGCGGCTTCTGCGCCGTCCGCTTCCGGCGCGGCAGCCTCGGTGCCCTCGGCATTCTCCACAACCGCAGCCTGGGAACTCAACATGAATTCAGATTTGTCAGATATGCGTGGCTTCTCCTGAAAACCCCCGAATCCAGGTCGGCAAGTTACATGTCACATCCATGTTCTGCGTTAGACCATACGCAAGCACCCCAAGGGCCAGCCCTGGAAAGCAAGGAGATGCATCGGCCGGGGCAAAACTCCTCCGAAGGATCAATGCTTCCTTTTGTTTCGGCGCACGCATGTTTCTGCGGAAATTCTCGCGATCTGTCGAGTTGATTGAGGGGGCCTGGTGCACACCCAGGCTCACAATGCTTTGCTGAGCTGTGCAGAAGGCTGCGATGGGCCAGTGTCTTGGGTGGATCCACAGCGGTGAACTCCCTTTTGAGAAAGTGCTCAATTGGCTCGCCCATGCCATTTAAGTGCCAAGCAGTCCCCCCCCCCCGCCCGAGTCGTCAAACGTCACGTGCAATTCGATTTGACAGTTCGCAATTCCTGGAACAAGCTCAGACATGGCAAGCTTCCACTGCAAGACTCGCCCTATGCAAAAAGAGAACTGCAAGAATACAACAATTCTCTTGGGAAAATGTTGCTGCTTGTTATGCCACATGCAAGCAAGCAAACAAACAAACAAACAAACAAACAAACAAACAAACACACACCCACACACACACAAACCAACCAACCAACCAACCAACCAACAAACAAACAAACAAACAAACAAACAAACAAGCAAACAAACAAGCAAACAAACAAGCAGGCAGGCAGGCAAGCAAGCAAGCAAGCAAGTAAGCAAGTAAGCAAGCAAGCAAGGTCCCACGTTATCCCACTGAAAGACTTCATGCTTGCATTTGCTTTCAGGGGCTTAGAACCTGGTATTCGCTGGGCCACGGCGATGTCGGGGGCCCGAGATCAAGATGCTGGCCAGCCTCGACAGGCTCGGCGTGCTTCTTCTGCACCTCTGCCACTGCGGCCTGCCAATGCAAGCAAGGCAAGTGGTGCAGGTGGACGCAGGTGGTGCAAGTGTGGAGATGACCTTTTCCCAGTCCTCCAGTGCCGCAACCAATCCACTGGGCTGCTCCATCAGCGGCACCTCTCCGCCCTGAACACAATCGCTCCGGCAAAGCCCTTCGTAACTTTCCGTGTACCGCACGTCCAGGTGCCCAACGCAAAGGTGCCCAACCCAAAGGTGCCAGTCTTGGAAAGGCCTCCTCTGGAGCATCTCCATCTGGACTCTCTGGCTTTGGTAGGTGTCCTGACCAAACTGATCGGAGTTCCAGGTATTTCGAGACCTTTTTCCCGGGATGCGCCGGGCTCGCGCCGGCTGGATCCGGGCGCGCGCCTTCCCCCAACGTCACGGGCGACGGCTCCCCGCGCAGCGCGGAGAAGCCCAGCACCAGCAGGCGCTCGGGCCAGAGTGCAGCGACCAGCGCCTGCCTCACTCGGACAACGTGTGACAAGACCGTGACAAGACCGTGACAAGAACGTGACGACATGTGAAAGCATGTGCTTCAGACTTCAGAGACCAAAAAAAATGAAACGGACTTCGTAACGAGCCGAACAAAGTCAACTCAAGCAGTCTGAACCGAACAGTTCAACAGGCGCTGCCTGCTTTGGGCAAGCCAAGTCACGCCGACTGCTCGGGAGAAAGGTACTTGCTCTCAAGGCCATCAAACACCATGCAGGCATTGCAATCTGGAAGCCTTGGCAGCAATTCTGAAGTGAGGCAACCTGGCGCCTGGGACTGGAGGCCTGGCCTTTTGTCTCCAGAACCAATCAGCTGCGGTCTGAGCGGCTGCACCCGAACTTTGAGGAAATAGACAACATCGTTGATGGGCAGCTCGTACTGCACAGCTTGAGGCACGTACCTCATGCCCGGATGATTCTCTCTTGGTGCCTATGGGATCTTTGAGGGCCGCTACGTGCCGGCTCAGTATAACGTGTCTGATCTGACCGGGGCGCTCTTGCTTTGCTTTTTGAGCTTGCTTTTCGCGGTCCTCCAGCGCAAACAATGCCCGCAGTGAACGCTCAATTGTGCTGAAAGTGCGGAAGCTGTGTGCAAGAGGCCAAAGGTGGGGAGCAAACGATGACTCCTTCTCTGCTTTTTCGTGCTCTTCGTCTTGCGTCGCCATCCTCGAGCTGTTGCATTGGCTGGGAAAGCCAAAAGCCACCACCGACTGCCAACCTGCTACCAAGGTTCAGCTGGCGCAGTCGATCTCGCCTCGCCTCCTCTTCGGGCCCCTCCAAAGATGGCGGGCCTGCCAGAACGGAGTCATGTCTGCAAAATGCGGTGGCTTCAGAAGGGAACAAGGAGCATTCTACGGGGCGTGCTCCAACGTCTTTGTGCGGGCAAAACTGCCAGGCCTGACAGCGCCCAATCCACAACAGCGTCCTCAGCAAGCCAACAGGACGCCACCCGCAACATGTGGCTGTGGCTCCAAAAAGTGTACCAAAATGGCACCTTGGTAAATTGGACCGAAGACTAGAACATGTGTAACCCTGGCTCTTAAATTTTCAGCCACACCCATGTGTCACAAATGTCATGGGGTCTGCTCCGTGTCAGCCCCGTGCCGCATCCGCATCGGGTCGAGGGGCCAGCGCCAGCAGCTTGCGGCCTTGCTCTTCCAGGCGCGCCGCCAGCTTACCCTTCGTCTCGGGGCCGATCACCAGGACGTGGAGCCGGTCCTGCGAAGAGCACGGCCAGCGAACCAACCCAAGGCTCCATGCGAGGTCTCGCCGGCCTGCCTCAGGCGTTTGTTTAAGTCAGGGAAACACTTGCCTCTGCTTCGCAAGGTGCGAAAGTCTCTGTGGGCCGAACAAAAGTAAGCGCAGGCATGTACCACATGTTGCCCATTTGTTGGGCAAGCCGGAATTGAGGTGCTCTCCCTCCTCTTCCGGAACCCTGTACGGGAAGTCGGCCGGGTCCATCTCAGGCTGCTGAACCACCTCACTTGCCCCGCTCACTCGACGAACCAAAGGTGGCCAGTGCAACATGTCCCGTTCCCTCTGCAGCCGTGATGCCTCTGCTTCTTCGACTGACTCCTCCTGCACAATTGCAGGCGCTCTCTCTCTCTCTCTTGCTTTCTCCTCCCTGAACCAGGCAGAAAGCACTGCCATCGGTCCTCCGGCAAAGGTTCTTCCTCTGGTGTGGCATCTATTTCCGCCAAAGCCGCTTCTGCTTCGCTCAATTCAGCAGCCGCCTTCCTAGGCTGACGGGGGTTTGGGGTCTGGCCCCTACCCCAAAGAGCTAAAGCGCAAGCCGTGAGCTGAAAAGGTGACAGGGTCACAGGAGATCATAGGATGAACCACAGGGTGAGTCATAGGAGTCATGGGTTCGAGATGGTTCGAGGCGTTCGACCAGGCGGCTCTTGAGCCTCGGCGTCCTCAGCTCCCTCCAGCGCTGCCACCGCCTGCTGTGCGGCCTCCACTCGCTCGGCGGCCTCCTGCCGGGCGGCCGCCTTCTGCTCCTCCTGAAGCAAGCGGGTTGGCCCCCACTCACCCGCACCCTTCGCCAAAGGAATCCCCCTTGAAGAAAAAGAGATCAGAACAACAAGAAGACTGAGGATTATGAATTGCGCATGCAAGTGTTCTAACTAAGTTCTAAGGCCTTCCTTCCGTTCCCCTTCGAGAACTTCCCTCGTTCGATCACTGCCCCTCGTCTTTCTCCGTCTTCGGAACTTGCGACTCGCATCATCTCGCATCCCTCGCCTTCTCTTGGCGCTGCCGCAGCAGCTCCTGGCGCCGCACGTGGCGCCCGTGCCGCACCACCGCAGGCCACGTGGGCGCCCCGGGCCCGCGCACCGGCAGCTCCACCTTGCCGCCCTCGTACCTCACCCGCAAAACGCGCCACGGCGACCCCCGCAGCCTCCGCGAGCCCTCTGAAAAGCACAAAAAAGATCAAACAAAAGTAAAGAGGAAGCTCGGAAAGAGAGAACCGAACATGCGGAACGAAAGAAGCAGAGGCCCGAGAGCCACCACCTCCCCCCTCCTGGCCATGACATGCTGTGCTCTTTGTTCGGCAGCAACCAGCTGCTGCCCCAGGCAAGGCACTGGTCGTACATCTGCAGCAGCTGCTCCTCCTCCGAATATGCGTGATCGAAGTCCACGCTGTACACCTGGGACGCACATGTCCAGCACATATTCGGCCGCAGCTTCTGCACGCCGCCTGCCTCGATGGCGTAGTCAGTCGGATTGCAGAGGAAGATCTCCTGTGCGCAGTCGTCCGTCCCGGGCAAGACTGGCCCCAGCTCGTAGCTCGTGGAGGGTTCGGCCGTGACCCTCAGGCCATCTCCATGTCCACGCAGCACCAGTGGCTTTCCTGAGTGCATCCAGCCGCCAATTTTGCAGGTATGCCAGCTTGGCTGTGGCTTTCGTGGCGAATGCACTTCTCACTTGCAGCGGGGCCCTCAAATATGCAATGATGAGAGTCCCGGGGGGTGCAACTACGATGATCAGCCACGCAACTGATTCGAGGGATCCTCAACTGCCTACTGATGGAAGCCTCCGCCCGGTCTTGATACCAATGCGACAAACCGTTGGGGCAGAAAGATTTAGAGCCAACGTCCTGCGTGCAAATTGCATGGCTCCCTTTCCAAGTTCGAGTGCAAGAAGCGTGGCAGAAATGAAAGTGACTGCCAAGCTCCGCATTCCATGACTCAACTTCATTCATAAATGCCTCGCGCTAAGTCGCAATATGCGAGTTGGCGACAATACAAAATCAAAACGCACCTGTGACTTAGTCACATTCGCCGGTTGCTCCAACACTCACGTTACTGTCCTACAATCTCACGGCAAGCCCTAGCACCGCGTGTCCTGTGCGGTCAAGTCTCTGTTGGGGTTGTCCAGAATGCGTAGTGCCAGCTTCTGGATGAAGGGCTTGGAGGCTGTCGGCGTGAAGCTCACCGTGACCAGCTGCGACTCACCCGGGGCGATCCTGCCAAAGGAAAAGGGAAGAAGGGAGGAAAACGGGCTGGAAACGGGCTGGAAACGGGCTGGAAACGGGCTGGAAACGGGCTGGGGGGGCCACGCCCTGCCTGCCGGAAGGTGGCTGGAGCAAGTAAGCGCATTCGACGGCTTTGCCCAACTTCTCCGGAACTTTGTAGTCCCAGCCTCAGCGCAGCTCGGAGGGACAGGGCATCATGCACCCACTTGCATGCTCAATCAGCACCAGCCCCAGCTTGCTCTGGCATGCTCTGAGGGCTCAGTGCCGGGCACACGACCACAGGTTTGACATTTCGCAGCCTGCCAAAGGACCGCACATCCCAAACACCGGCCTGGCCATTCTCGCAAACACGTGCGCCGGCACCGTGCGCCCGCTGGCCTCATGGTGATGCGCTTCACCTGTCCCACCAGTACATGGCCAAAGTCGATGGCGTCGGAGGACAGCTCCAGGTCGGGCCGCACAAACTCGCTCATCAACTTCACCTGGTACGCTTGGGAGCGCACGGCCACCGATGAACCAAAACCCGCCCTCGATCGACTGTGCCACAAGTCTGACGCTCAATTCTAAGAGCCTCATAGGATGGCCCGCCGCGAACGGGAATGATCCAGTTGGTCTCCTGCTTGCCTTCCTCGCCCGTCCTGGCAACTGGCTGGGAGATGCTGGGAGATGCTGGGAGATGCTGGGAGATGTGCGCCGCACGACCATCGTGGCCTAGCGCTCACAGGCAGGCCGTGCCTGTCTCTGAAGCAAGTGATCTCCAGCTTTATCTGCTTCCCGGGAGGGAGCTTCCCAACCTTGGATCAAGTTGGGTCTCAGGCTGGCACTGGCTGGCACTGGCTGGCAGGTGCCGCGCCTTCTCAGGACTGATCTGGAAGCCGTGCTGGTTCAAGAGGCGCTTGCTGATGTTGAAAGTTACGTTCTCATGGAAGCTGTTGTATACGGAGATCACCTGGGCCAAGCGTTGAGCCCGCATCTTCGCAGTATGGGTCTGACCTGTCAAAATGCCGCCTGGCCTTCTTCCCGGAGTGGCCCAGCACAATGTGGCCAAAGTTGCAGCAGTAGTACGCCGCTGTGACTGGGGGCAGCTCCAACATGGGCCGCCAATCAGCCCGAGCACGCGCCGAACCTGGCAAGCTCCCTGCCTCAAGCAATCTGCGCATGCCCACAGAACATCGGTCGCCTCGGGCGGAACCTTTCTGCTGAGCTTGGCTCATTTCCTTCGCGATTCGTGCGATCACTGCATCCCACTCCCTTCCAAGCTAAAGACTATTGGCTCGGCTGGCTCCGGTCCTTGGCATGCTTCTCCAAGTGCTTCGGCCATTGCTCCTGGCGCAATTGAGTGTCACTGTTCCTGGTGGAGTTCCAGCTTCTCAGCCGCTATCTGTGGTGGAGTGCCAGCTTGCCAGGCCACCCACGCAGAGTGCAACACACCGACTACCCCATCCCATCCCAAGCCTTCTCAATGGCCAACAGCGTCTGGCAGATGAAATGGCGATCAACCTGCCGGCATCAGGCGACAAGACAAGGCGACTGTGAAAGCCAAAAAGATATAAAGGCACGCTTAAGCCATTTTTGCTTGGAATGCCGCGCCTCAAACTCGACTACCTGCGGCTCTGGCTGCCACTGCGCGAGGCTGTCTGCCGACGTGTCGTGCTCGGCGCTCTGCAGGCTTTGCGAGGCCGTGGACACCTGGGCTGCAGTGAGTTGGCGTGCAGTCCCCGGCGTGAAGCAAAGGAGCTCCCACCCGATGTTCAGATCTGAGGCACGCAAGCTGCTTGTGGCGGCGGGCCATTGGTCAGTAGACGCTGCAACGCGAGCTCCCTGTTGGTTGCATGGCCATCCCTGAGATGCCCGGCAGCCAATGGAAGATATACAAAGAGCAGACTAAAGTATGCTGAAGCAATGCAAGCAAAGGACGGGAATGAAAACACCCAAGCAGGGCAAGAATACAAGAACACTAACACTTGACTCACTGGATGGCCTTTCATGCCCAAGTGTCTCGTCACACCTCTCCAGGCTCTTGGGCACATCAGGGGTTGCCCCTTGCATCAGGAGAACGCCTGGGAAGATGCCGTGACCTGGGCGATGCAATTTCTCTTTGTGCCACATGCTTCGACTGCATCGATTGGGGGACCCCCTGGAGGTACCTGGGGAGTACTTGCTGGGGGGCAATCAATTGGGGGACCCCGGGTTTGGGCGGGACGGCCCACCCCGAATTTCCGGACGCCTTGCCTCGCACGTGGATCCGCTGCCGCTCGAAGTGCGCCACCTCCAACAAGGCCACCTCGGAGACTTCGTCCGGAACACCTCGGGGGGGGGGGGGGAGAAAGCACGCGTGTAGCAGCGTAGCATGTGGCAATTTCCACTCCAAAAACCTGGGCCTGCCCGGAATCGAATGATGATCTTCTCCTCGCAATGTCAGTGCCATCGACTCATTGAAGGGCACATTCACCCAACCGGCACAATGGCCATGGTTTCAACGTGTCCACCCTACATCCAAGGTAAGAAACGGATATGGACCAAAGATTGCACTGCATCACTGCAAGCCCAAGTATGGTCAGGGCTGCAATGAACCTGCGTATTGGGTAGTTATCATAAGCCAATGGATGACGAGGGGTTAAACAAAATGCACGTGAGCAAAAGGGTAAGGCCCTCAGGAAAACATCTTATTGCAGCTCTCTCTCTCTCTTTCAAAATGTTCCACTATCTTACAAAGTTCTCACCGCTAATCATCCAGTTGTGAGCTACTGTATGAGGAAGCTCTGGAGGCTTGCTTTGCCAAGCTAGCATTCCTAAGGCAAACGACAAGAGAATGTCAGAGTCAGCCGCTGCTCATACCCAGCCACACGTGGAAGTGCACTTGTGCTTCTAAAAAATTGGCTCATGTCCTCCATCCTGTCTTGGCGCGTGTGCTTCGCTCCGCGGCGCCGGCAAAGCAAATTGTCAACCCAACACAAGCCGCGTCCGCCGTCCGCCGTGTCCGGCTCCTTGTCTCCAGGATTGATCTGCCCCGACATCGGCCAGCAATCCAAGACGGCCGGCCGGGAAAGGGCGCAGAGGTTCCAGCTGAAGTGAAAGGCCACCTGCGGGAAACAGCAGCGATCCAAAGGCAGACGCCAGCGGACGCCGGCGGACGGCAGCCTTGCCGCTGTTGGCCAGGATCACCTCTCTTTCCTGCACCTCGCGCTTCGGACAAGGCCCCCAAAGGAAGCACAAGAAACCAAATGAACCAAAGAAGCCCCGCTTGAAAAGATATTAAAAGATACGGCAAGATAGAAAAAGATATATGCACAAACATGGACAGCCAGTCCGCTTCGACTGCTGGAGCCCGCCTCCGTGTAGGGCACCTCCCCAAAGTCCAGCTCCGTCTTGTCCAGCCGGAAGTCCAGCTTGGACGCCTGGCCCTTCAGAGACACCTCGTACCTGAACGCCACCCGACCCCCCGACCACTCCATCCAGGCCAAAAAAAATGTTTTCGAGGTGTGAGAAGAGATGAGAAGAATGAATACATGAGACATTCATGACATGGCTGGGTAGGCAAAGGAAACGCCAAATCGGCCGCGCGGCTCAGGACCCCCTTCAGTTTGACACACGGCAGCGCAGTCAAACTTCTGGTTCTTCATGCCAAAATAGGTAAAGGTGATATCCTGCCAGCGCCGACTGAATTTGCGGCCAGAGCGGAATTTCTCCACTCCCCACTTGTCCATAACTCTTGTTTTCAAGGCGCCTGCGATTGGCCCGGCTCCAATATGCCCATAATCGGCAGGATGTCGAAGATCTGATTGATATCCTGAGGTCGGTGTCGCACAGATCCAGAGAAGCTCGAGCCGATGCAGACAGGCGTCCACCGCCGGGCGTGCCCGCGACTTGGCAGGGGGCACCTCTGCCACCTGGGACATTCGATGCGCGTTGCTGACCTCCATGGTCCTGAGATTCGATGCGATCGGACGTGCAAAATGTCAAAATGTCGCAAGTGGCACTTCTCAGCTCAGATTCTGCTCAGAAGAGTGGACAGAGGGCGTCTGAGTCATCTGCTTCTGAGGAAAGCCTGCCAATCGATCAGCCCAGCGAACTGAAACCGACCTAATGACCTTGCCTAAGTGCTTTTAGATTGCACTCGTCCCATGCTCATTGCTCTTGAAAGCTGTTTGTATTCGGATTGGGGCATGCGCTCTCTGGCCCCTAGGCTCAAGCGCCCCCTTGAGGCCTGAAGCGTACGAGTTGGAGGCGCTCATGATGGTTCCAGCCAATGGTGAGGCGCCCGAACCAGCCGTCGCCCCTGGAGCCGCGGCTGCCATATGGAAACACTTGGACCCAACCATCGTATTCTCCCCTCTGGTTCAGACGCAAATGGTGCGTTTCAGGGAGTGGGCGGACAAGAACAATGAGTTCGGCCAAAACCACGTCTCCCTCCTCTGGCTGCAGGATGCGTTTCCAACTTGTGGGCAGCTATCCACATGCATCGCCACAATTCAATGGCTGCTGGAAATTTGTTGATTCGAGTCGCATCGGAGTTACCAGCCTTGCCTTCAAACATGGCCATGAAAAGATCCGCCCTTTTCAACCCTTCTGTGATCGATGTGGGATTGAATGTTCTGAGGGCAAGCGCTCACAGCCGAGCTGCTGTTATATTCTTCATCACTCATGTCCTCAGGCAGGGAATTGCTTTGGCGGTGGGAATCCCGGACATCGGCGCATGTGCAGCTGGGGGTCAGCTTCCTCGACAAAGGACCATTGGAAATTCACGGGCAACGGATTAGGATTCGCCATGGTGATGGTAAGCTGCTTTGTCGTCTCGTTCAGGACCTGGAGCTGGAGCTTGTCCAGCACACATGAGCCAAATTTACGAGGGGCCTGAGGCTCAAAGAGTGCCATGTCATGAAGCCAAGCTGCCGAGCCGAAATCCAGCTTATTGTTGCCTTAGCGGCCATGATTCTCTGCAATGATGGAGGAAATTGCGAAGCTGAAACTGAGCAAAGTTGGCTTGGACTGATGGTAAGTTGTGACAAGCTGCTTAGGGTGAGGTTCGGGAAGATAACCTCCCCATGCAAGCTGACGTGATCCCTCTGCGGGTGGTCCTAGGCGGATTCGACAGACGTGCGGCGCACATCTCAGTGCTTCAAGTTCAAGTGCATTGAGAGCTAAGCTTCCTGGTACACGATCGTCAGTTTCTGCTTCACCACCCCACACACGCGGTCCACCTTGAAGGCGGGGTCGAACTCCACGCGAATCCTGAGGCATGTGCGCAAATCTGCGCAAAGGCTTGCATGCCAGACATGGCAGCTCAGCTCCAAACTCGATGGTCTCGTCCGGTCTGAGAAAGCAAGTGTCAATGTTCACGTAAAACGGCCTCGGGGCAAGACAGCTCGAGTTGAGCGAGTTGAGGAAGGATATGCCGAGACAAGCTGCGGCTGGACTTTGATAAAGAAGCGCACCTGCCAAAACAGAAAGCCTGCCACCCGCAGCCGCTGAATGCTTGAGACGGCGGGGCTCGCTGCCACATTTTCTGCCGGCCGGGGAATGCCAATGGGCAAATCTCAGCACGCGTGGGGTGAAAGCGGCCTTTGCCCAGTGGAGACGCCCAGAGGAGCAGAGCCTTTGCCCCATATTCTTGGAATTGGCTCACAGTGTCACCACACGCCCTTCTTGCAGATACTCATCTTTCGTGGGATCCGCTGCTGCCTCACCCTCTTCTGACTCGTCTGACTCTTCTGACTCCTCCTCCTCGTCCTCATCGAAATCCTTCCATGGACCACGCGCAGGACCTCCCTTGCCAAGAGGGTTGGTGTAGGGAGACCACGGGCCGTGATTCAGCGGGAAGCCTTGCTGCGACAGGCTGCAAACATACCAAACCCTACAGCAATATGCATGCTACGTTTCTGCCTTGTCTCATGGTTCCGTATCCGCAAACATCACAGGGGAAACTCACCGTGCTGAGGAGCCCTTCGGCAGCCGCAGCTTCGGCGTCCAGAGGCCATGCCGCGGCCGGGGCTTGCGCTCCCAGTCCAGGTGCTGGGCCAAGCCCGTCCGCTCCAGGATGGCTTCAAACCTGCGCACATCTCCATGCCCCAGGCTTGAGTTCACGTGTCGCACTCACCGCCAAGCAGAATCTGCTCATGTCCTAGGAGTCCTAGCATGCACCCAAAGTGTAGTTTTACCAGGAAGTCACATGAAGCCACGTCAGTTTTTTTGCCATGTCACACCAAGCCCCCTCGCCTGTCGCGGACCTTCTCGCGGGAGCCAAGCCGCCTCTCTGCGAACTTGAGGGCGCGATGGAGCTTCCTTCGCATGGGCGGGCGGGCAGTTGGCACGAGCATAAATCAGAGGGCGGTGGTCTCATTGCTGCCGCGGCACCACCCCAATGCAAGCAACTCAGGTCGCTCCGCTACGATTGCACGCGCCTCCTCCACACCTCAGCCACAGTTGGAAAGCACTGGGGCGGGCAGCAACTCAAGCACTGCACACGCAAGCTCCAGGCACAGTGCTCCGCAACGCCCCTTCCCCCGCATGCAGCTCGAGGGCCAAAGAGGTGCTCGATGGATTCAAATGCCAGCTCGAACTTCCGCTTCTTTCGCCTGGGCAGCAAAATCATGTGGCAGCAAACCTGTGCCCGTGCCATCCCCCGCAGCCACACAAAAAGCTGGCCGTGTCACTGGTTCTCCTCCAGCAGCAGGTACGGCGCCTTGCGCAGGGCAGCCTGCGCCCCTTCTTTGCCCAAGAGCTTCCGCAGAGCACCGAGCCGGCCAAGGAATTGCTCGCCTCGGCCGCACAAAGTCGCATCCAACGTGGAAGCTTTGCGCCAAGATTCCATACCACTTGAGCAGCAGTGGCTCCCGCTCGATGGCTGCATGCGCCTGTCCGGTCAAGGCTCCACAATCGTTAGATCAAACCCCTCCGCCTCCTCCATTCCAAAGATAGCGACCAGAACCTTTGCCGGGTCAAAAATGTTCTGTTGCGACTCCCGACTCCAAGAATCCAAGAATCCAAGTCTGCCATGTGTGCCATCGACCATCTGCCAGGGCACTGGGTAGCATCCGGGCACGGCGGATGGATAGGGCGACCGCGCCACGCGGTCCATCGCCTGCCTGGCCACCTGCATGGCCGCCTCGCGGCTTCCCATCACCGCGGTCATATCCCCAAAGGCCTCACGCTCCAGCGGCAAGATGCGGCGTGAGTCGGCGCACATTTCTTGGCCAACGCCTTGTAGAAGTCGCCGATGGGGATGTTGGTGAGCTGAGGGTATTTGGCAATCACCTCGCGCAAGCGCTGCTTGGAGCCTCAGACACAACTGCGAGATGCAAACTGAGGCGAGCAATGCATGCTGACAAGGTGCCGAGGACATTGATCAGAGCCGGCAAGGATTCTCGCATATGCTTGGAGCTCTTGGTCAACAGGTAGGGGCACTCGAAAACTGCTTCCTTTGCCGCCTGTCAGGCAGTTGTACGTCGGTCAGGTACTTGCGCATCCGCGCTGCACGCATAGGCATGCCACGCTCTAAGACTCTAGCGCGCCTCAGGTCCCAGGTAAATTTCGAGGTAGTGCAAAGCATTCCGGGCGACCCGCCGTGGCCATCTAAGGATTGTGGGCTCGTCCTAGTGACTTGTGACATGCGTAGCTTGCACATGCTTGCACATCTGAGCGACGCTCCTCAACCAACTGGTTGACTAGCTCTGGGCGGCCGAAAATATCCACCAAGTCTTCCCAGCGCCGAATGAGGACATGCTCCTGTCATGGTCACGGGACGAGCTCATCTGAACTTGTCAGGGAATGAATGCTCCACTGTCCAATACGGTTCCTCAGTCGTGACCTCGGGAAAGCTTCGCTGAAAGATGTCCAGGGCAAAGTCTGCCTCCTTCGGTAATGGCCGCTGGTAACCTGGGTGATACAGTGATAACGGTTGCAAGGACGCCTTGTGACCTGGTGGGATTTGGTGGGATTTGGTGGGATTTGGATGGGATTTGGATGGATTTGGACCAAGTTTGGACCAATGGATCCAAAGCACCGGTCTCTGGGTCGCGAAGCTTCGTCGTACGCGTTCGGATTGCCAGCGGGGCAGGCGGTGGCCTGGCGAGGCATCAAGTCGATGCTCGATGACATCCGAAAACCGACCTGAAACAATCCCCCAAGCCTTTTTCTAGCCTAATGCGAAACCCCCCCAACCCTAACTAAACCTACCTAAACACCCGCCCTAGGTCAAACCCGAAGCCTCTTGATGCCCGCAGGCAGCATCGCCGCCCAGTCATTGGTCAGCACCAGCACGACCGCAGCCACCGCACATGTCCTCTCAGAGAGTCTGGGTGTGCTGCTCGGCAGCGATCCACCAAAACAGGCCACGCGACATGCTGCGACTGATTTGAGGAGTCAGGGCGGGGGGAGTCTGCTTCGGGCAGGAATGATCAATCATGCAAGTTGGACAGTGTGCCGAATCCTTGCATGCATGCTTGAGTCCTCGCCGCATTCCACGCTGATCTCATCATGCCATGAGGCCAGGTGCCCAGGCGGAATGATGTTAAGCTTTGTTTAAGAAGCCTCTATGGCCATGTTGGGTGGCTGGGTGTAGGGTTGATAAATGCCAAATGGCTGGAACATCCACTCTAAGCCGACAGGACCAAGTGATGTTTCCAACAAAACTGCCTTCATGACATGGAGAATGTTCAGGCTCCGAATCTCCCACACCTTGCACAAAAAAAATCCGGGCGCCCGCCTCGAGCGGCGAAATGTTCTTCAACACCTTGCCATGCAAGGGGATGCAAGATTGTCATTTGCAAACTGCCTAAAAGGTCTGCTTGTGCCGCAGTATGATAGAAGCAAGCCTGCGGCTCAATGCTTCCGAGAAGCCAGCTGCTCCGAAAGCGGGTGCAGAGGGCAATTGCGCTCCCACAGGTAGCCTTGGGTGACGCCTTTCGCACATCCAAAGAGAAGGAACGGAACACAGACAGATTCTTGGACGACTCCTGGATCTCACAGACAAGATACGGAAAGACACTGTGGTGGTCGACAGCTCCAGCAGCGGCAGCACCTGGCAAGGAGGCTGCACGGATGGAGCCGGGAAGCCACCGGGAGTTTTTGTTTCAATCCGAGGGACAAAGTTTCCGCGCAGCTCGGAGCGGAAGATCACGTTGCCCTTCCGGTCGTTGCCACAGAGCCTGGGCCACTAGGATAACCCAAAGGACGCCAAACGCGCCGTATATTTCAGCAGGAAGGCTCTGTGCAGATCAGGGTGTCGGTGAGCATCCCCGGCTTTGGGCTGGAGGCGTTGAAAACGAAGCGGAAGGCGCACTTCCCATCCAACGTCCTCATCGAGTCGACCGCCCTTCTTTGGCCTCTCTCTCTCTCTCTCTCTCTCTCGCCCCCAATTTCCCTCTCGCCGTGCTCGTTGTGTTTCTCTGATTTTCTTCTTCTCTGTCACCTTTTTCATGGTGCAATGCTTCATGAGCCCAACTCCCCGCCCCCGACACTCGAGGCCAGAACGAGGCACGAAGCTGGCAGGGCTCATTGGTGAAACAACTCTGCCAAGTCATCCTCCGCCAGATGCTCCAAGGAGTCTCGTGAAGGACTTCGCTGCACACTACCACCTGCAATACGCTGGGCGAAGCCGAAGAAATCCGGGGGGTCGCCAAGGTCGTCGTCGAGGGCACTCTCAGCCCCTTCCTCCACATCCTCCACAATGGTGGACGCTTTGGGCCTAGCCCTTGAAGCCTCGGATTGATGGCCCGAAATGGAGTTCAGCCTCGCTCGCTGCACAGACGCAAATAATGCACTCATGCCTGCCGAGAAATCAGACCTCAGCTCAGATTTGCCCGTCACAGATGGCGCTTGCACTGTTTGTGGCAGGCGCGCACGTCTGTGGAAGAGTGCGCTGAAGGCCGATTCCATGTCAGTGCCTGAGGGGGGCTTTGGAGGGGCCAGGAAGACTTCAGGCTCGTGCCGCGGTCTCTGCTTGGGCGCAAACAACACATTGAGCTCATCCTCGGCTTGTTCCACCGCCCGCTGGTGCCTGGCCAGAGGAGCGAAAAGGTCCTTCAAGCCATCCTCGGCATCAGTCTCTACGGGGGTCGCCGTCGCCGCAGTCACCGCAGCCACCGCAGCCGGAGGCGCGCCAGTGGCATGCGCATCACTCGCGCGGCCGGCCTGCGCTTCAGTCGTGTGCGCAGCATACGCCGCCGGCTTCCCAAGCAGTGAGCCCGACTGTGGATCCTTCGCGTGCCTCCAGTCCCGCCCCGAATCCGGCGTGCGCCCAGCTTTCGGACCCAGCATCCACAGGGCTACCCAGGGGATGCAAATGAGCGAAGGGACCCCGACCACGATGCCCAGGATCACCTCCATGAGCTGCAAGTTTGCAAGGGAGACAGCCACACAATTCGCTTGCCCAGTGCTGTTCAATTGACAAAGGCTGTCCAGTGGGCACAGAATCTGCTGGCACTCCGCGCTATCACCTCCATGGGCATGAAATGCCGTCCTTTCTTCCACCACCTCTAGCACCAAAAAGGCCACGAGCGCTATGTAGCCGGCCACGAAGAGCAGGGCCAGGCAGCGCTGCAACCGGCTACAGAAGCGGGAATGGGAAGTCCTCTTCCGCGCGTTGTGGGAGTCCAAGATCTGACTCCAGGGCACATTTGGCAGGTGGGGCCAACTCTCGGACTCGGGATGCTCCGGCTGCAGCTCCAAACCCACGCTTTCCGGGTCCCGACTTGTCCTGCTGTTTCTGCTGGTCCTGCTGGTCCGACTCGTCCGACTGGTCCTGCTGGCACGACTGGTCCGGCTCGTGGGGCTGGCCCGGCTGGTGGGCTTTTGCCGCGAGTCAAAGTCATCCATGGCTCAGCCATTGCTCACTTTGCCATCCTGAAGACATGTGAATCTGGAAACTGGTGATGCTAAGGATCAGCTAAAGCTTGCTTTGTTGATATCCATTACACTGTAACATGCCAATGCTAATGAACTCTTGCTGCGCAAACGGAGCTCCCTAGCCAAGCAAGCACAGTGGCAGCCTAGCTGACAAATCCAAATCTCCGCGTTTGCCCTTGCATGCAGGTTGGGTGGGTATGGGCAATGAGAGAGGGCCCTAAACAAACAACGACCTCACAGGCCCTGAAGCCTTTGCTCGCAGCGTGCCATGCATTCGGTGCTAGGCCCTACGCACCAATGCCCAATGCTGAGCCCAGCCACATGGTGTCCGGCACCACGGCGAAGACGAAGGGGTCGCCTGGCGCGAACGCTCTGGAGCAAGCATTCCTCCTCGCCCGGATCGCCCCGCCTTCCGGGGCGTCTTTGCCTGGCGCCTTACGCTCCTTGCGCTTCAAGTCTTGGGACCTCATGGAACGTTGGCAAGCGCCTCTGCATGCAGCACATGTTAGCCGAAGGGCTCCAGCGCCCAAATGAGTTTTCTTGGCTGGCGCCCTCGGTTTTCAATGATGAACTCCTTGGAGTGAGTCTGCGTGGTGTACTGGGTGCCGAAATCGATCAATTCCAGCCTTGACTCATTGACTACCGCTCGCCGTAGAACTCTGACAGTCAAAGCAAGCCTACAAAGCAAGGCACCGCATAGGAGCGCGCTGCCAAGGCTCGATTCCCTGCACATGACAGGGGTGCCAACACCCTTGGCACGCACAGTGGCTGCCACGTCGTTGCTTTCATGGACAATGACCTGCGCACGCGCATTCCAGCAGGTCTGAACATTGACTGAGAAAGTTTAGCAAAGGCCGAACAGAACAACCTCGAAATACCTCGAAACAAATCCCTAGCCCAGTTAGCCCAGCTGCATGGACAATGTCAGTCATCTTTGCCACCTCGTCAATGGTCAGTGTCATGTTCCTGGAGGCAGCTGCACGCTCGGACACACACACACACACACTGCCAAAGAAATCAAACTGCAAGCTGAGTGACAAATTGGCCGAGCCATGAGGTGGCAGTTCCATCGCTTTGGGTGACAGTGTCCAGAGTGAATTCTTCGTCTTCATGATGCAGCGAATCTGGGAGTTGCGCCAACGCCGGGCCCATGCCAAAACCGATCACTCTGCTGAAACCACACTGCTCGATTCTTGAGGAGCGGGCTGAGGCGGGAATGACGGAGTTGTTGCTGACCAGCACCGACCGGGTGATGGGTTCCAGGCACTGCGCATTCCCCCAATCAACCACACTAGGCTCGACATTGACGATCGGTCCGATGGTGTTGGCGATCAATGTCACGGTGCCTCGCGCTGCGGTCAGGCCATGCGCCCTGCGATCAGGCCACATGTTCTTGAGGCAAGGCTCTTGCAGAGTTGTGCCCGAGAATGCGGATGGTGATGGGGATCTGGAGCGTGCCGATGACCTGCGAGGTGAGGGTGAACGTCAAGACCTTGGTGCGGGTGTTACAAGCTTCAGGTGCGGCATGCAGCCCCATCCACCTCTGGCTCCGTCGGACCGACCAGTGCTCACGCCTGTGCTGCAAAGCTTCGTGAGAGGACGACGGAGGCACGGATCCGAAGGACTGGTCCGGCTCAAACTCTGCAATGGAGCGCCTAAGTCGCGGCTGATGCGTGTCAAGAGCGACATACAGAAGGCGAACCGAAAGCATAGACATCGCGGTGTGTGGTTTGGCGACAACTGCTTGCACAGGTTTTCGCATCGGTCGGATTTTGAAAAGTAGGGGGTTGGGTTGCGTAACGCCTAGAAGCCTAGAAGCCTAGAAGCCTAGAAGCCTAGAAGCCTAATCCCAGCGTCACGCCCAGCAGCCTAGAAGCCTAGAAGCCTAATACTGGCGTCACGCCTAGAAGCCTAGAAGCCTAGAAGCCTAGAAGCCTATTCCCGACGCCATGCCTGGAAGCCTAGAAGATGCCAAAATCTACGACGCGGATAAGCCTCGAAGCCTGCGCTTTATTGCGCTTCTACGTTTTGTTGCGCTTCTACGCCTCTGCGCTTTGGCTAACTTCATTGCTTCTGCGCGTTGCTCCGCTTCTGTTCTGTGCTGCGCTTCTGTGCTTTGCTGCGCCTCGCGCCCCGTCGGCGCTTCTGCGTTCTCGGCTTCTGCGGTTTATTGCGCTTCTGCGCTTCGCGGCTTCGCCGCTTGACACACCCGGGCTGCAACCCAAATCCGCCAGGTGTATCCCCTAAGCAGCCCAGCCATGCTGCCAATAGTTTTGGCCGACAGTCTCGCGGCCAAAGCACATGAGGTCGGCTGCCTCTTTACAGCCAACTTACTTTCAATGTGTTCCATTTTGCGCCTATGTGGAGACTCCTTTTCACACCCCCGATGGCCTGCTTACAAGACCACCTGTGCCGAGGAGCGTGGCTTCATCTTGGGGCATGATCTGGAACTTCGCAGGAAGGGCAGAGGTGTTATTGAGCACCTTGGGTGAGGAGGAGTATGCGACTGGCGAAAAAAGAGAAAAGCCGGCTTGCAGCTTCGCAAGCAGCCCGGCCAGTAGCTTGGCTGTGACTCCTGTCTGGGATCCCCGCCAGCGTCTGGTGAGAAGGGTACCGAATAAAGATGTCACCTGGACAATGGCTTCCATGAGAACAAGCTCATCGTCGCATCGTGCCATGTCAAAATTGAGCCAGGGCGCCATACTCTAGATGCTCCGCTGGCTCGGGAGTCACTTGTGGAACCGCGCAGCGCGCTTGGATGGGGATGCTCGCAAGCTCCTCACCGCACAAATGGCTGTCCCGACTTCAGTACATGCACAGCTATGAGGTGAATTCGTGAAGGTAGATAGATGTCCACCCAATATTTGAAGAGATGTATGCTACATGGCAGTATGTTCAGCCTGACCACAGCAACAGGCCATTACGCATCCCTGGCCTGACCCACGCCATCCAAGTCCACTACCAGGCAGAGATCGTACGACTTCACATTCATGCCTAAGAGTCTACAATGCCCAGCAGCCTGGAACCAGCAATCTGATAATCTAAGAGCTGCACTAATGAAGTCGATCTGAACTTTCTGGGAGCAGTTCGGAAGCAAAGTGCCCTTCGGCGGGATCACGTCGAACTCCCCTGAGGCCCAAAGCATCTGGTCAGCTCGGAACACACAGCCGCTCCGAGGCAAGCTGCGCTGCGTGAAGCGGCCATCACCAGGAATCCGCAGCGCAAAGCGCATAGGCACCTCACATGGAAGCGTACGACAGACGAAAGCAGACGCAAAGGGACGAAAACGCATATGCCAGGCCCTTTGTGGATTTGTCTCTCGCACCTCGGAGGTGTTGGTCAGGGTCAGCGTCTTTGAGTTCAGGAAACCATAGCTGACGACTCCGAAGGAGATTCGGTCCAAGTCAAAATGGAATGTTGGAGAGACCTGTGCAGTGCTGTACAACTGGCCCACGGATGCTGAGCATTTGCAAGCTGAGCCACGGAATGACCCCGGAAGCTGAGGCCGATCTTTGAAGTGCTGCCTCAGGCAGCCGTGAAGCCCCCCGCACGAGCGTCGCATGATCATCCCCTTGGGCAAGCCACCCACCAGCTCCCAATAGAAGGTCTCTTGAAATTCACCCAGGAGATCTGGGCCTCGGTTCCAAGCGATCCAAAAGTTGCTCAATTGCACATGCATCAGATGCTAAGGCTTCGGGATTCTATCTGAGCGCCATGCAAACCTCCACGACAATCGTGCATTGGCCTCATTCCAGTTCGCAACTTGCCGGAGCATGTGCTGAGGGATCCCATGACCTTCGAGCCGAGGGGCCGCCCACTTCCAGGCGCCCGTCGCTGGGCAGAAAGGTGAACTTGGACCCAAAGGGCGAGGTGTTCGGCACCTGAGCGGGGCCAAAGGACAAACCGATCAGACCGCCCACCCCGTACCCCGAGGCATCTGAGTGCCTGGCAAGGCGAAACTCCACATCCTGAGCGTGTTATGCATTCATGCCTTCGGTAGTCCTGTGGCTGCCTGTCGCTAGAGAACGCCATCCTAAACAATGTGTCACAGCCTACTGTTGAGTCCCTTAACCTGCCCAAGCGCAGCTACCTTCCTTCTATCCACGCTCAAAACAAAGCTAAAGGGGAAGCTTTCCATGCGCCCCAACGAAAGATGCACACCAAACGCAGCAAACCAAACCACAAAAGCTTCTCAAAGCGTCATAGCCTTTGCGTGAGCTCATGATTCTTAAGAATGCTGGACTCTTGGCCTTCTCGCTCAGCCATTGCCTTCCAAGGCTCAATGTCGCCCTGGTTGATCAGGTTCACCTTCAGCTTTGCCAGGCATGGAAGCAATGAACAGCCTCGCTTGCGCGTGCCTCATACTGGTGGACTGACTCCACAAAAATGTCGCCGACATCCAGCTCATCATAGGAGAACGCTGCCTTCGGCCCGATCCCGGTTCCTTGTCAGAAGGCTCAGGCAAGGCAAATGAAACGGCAATCCGGAGCTCGCCCTCGCCCCACAACCCGACTAGCGGAAGCACCCGCAAAACAGAGGTCGATCAATGCAGTACTCTTTCATTCTTGTGAACAAAGAGAATGAGATCGGCGTTGCACATTCTGCAACTCATTCAAGCAGCCCTTGAGGAGCAGCGGGAGGCGCTCGGCGCGACCGACCACAGAGCAATAAGCGAGGCATTGATAATTCAACGCCGCCTCAGGGGATCAACTGAGGAGCGTGTTCACAAGCTGAGGTTGCGAGCCGGTTGGCGCCAGAGAGTTGTGGAGTTGTGTGCCGTTTCTGCGAGTTCGCTGAGGTCACCTGTCGAACGGAGCCCATGCCTTGGGCGTGAAGGTGAAGGTGATGGCCACTTTGGACTTTGCCCAAATGCGCCCAGACAGAGGCTCCACCGCAAAGATCTCATCGTAGAAAAACATCGGATCCTGGCACGCTTCGTACTTGCACACATTCCATGAGGCTCTGGTCACGAGTCCTCCAGGATCGCCTTTGCGATGTTCTTGTATCCTTGTGCGGCTGTGGGAAAGCTTTTCAAATCCCGGAATAAAGCCTTTAGATCCGAGAGCCACAACTCCAGTCACCCAAACCTCCTTGCAACAATCGAGCACCGGCTATTCAAAGTGAAGCTGCTCACAGCGCGCGCAGAGCAACACTGCGCTACAAAGGCCCTTCCGAAATTTGCAAGCCGAGCATCTTCTTTGAAGAGCCCCCTGTGCAAGCTCCACGCCTTTGAGCCTCAATCATGGCACACAGCTGATTGGCTTCACTGAGGTTATCCAAGGTTTGAACGAGGAGAACCTGGCATCATATTCATCAGATGACTCGCTCAGGGACTCCTCCTCTGAATCGTCTCCTTGGCGCACTGCTGGTCTAGCTGACGAGCCCTTCTTTCTTTCAGACGATGGCTTTCGAGGCCGGCCAACCAGGAACAAACATAACATCGTCAAGCCCAGCTGCCGAGTTCTTGCAAGGCGGCAGCCTCTTCGTGCTCTTCCTGCTTCAGCTGGACCTGTGCAGTGAGCTTCTCCCCACTAGCCAAGTGGCCCATTCAACAAGCCCCACCTGCAGCTTCAGCTTTTGACCAATCTCCTGCAGAAAGGAAGAAACCCAACGGACACCCAGAAGGAACTGGGTTTAGGTCCTCTTGGATGGAAGGAAAGGCACGCCAACTGAAATCCACGGGTATCTCTGAGTTGTTGTGGATGACAATGGTCTTCTGCGTAGACAGCGCCTTGGGCTAGCGGCGTGCCAGGCAAAGCTTTGGCTGTTTAATCAAAAACAAGCGTTTCAAACAGCTATCTTTATATAGGAGGGGGGACTTTGCTGAATTAACGTGATATCCGAAACTACTGAGGAAAAAAAGAGGCGAGGGCTCTGCCGGCTGGGCATCGAAGCGGAACGGCGACAGGATGCCCCAGCTCAATGTGTCGCACTACCCCGAAATGCCCCGGACTCAGAGGATTCACTGGCAAACATCCACGTGGTGCAGGCGCAGGATGGTTTTGCGGGAGAGGGGCGACTGGAATTCCTGTGACACGTTATCATCATTCTTGATGTATCTTGTGCGGTCACTCCCGCTCGGGAAGTGTTTGCTTCTCGTGTTCTGTTCACATCCGACTCCTTCCTCTGTTGCCTCGAATTGCCAGGTGTCGCACCACCGTCTTGCCTTTTCCTTCAAGGTCATATTTGCAGAGGCGCCAGCCCACTGCTGCCAAGATGCTATGAAGGTGTCCTCCATCTGAAGCTGATTCGCCTTTGGTGGCAAAGCACTTGCCTCCCCTTCACAAACCGGCCTTGCCCCAAACATCACGGCACAATGCGCACACAAACACACACACACACACACACACACACACACACACACACACACACACACACACACACACACACACACACACACACACACACACACACACACCACACACACACCCACACACACACACACGCACACGCACACGCACACGCACACACGCACACGCACACGCACACGCACACACGCACACGCACACGCACACGCACACGCACACGCACACGCACACGCACACGCACACGCACACGCACACGCACGCACACGCACGCACAGCACACGCACACGCGCACGCGCACGCGCACGCACACGCACACGCACACGCACACACACGCACGCAACACGCACACCCACACACACACACACACACACACACACACACACACACACACACACACACACACACACACACCACACACACACACACACACACGCGCGCGCCGCGGCATGCAACAAACGCCAAGAAGCGGAGAAGGTCACATTGACATTCCTGAGCGAACAACACAGATTTGGTCAACCTTGCCTAGCCATCCTAGCCCCTACTGGCTCGTATGAAAATTGCCACGCGCCATGCAAGCCCTCGCCACCTTCAGGCACGCGTCTCTGCCCTCCCTTTCAGCGCCATATGCGACTCCAGGCCATCGCCATAGACAACAAGCATATCTCGCCTTACAGTCGGAAATTTCGCGCTCTTCCCATAGGAGGCGCCTTTCCTCCATGCACGATGCCACAAACAGGCGCGCTTGGAAACCAGTGCAAGTACGTGCAAAACACTGCCAGCGGGCTCGTAGGGCTCAGCCTTGTCTGGTCTGAACACAACATCGACCTAGCACTGCACAGGAAAGGGGTCCCATGATGCGGCGACGGGTAAACCCAGGGCCTGCATGGTCTCACCCACTTCCAAGTACCCGTCTTGAATAGACGTGCTGAAGGGCGGTGGCACCTACAGGTCAAGAACGGTCAAGATTCAGCTTGGCGCCGCAGCGGTGGTTTGGCAAGGCGCTTTCAGCAAAAACTTGGTGGGCTTCTCTCCGACATTGCGGACCTTCAGACCACGCGCCGCACGCGCTCTGAAAAAGGCCAACGCACTGTGCGCCATCTGGGACTCTGAGACTCTGGGACTCTGGCCATGATCGTCTTCAACGCCTCGTACTTTACCGGCGACAAACCGAAGTCCAGCTCAGTCGGCATGTCCAGCATGGCGCTGCCACCCGTCGCCCGGATCGTCACGATGAAGCGCTCACGCCTTTGGGCGAGATCGTCAAAGACGCGCGTCTGGCACGTCTGGCACGTCTGGCAGAAAACCTACCCGGACCAAGCCGCTCTGTCACAACGACCAGGTCATAGGAGTAGTCCTCTACCTGTCCACAGCGCGCACGGATTGCATATGATTGCATGTCCCAGCTTCAAGTCGGGCCTGCTGGTCTGGTGTGAAACGCACCTGCCATGGCCAATCGCACTCACGCGCTCTGCGCTTCTGGGCCTAAAAGGGAACAGCTCCTCAGTGCAAGCTGAACGGTTTGGCGCATTGCCTAGTAGTTATTGCTCAGCCCGTTGCAAGTCAACTTTGGGTGATGCTTGGCAAGGAAGCAAAGTGCCCCCATGGAAAAGGGGATGGGAACATGTGCACATGAACCTCCAAACACATACCCAAATATTCTCAGCAATGGTCCTTCTGCACTCCTGAATCCCTGCCAAGACACTATGTACGACACCTCCATGCCAGGAGCAACCTGAGAGCACGGCTAAGTAGCATGTCAAACATCGCCAACCCGACGTCACTCTCCTCACACTTGCTTCGGCCCACCTTGTTGTCTCCTTCCCCATTGGCCTTGCGACCTTTTCCAGGCAATACCTTGAAGAAGGTGCTATCGGGCTGCAGGACCTTCACCTCGCATTGCCATCATTCGACATTTCCAGCAATGCTGCTGAAGTTTACAGATGCTCCTGGTTGGCATGTTGGCTGCTGCATGCCCTTCAGCTTTCAACTTGTGCAGGGCCATGCGTAAAAAGGCATGTGGGAAACGTGGCAGCAGCTGCATGTTTGCTCGCACATGTCCACATAAGGGGCTGCCTAGCCCTGCTGTTCTCCGTGACCTTAGCACGGCGCTCTCCTAGCAACGTTGTCCTGGTTGCGCAAGTGCAGGGTGGCATCCAGACTTTGCAGGCATTCCTTGGCCCGGGCGAGGAGTCCCCATATATATATATATATATATATATGTGTGTGTGTGTGTATTTATTTATTTATTTACAGTTTCATTCCCAAGGAGGTTTGATATAAACAGCACCGCAGCATTTTCACTCCAAGCGATGCGATACGAATCTGATAACCCACCTTTTCCTGTGGGATTTGCGTTGGTATCCACGGCATGAATTTCCTCATGCTGTGGCCCAGTCAATTCGCCGATTTCCTCGGCACATCGGGTTTACCCCCGATAAGCTCTGGATGCCCTGCATCAAGCAGGATACATCTCCCACCACAGAGCTAACTGACTGACCGGGGGCCTGGTCCCCCAGGCATTCCCCAAGCGCGGCGCGCTCTTCAAAGATACGGACGTCCCAACTAGGGGGGCCGGTGAACTAGGGGTTAAAATTTAGCCAGTTTGGATCATACTTGAGCCAAAAGGCCCCGCATGATCCAATACACTCCTTGCAGAATGAAGCCTGTAAACCCAAGCCTTCCAACCTGATACAGGATTACATTCCCAAGGAGGTTTGATATAAACAGCACCGCAGCATTTCCACTCCAAGCGATGCGATACGAATCTGATAACCCACCTTTTCCTGTGGGATTTGCGTTGGTATCCACAGCATGAATTTCCTCATGCTGTGGCCCAGTCAATTCGCCGATTTCCTCGGCACATCGGGTTTACCCCCGATAAGCTCTGGATGCCCTGCATCAAGCAGGATACATCTCCCACAGCGAAGGTAATCACTGCGCGGTACGGAAGACTCAGTAGAGCTGGAGGGAAAAGACTGAAACTCAGCTTGAAGTGGTTGGCCCTGTACCATGGGTCACTGGGTCCTAATCGGCTGATCGCGTCGGCCCAATTGGATTTGGATGGAATGTATTCCCAGTATAGTGAGGCTCGCAACGCAAAGAGCAAACACTGAATATACGTCGCCATCTTGGCCAAGTCGGGGTTGTCACTCCTGCCCCTGATCAAACACATAAGACTGGCGATGTTATCGATGAACCACTCTCCGCGTCTCCCGCGGAATTGGTCGGGTCTTGCCGTGAGGGCGTGCACCACCATGAACAGCTCCAACTGGGCTCGCTTTTTTGTGGTCGCCTGGTCCCCACATGTCATAGACCTGCGAGGGGATGATGCCACAAAGGCTTCCCGGATCTGCACGCCACCGTCCTGGAAGACGAAGTGGTATCCGCCGGACCCTTGACGAGGTGCCTCCAAAGCCGCGTCGAGGCAGCCACCCCTCGGCACGTCCATGGGTGGACCATCAGCTCCCTCCTGGGGCGCATACTGATGATGGCCTCCAACACATCAAAAGCCGACAGGAGGCTGGCGCCGGCTCTGCTACGTACTGGTGCTCCTTCAATGCCTGGAACCGATGCGCCCGAAGAGGCCATGCTCCAGGAAGTTGACCACGCCGTAGAGTTTCGCGGCTTGACCCGGGGTGAACTTCCCCGAACGACTTCGCAGGAACGAAGTGGAAGAACCTGACGGGCACCGCCCGGTGGAGCGACGGCACGGAGATGGTCACCCTCGACTACTCGCACCTCACCAGCGTGCTGTGGGGGGTGTGCAAGGGCTTCCAGGCCCGGCTGGACGAGGTGGAAGCCTGGCAGGCCCAGCGCGGGCCGAAGAACTTCCTGGCGTCATGAAGGTGAGCACCTTCTGCTCGAGTCGCTCTCGAACCCAAAAACGCGCACGCCCATGTGTGTGGATCTCCGAGAGGTCGAAGTCAAGACCCAAGAAGGTACCGACGTCCGCAGCTCCCTGGCGCTTCTCCTCAGCAAACGGGGTGTCATTGAGGACGCCAAAGCTCCACTGGGCTGATGGCGGTCGGTGATGTGACTGTCATCGAAAGCCATCCGAGAGCAGCGGTTGAAGGAGGTGACCGCCAACGGAAGGCCGAACAAGAGGGCGTGGTACACCTGGAAGGCGGGCCCCTGCCATTCTTGGTGGTACCAGACTACCACACAGGCCAGGGCCTCCTGTCGTGAGGCATTCGGCCAATCGTCTCCGGCCCCCATCCACTGCCCCTGCTGCGCGAACCGCTCCCAGGTGCACTCCTGAAGGCAGGCTGCAGCAGCTTGGACGTGGAGCGCTGGGCGGAGCGGCGTGCACAAAACGAGTTTGTTGGCGACGATGCGGATTGCCCGCCCCGTGCTGCGTCGTCTATTGGACGTTGCTTGCCGGACGCCTGTGTGATGACACAGCGAGGTATGAGCCGGCAGGGGTCTCCTTTAGCATACCGCTTGAGCTGGCTCAGGTTCATCGGGGGGGTGCAAAACCCGTCCTTGTGATCCTTCGTGGACTGCTCGAGGACGAAGGAGTCTGTGGAACCCGGCCGCACTCCCGCGATGGTGGCGGCGTTGTGCTCCTCCCAACCAGCCAGCACCTCCGAATGGGCGATTGCCTCGACGGGCTGGTGGGGGAAGACTCCGTAATGGGGGCATAGCCCACCGCGGGAAGGCCCTTGATGAAGCCGGGCGACTTCGCCCCCACTGCATGAGGACGACGAAGAGTCCCAGCAAACCCAGATCGCGCTTCGAGGTAACTCCTTGGATGGCGCTTCAGCTCCTTGATGGCCCCGATGGACGCCTGACAGCGTTCCTTCAGGTTGTGGTTGTCCATCACCATGTCGTCCAACGTGGGAAGGACTTCCAACAGGGTTGCCGTGATGGTCCACTGCAGGGATGCGGCAAAATGGGCGTCTGCATCCAGCCCATATCCTACCAGAGGCGGAATGGAGGCCTTGTGGTTGTAGGCTCCATGCTGCTTGCCCTCCGCCAGCCGCTGACGTCTCCGACTAGCGTTAGGGTGGCCCGTCCCACTCCATCCCGCGGCTCTGGCGCCAGTCCAAGTAGCAAGTAAAGGGTTCCTGGTTCAACAGGTCCTCCAACATGGGCCACTTAAAAGATTGGAACCACTCGGCCGGGTAGAGCTTGCGAAAGGCCAAAATTACATCCTCTTGAGGAAACCAGAGTGACATCGACTGCAGGGCGTCACTGCTGCATGATAGCCGCTGCCCTGAGCACAGAGCCCCTGGCCTGCCGCCGCCCAGTGACTCATGGGCAGGCTAGCCTCGGCATCCGGATGGGTCGCATCAAAGACCATCCCAGCCAGCGCATCTGCCTCGCAGACACCGTCCGGGCCGCAATCACATGCCAGCCGTTTGCCGTGCAGCGCAGGCAGCTCCGCCTGCAAATTGGCGAGGACAAAGTCCACGTAGAGCGGCAGCCAGTCGTCCGTCGTACAGGTGTGCCCCTGCACGAACGGTGATGCCCACTGTGACCGTGGGACCCGGTGGGAGTGGTGGCCCTGCCCCACGTAAACCACGTCCGGCGGCAGCTTGCCATCTGCGAGTACGTCAGCCACTCGTACCACCGTAGGCAGCCGCGCTCGCTCCTCGGGATGCAGCGGTGGCAATCCGAGGGCGATGGCCAGCGGAGTCATTGCCCAGCTGCGCATAGCTCTGGGATCGATATCCAGCCAGTGTTGCCTTCAGCCACACGCCTCCAGCAGCGGCATCCGTGGCACGTCGAGTCGGGCATGCCCTTCTCGGACCGCCCACCAACTGACCGACACAGCAATTGCGAAGGCCAGGGTGGCCGAATATTCCGCTTCTTCCTTAGACGGGAACTGGTGCCTCCCCTGGGTGTCCTCCCAAGGATCCCACTCGCATTCGCGAGGGTGAATCAGCTCGATCTCATGGATGTTGTGCCGCAGCCGCTGGTGTTTGCAACGCGCTGACATGAAGACGCATGCCGAGTACGTCGTGTCGTAAGGCCGGACTCCATCATGGTCTCCTCCTAGGGAGGGACCAATGGAGGCTTCAAGCCGGGTTCTCCCGCAGGGCCCCTCTGCCATCGTCCGTTTGGTAGAGCCTGGAGCTGCTTCAGAATCCCGGCCGGGACCCAGTGGGCGTCCCGTGCTTCGTATGTGGCCTTGATGACTCCCTGAAACGGCTCACCCAGTCTGCCCTCTCCTCGGTGTCCCTCTGCAGGAGCCATGCGAGTCGGCTGGCATGGGGCAGGCTGGCCGAGGTGTGCCGGGCTCTCGCGTGGTAGCGCATTACCACGTCCAATGGTACGCAGACGAACTTCGTGGTGTCCGCCCAAGCACATCTTCCTCCTTGGCAGAGGGCGCGTTGTCCAGCGCTTTGACCCCGCCCAGGGCGTAGGCCAGCAGCAACGTGAAGAGCCTGTCCAGGTACGTCTCCCAGTCCTGGTGCCCGGGCTGCTCGTCGTCCGGCTCCTCCGTCCACAAGCCTTCTCCAAGCTTGCGCTTCTTGCTTGAGGTACCGAGCTGCCATTGCAAGGTTTTCACCTTCCAGACGGATGTCACGCACAGGAGACGCTTGGACATTTCCCTGGAAGCCCTGGACACGGCCGCGTCACTGGGGTACACTTCCGTGGTGGTAACGTACCCAAAAGGCTTCCTTGGCTGATCTCAACTCGGTATCCCCGAGGAGGGAATCGAGGTCCTCGATGGCGACCCGCAGCGGTCCTGCTCGGCGGTCTTATAGTACAACGAGACCGCATGCCAGGCTCTCCGCAATCTGGCTGCCTGGATTTGAGCTTCCGCTCCCAACTGGATCTTCCCAAGCCAAGGTTCCACCTTGGCCTCGGCATCGAAGAAAAAGCGGAACTCTTCCAAATTGGCGATGCCCGCCTTGGAAAGCGCTTCCACTACCTCCGCTGCCAATTGAAAATTCTTGCCGAGCCTGTCCAGGCAATCGGCTCCGTCCGACGGCACAAGGGAAGCCGCCATGCGATTTCCAGGGGAAAAACACAATCGCTCGGGCCTCAAAGGACTACCCATACCACGAAACGGGAGGGGGGAATGGAGGGGACGCACAGCCGAAATCAACTCAACCCTCGACTCATTAAAAGTTGCGTGGAAAAAGACCCCTGGCGTGCACTCGCCGGTTACTCCGCATTCCGCGGCCGACGGCCGTACGGGAGGTAACGCCCCCCGGCCTCCTCCCTGGTATCCCCAGGGTGCCTGCCACGGTGCATGGTGAATCGGTTGAAACTGTCTGAAAAACGAATGCCACCTGGCTATGCTCCGTGACTCATGCATGTCGGGGCAAGCTGATGCCTTACCCTGCCGCTCCCGTTTTCCACACGGAAGAATGGATCAGGCAAATGCCCCGCGGCACTCCTATGGCGTGCAAAATGGGGGACTAAATTTGGGCAGCCCCGCCCATGGGCCAAAATCGGCTCACTGAGGGAGGAAACTAGCCGGGCACTTGCTCAGGCAAGTCCGGCAAAAGCGCTGCTCCCATGCAATGGCCTCAAACTTGCCCGAGGTGGTTAGGGGGTAGGACAGACGATCAGCTTGGCGAGCTGCCTGCTTGTGCTGGCAGAGCGGGTAGCCCTTGGCTGTGCTGACGTGGACCTGGCTCGTAGCAGTGGCCATGAAACCGGCGCACACCGGCTCAGACACACCTGCTGAGGAGCTCGCCAGCGCCTGGTGCACCCATCCGGCCAGCTTGCGGTCCTGCAGGGTCTTGGTGATCTCCACATCTCGGCATCTCCGGATCTCCCCCGCTGCGTCCGCCAGGCTCATCCCCTTCGGCATTGCCAGCCACATCGCCGCAGCTAGAGCGGCTCGGTGACGCACCTTGCCGCTGGGCCAGCCTCTCAGGGAAGCAAACCACCTGGAGGCTGCATGCTGGGAAGGCTGCAGCCGTGACTGGCGTGGGGATGCCCGCCAAGAAGAGGGCTCCTCCTTTCACGTTGTTGTAGAGCGATGGGATCTGGGCGGACTTCCCCCTCACAGTTGCCAACCGGTCCCATTTGCTGTCAGCCGGGTTCAAACCCAGGCACTCCGGGATCTCCAAGAAGTTGCCCGGGACCTCGGCTGGCTCTGCCGGGCGTCTGGTATCCACCGAGGCAGCCGATCTCCGCATCCTCAACGTCCACAACGTGGTCGGCTGCTGCAGCCTCACGAAGCTCCTCGGCCGAGGGTCTGGATGACATGGGGCGATTGGCAGTGGCGGGGGCAAGATTCTTCGGCTCTTCTTCGCCGGTGCCTCCGATGGCGCCCCTGCAGGGCGGGACGCTCCCCCCTCCACAGGGTCAGCCGGCACAGGCAGCCCCAGCTCGCGAAGCTTAGCCTCGGTCATCCGCCGCTTTGCTCGGCACTCGCATGCCCTGCCCGTCTGCTGCAGCATCGCGCACAAGTGCTCCCTTGCGCACGGATCCTGGCGGCATTCTCCCGTGTTGAAGTCCGGGCACAATGCTGTACCATTCTTCAAATGCCCTGTGAGGAAGATCTCGCCCAGCCTGGATGGCATGGCCCTGACCGAAGGCGCCGGCCTCCTCATCCGCTCGCGGGCGTTGTGCACGAGCGACTGGCTCAGGGAGAAGCGCCTCTTCAGCGCCGTGGTCTGCGGTGCCTGGGCCCAGATCACCTCTGTGTCCCCTCGGCACGCCTGGGCACGGAGACGTCCAAGAAGTTGGAGATGAAGAAGCTGTATCAGGTGCTGATAATCCTGGACGACCTAGCGGATATGCCGAAATTGCACAAACCCAACGGCGCCCTCGACACGCTCTTCATTCGAGGCCGGCACATGCAGATCAGCACCTGGGTGAGCTCCCAGAAGCTGAGGCTCATCAGCGCAGCCGTGCCTTGATTTTGGCCTCTTCGTCGGCCTCGGCGATCTCCTCCTCGGTGACCGTCTCCCAGGCCTCGCAGTCTGCGACCTTGGCAGCCACGAGGAAGGCTCTCATCTTAGTCCGCATGGACAGGGCGTACTTGCCGCCGCTGTAGTGGAACGGCATCCCACTGTCGGCAGCAACCGCCTCCAGGAATAGCTAGTGAGCTGCTCGAAGGGCTCCACCACGCCATGGTAGAGGTGCTGAGTCACCCTTCCCGAATGGGCCAAGCCTGGCCAGAGACCGGGTGAAAGCAGATGCCGCACTTGTCGTGCTTCTCCGGCGCCAGCCCCTGGTAGTCCTCCAGCCACTTGTCAGCCCAGTGCCAACCGTTGGAGAAACGGGCTGGGCGCAAGTGCTTGTGGCGCAGGCAGCCCGCTGCCACGAGCCACGACGAAAGCGCTGCTGTCCAAGGCTTGCTGCATCTCGATGATCTTGCCCTCCAGGGTGAGCAGCATGGGCGGTTCCACCACTACTGCCTGGGACCTCGCCTTGCGCACCTTCTCAATAACCTTGGGGGGCTTCAGGCGGCCGAGCTGCCACTGCAACCTGCCATTGTTGGACAACCAGCGCAAAGACTGCAGCGCTCGCGAGGGCGACATGGCCTGCTCAAGGAAGGCGTGAAAGTCCAACTCCTCCAGGTCCTGCACGTCCCTGGCTGCAAGGAAGAGCGAGAGCTCCTGGTACGTCCTCACCGCGTTCAGGATCGTGGTCGCCTCAGACTGGGTGACTCGTTCCTGAGCAAGTCTCCGAACCGCTTGCTGCCAGTCGGCATAGCGCTTCGGGTCGTCATGCCTCCGAGGTCGAAGGACGCCCAGCTTCATGAAGGCCTCTGTCAGCAGGTTGACCCTGCGGCCGACCGCCTCGGCGTTGTCCGGGTTCTGCCTCAACCGCAGGCCCACGTTGCTTGTGGGGAGCTGCACCGCCGGCCGGCGGAGGGTCGATGGCCCCACCGGCGTCACTCGCCAGGGATCCACCTCCATTCAGCGGCGACGAAAAGCACGAACATTGGCCTCCTGGACACGAAACATCAGCCCTTCGCCAGAGCCGCCCGGGTCACCCCCGGAGTGCTCCATGGCTTCAGTGGCATAGCGCCCAGGAGTGGCGTCACCGCGAAACGCCATGGCTAAGAGCAGCACCCCCCAGCGTAGAGCCTTGGCAGCAACGGATGGGGCAGGCTTCGCATTGGTGGATGCCACATGATGCGCAAACAGATTGAGCCCTGCTGCCGCAGTAGGCGCAAACTCCCTTCGTCCAGCCACCCACGGTCCTCCCCGCTGTGGCTTTGGCCAGGGTCCCTGGGCCATGGCTCGGTCCAACTCTGAAACCCCAAGCTCCATCTCCTCCAGGTCCCCATGAAGCCCTTGAAGGACACGAAGGGGTTCCACCCGGCCAGCAATGGCGGAGACATACATCGGGATGATGTCCTGGGCACGGAGGCCACTGCCTGCTTCAGCCACCATGGCCTCTGACAGGCAATCCTCCTCATAGCACCCATGATAGGCGGCCCAGGCCTCCTCTGCAGATGCACCTTCTTGAACCAAGACTGCACGCCGACACCAGGTGCCAATGAACGGGAACTTGAAGCCGCCAAGAGACCCGTCACATCTTGCACAATGGGCGTCAATGCAGGGCGCAAATTGTATGGCGCTTGAAGTCGAGGTAGGCGCCTGTGGACAAGAGAGGACGATCCGTGTGAACGGCCAAGTCACTCATGGAACAGCCAACATTCGACAAGTAACCCTTGCCGAACATGCAAAACCAGAAGTTAAAATTTAGCCAGTTTGGATCATACTTGAGCCAAAAGGCCCCGCATGATCCAATACACTCCTTGCAGAATGAAGCCTGTAAACCCAAGCCTTCCAACCTGATACAGGATTAAAAACAAAAAATGTCGCTGCAGTTGTCTTTGTACCGTGCAGGATCAGAGGACAAGGCTCGAAGTCGGAAAAGCGAATCTCTGGCGGGGTTGCTTGAAACAAGGGCTCATCCACCGGCACGACCGAGTCCACCTGGCCGAATACTTGTCTCATGGAGACTGGAGTCACCCGATTGGCATACTACAAATATTTCCCCACTTCTAAACGCCTGATGGGTGAAGTCGCCCATGTTCTGAAAGGCCACTATCCTTGGCGTCATTGGCTCCTGCCGAGGGCCAAGGACGGCCTCAACCAACATTTGCCAGCTGGGAGACCCTGCGTCAAAATGAGTCGAAAAAAGATCTCAGTTGGGAATGTGCAGAATGCCAAGACTTCAACCAGTGTCGCCTCACGCTGCTGCAACGTTTTGGAGCGCTGGCGCGGCGTCCGTGCCGACAATGGCGCCGACATGGTTTTATTCATGGCTGTGCCTGTTGCAGGCTGGTGAACCCGTGAGCCATGAACTGTTCTGTTTCATCCTTGCCTGTTTGCGAACAGTAAACTATTCACTGCCTTGCACGCGCAAGTGCGCGTAAACAATTGCAACGCAATAGGAATTTCACTTCATGTGGCAATGGCAACCGCGAACGACTATGACTCTGTAAAAGCGGCAGGACACATGGAACAGTGTTGTTCGAACCGTGCGAACAAGATTCCCTACAGCGCAACACGGGGCCGAGCAAGACATACCAAGCAGCCAGACAGCCTCCTCGCACACTGTGACACTGGAACGCACTTGAAAAGTATGCGTCTTTGGCTGCACTCCACTCATTTTACTCACTCGAAGTGCAGCGAGCGCTCAGCTCCGACAAGGTGAGCCCAGCCTGGACAGGCAATCCAAGTAAATGACCGCAAGGTGCACAATTTCGGCAAAAGAATGAGGCGCCAACCAGCCCTGCTTGAAGCAAATCGCGAAGTTCGCACCTGACACTTAGGGTCGTGCCGTGGACTACCCGCCATACAGTCTTGCATATCCTTGCACGAGACATGCGAGAATGTAATTAGCTGCAAAGGCAAGTCTCCGCCTCCTCGGCGGCTGCGACAAATCCACTCGCACACGGTTGTGTGCCTGCAGGCAGCATTGCCAGGAAGAAAGGAAACACAAAACGGATCAAAACGGATCAAAACGGATCAAAACGGATCAAAACGGCGCTCGGAACCTCGCACCACCACAATGCGTACTCGTCCCTGCTTGGCAGGCCTAGCGGAACCGACGCCTCGCAGATCTCATCGGGATCCGAGGGCCCAGCGCGGAGGGAGATCGCGGCACACGTCGATGAACTCCTGGCGCAAGCCGCAGGCACGCGTGAAGACGTGTTTGCGCACCGTCCTGGGAACATAAGCGGCATGGGTAAAGGCGGAGGAAGGAACGCAACCAGACCAAGGCCGAAACCTGTCAGGATGCCAGCTCGGGATGATAAAAGTGAACGAGTCTGTCGTCGCGGCCTGATCTTGTGCCTCTGGCTGTTCAGGGTAGTTGGCAGCCAGGCAATGTACATACCGCCAGGCTGCACGCCTCAGCAACAATGGCTACCGTTTTTGGAACTTAGTACAAGAGCATTGCGCCCAACGTCACATATTCACAAAAGTTTGCAATGTTCACAAGTCATGGCCGCAAGCTCTTCTGCAAGATCTGGAGCAGCCACCCGATTTCTTCGCGGCTCGGGGGTCGCGATGGACGGCTGGTGCTGGGCTCCTGCCGGGCGAGGAAATGCATGTAAAACAAAAATGGGGCACTCGACGCCTGGCAGGCTTGGCAATCTCGTTGCGCCGCATCTCCTTCGACGGCAAAATGGAAGTTTGCAACATCACTTCTATGCATGGCCGGCCTGACGTGCCGGCGCCCATTTGCGCGTGAACACTATGCGCCTGTGCCTTGTGTTCACTGGTGCATCATTTGCTCACCATGCACAACGTCTGCCTTTTGCCACGAACATGTCAACAAAGTGTAGCCCCAAGCGATTTCGCAATACGAGCGCGCCGCCTGAGACAAACACACGCTAAATCCTTCTGTGGCAAACTTAACACATTGAATGTCATCATTGCTCACCGTTGACATTCACACACTCACGTTTATGCTCGAGCATCGAGAGCGGCATGGAACGCGAGCGTGAGAATGCTGCGGGGACACATGGTAAAAGCACTGCAACACAAAAGCATCGCATTCGAGGTAACAAATCAACCTTACTCAACACAAGCTGGTGTTGCAACGCGCTTGTTTCGCACCCTGTTGCCTGGCTGAGACAAAGCAACTTCCGCGAAGTTGATTTTTGGTCCTCGCACTTTTTTGCGACTGCCCAAGCGGTGAAACACCGGTCCCGGGCAAGGAGGGCGGGGAGAGGAACGTCACCGCAAACGTGCGACGAGGGGCGGCGGGCAAGCCGAGTTGGCAGGGAGCTCAGGCCGCCAAAGCCAGACCGGCCAGCGCTGACGACGCGACCTGCGAGAAGGGACTCCGCAGGACAGCTGAGCCGCAAAGGACAACAACGCCGACCCCAATGCAGCAGCCGTGGCGGAGCGGAAGGGAAGGGGGACCTCCCGCGCCCGAGCTCGAGCGAGGAGGCGGATGAAGGACGCAGCCTCCTCGCTCCACCAACCTCCGACCGCAAGGGCGACCGGCTTGAAGCCTGAAATAAGACGAAGACACGGTTGTTGGAACACGGCAGGCTACGTGCCTCCGCTTTGAAGCTCAGCCCGGAAGCGACCATCGTGTTGGTCGACGGGAGCGGTGCTTTTGATACAATGAGTCGCCAGTCCATGTTGCAGGGCCTGCTTGGCGTGCAAGAGGCAAACGACCGCGAACAAAGGTGGAGGGCCCGTCCTCCTGCGCCGTCACAAAGCTCACGCCAGTGGGCCAGTGGGGCGGAGCTCGGCGCAAGGTGTGGCAGCAGCGCAAAGGCAGGGCGCAACCGGGGGCCTCAAGGTCACGGAGGATCCACCGCCCGCGAAACTCGACTGCAAGCACGACCAACCGGCATCTGTGCTAGGCCCGCTCTTTGCGACGGCGCGCCACGGCGAGGGCAGCGCCAGCGACCCGACCCCCGCGCCGAACGGGCTGGCCCTGGCCTGACAAGGTGCCGAGACAAGGGTTGTGTCTACTGCAAGTTGCTGGCCCCCCCACAGTGGGGGGCCATCGGCCACGACCTCCAGCCGCCTATCGTCGACCCGGTCAACTAAGTCCGCAAGGCGTGTGTTGGAGGGGACTGTGGCTCCAGCTTCTCTGCAAACGCGTGCGGCCGCACGCCCCAGAGGGGAGGCGCAGGCGGCGCAGGAGGAGAACACGGAAGAGATGGCAGGGATAGGACAAAGCTGACGAGACTGGCACTGTAGTGAGGAAACGGCTAGCGAAAAGCCCGGACTCGGAGAGCAAGGTCTCACGATGCCGACGGGCCGCGGCGGCTGCAGCTTGGCCCTGCCACGAAGGAAGGTGGAAGGCCACTCCTCCTGCACCACGGGCGCGCTCTCAGCAGCAGACAGCTCCCGCCACGCCGGGGGAGCCTAGTCGGAGTGGCCGAGTGCTGCACGTGCTGCGGCAGCCGCTGTCGAGGTGGTCAAGAAGCTCTTGCGCAACACGAGGCAAGCGGCGACTCAAAACAGCCAAGCAGTCAGCCCAGGAAGCCAAAAAAGCCGGCACGGAATTGCGAACAGCAGAAGCAAGGCCAAGGCTGCCAAGGGACAGGGGCAACTGGGCAACGTCACCGGCGATGGAGAAAAGGCGCGCGAGAAAAAACATTTAAAAAATCGGGTGCTTGGTGAGAAATTTTGCCAATCTACCTTAGTTCCGACCGTCGGGACATGGCTTTCGCAACAAAGGACACATGGCGTCGCCGCGACCTCCATAACTCAAACAAACACTGATCTTCACCGCACTCGGGGCATCCCGCACCCAGGACGTTAGCATTCCAAACAAAAGCAGCCTGTACTCAGCTGTGCAACGCTCAGTGCTCAGCGGCGCTGCAGACCGCCGAGCTTCGTCCAAGTGCTTGGGAAACTGCTCGCCCACCAGTGCCAGAAAGGTTTCCCACCTGGAACACAAAGCGCTCCCAATCATCTCTTGCCCTTTCAACTAACCCCTTCGGAGGGGCGATTGTTTGCTGGGGCAAATCTATTCCCTGAAGGCTGGGGAAGCGCTCTGGCCGGCGGAGGTCCCCGCGCTGGCCCGCAGCTCGTTGTGCAGTCTGTTCCAGTTCAGCTTGACGTGCTTGAGCTGCTTGGAGAGCGGCGGCCATCTGGTTCTGGCCTTCTTCGCTTCTTCGCTTCTTCGCATTGCAGCTGCCATGGCCGGCATTCGCGGCAGCAGAGCTTCCAGCTGCATCTTGGGAATGTGCGGGCTGCTGCTGGGCCGCGTCTGACCACCCGTGGCTGGTTGGCTCGCATGTGCGCAAAACAGTCGAGATGTAAGTTATGTAAGGGATGCCCACAAAATGGCGACGCAAACACGAGTTCCGGCCCACTTGCTGCCGGGTTGAGGCACACAGGGCAAGCATCTTCACCAGCTGATGCTTGAGGAGGGGCGTCACTTGTAAAGAACGCTCTTGCATACGACTAGGGCTTGAGTCAATGTATGTGCTACACAACCCTTGTAGGTCTTGAGAAACAATGAGCCCAATACGCGCTAGCTACCCTGGGATTCCGCTTTCCCATCATGGTAGCGGAGCTGTGATCCTGCGCCACCACGTCCTCGTGGGGCGGTTGGAGGTGGTCGGCTAGCTGGACACTTGGAACTGGGACGACTGGCGTCAGCGACCAGCCACAAAACTGGGAGCGCAGCCAACCCCCGCACTGATCCGTCCTCAGTCCTTCCTGAGCGCGGGCAACACCGCCCAGGACGAGAAAAGGCTCTCGGAAAAGGAAGGCCGCAAAGGCCACACGAAGCCCTCGTGCCCGAGAGGCCCATGCAGCGAGAGGCGCACGGAAGAGAGAAGAGGGAAAGGCCAACGCCAGCGAGGAAAACCTTTCCTTGCCCACTTCGGTTTCCGTTGAAGCGGAAGCCGCACTCTCGGAGGAGCGGGCCCCCGCCCCTGAGAGCAAGGAGTCAGGAGGAGTAGTCCGCTGCCCCCGTGCTCCAGTCTGCCCCAGCTGAGGGCAACTCCGCCGGAGAGGCGATTCAAGTTGAGGAGCTTTCAGCACGCCTTCAAGCTGCTGTTTGCCACCAGGAGTCGGTGGCGATGCCTGAGTCGCTCCGTGCCTGCTCCGCCAGCTCCACGTGGAGTAGTTGCCCTGTGTTGCAACTACCTTGCCCTGATTGACGGTTCCCGCCCCCACTCGGATGATGCATGAGGCACCATGTTGTGCGGTGCCCGGACCGCCACCCAGCAACTTGTTGGGCTCCAAACAAGCTAAGACTTCCGCAAGCACGTTCCGCACGCCAAACATTAAAGAGCCGGCCCCTGCTCTCCCCCCCCCTCGGCCTGAGAGATTCTATGGGCTGCGCCTTCAGAGTCAC